ACTTGACGCCTATTTCTATTACACATAATAAATATATGCATAATGTGTTAAAATCATGTTATAGCACTGTATAACTAAAGTTATAAACACTCATAAATGACCATAATGCTTTATAGCAATAATCAAAACACATTATAAAACATTTTACCATGACTTACAAGGTCAGGTATTATAATGTGTTATGCTTGTTGTTATAAAGCCCTATGATAATTAATTAGTGTTTATAATGATAGTTATACAAGTTTATAAGCAAATTATAACACATCATAAATATATGTATAATACATTATCTATGTGGGCATTGTCAGTGAGTTGTTAACAGTTATAACACATTATAATACCTGATCTTATAAGTCATGATAAAATTCTTTATATTGTGTTTTGATTATTGCTATAAAGCATTATGATCATTACTGAGTGTTTATAACTATAGTTATACAGTGCTTTAACATAATTATAACACATCATACATATATTTGTAATGCGTTATAGAGAGGCATCAAGTAAGAACAATTAAATGTGGAATAAAAAATGGCAACCAAGTTTCTGCGAGAGGATTCAGTCCTCTCTGCAGTGGTTGCTGGTTTAAGCCTCAGAAGTAAATCATTGTTCACTTCAAAAACCTCAAACTTCATCTCTCTCTGCTTCTTTACTCCGCTCTGATGAGAGTGACATTTGCTCAGCGGTTCACCGTCTTTCACGTTGGATTTTAGGAAAGAGAACTTATCAGGTGACCTTTGAGCAAACAGACAGAGTAAACCTTCCTCCTGTGTTTGTTTTTACTACGCAGCCACTATGTTAAGGGTCGGTTTTGACCCGTGTGTCTTAAATCAGCTATAAATTACACTCAAAACAATTCTCTATCATCCAGTTTGGTTCTCATCTCTATGTTACCTTGTTAGGCTTCATTATCCATGAAAATATTGATGATAATAGTTTTTGTTGTGGTCCTCTGGGCCTTTATTTGTCAGTGTACCCCTCACACAGACATCTATACTGAATTGATCTCACATGTCTGGACATGCCCGATGTTGTGTTTTGAGGATCTGACTGTCAGTGTGGTTTCCTGACAGTTCACTTATGATTTTAGTTTTGTTCTTATTATTAGATATTAATCTAACCGGGTCAACAGCGACAAGTGCCATAATTTTAATAAGAGCGTTTTATAAATTAGTCAATTTTTTGTATTTTGTAGAAACAGAGGTTCCTGACAAAGTCAAAAAGTCTTGATGCAAAAAAGCAAATTTAAGTGTTTCTTTTAACAGAGGAGGAGGGTTAAAGTAGTGGAGTCTAAACTTTGATATCTGTCCTTTAGTTGGAGTAAAATAGAAGTAATAAGTAACTATCTGTCCTCCTGTTGCCGATTGCTGTTGTCCGTGTGTTTGTCATCAGTTGTCTTGTTCCCATGTGATGCTCATTTTTGTCCTTTTTATGTCATGTACAGTTGGTGAAGACAAATTTTTCTCATGGGGACCAGTAAATCTATCTATCTAAGCTTCCCCTAAAGAGTAATCATCATGAATGTCCCTTACTGCTCTCTGTTAGAGCGTTTGATAACAGGTTTGTCGTTTTAAAAAGATAAACAGAGAGAGAGAGCAGCTGATCTCTAAAACTCGAAGTTATCTAAACCGCCGTGCAAACCTGTCACCTCCACGTGAGCCTCACAGGGACGGAGCAGATGCCAGCACGCTCCTACAACACCTCTCATTGTAATTATTCTGTGTACACTGACACAGAGCTATCACCTCACACTGGGGTCTGTTGCTACACCAGCCTAATTAGCAATTAACACTCACACAGTCATGCAAACACCGACTACTGGAATCCACGGGGGGATATGGGCTGTAAATAAAGAAGAGAGAAAAACACGAACAAAAGAAACGTATGAAAAGCTTTAATGCGAGTGGTTCTGTTTGCATTAATAGAGCGGACACAAAGCGAACATGATTGTGTCGTTTGGTCGTAATAGAAAGGCGTGGGCTGCTGAGAGAAAGAGAGAAAGAGAGAGAGAGAGAGAGTGCTCTGTCGGTCTGTCTGTCTTTGGTGCAATGTTATTTTTGCCCTGAGGCCCAACACAATTAACACCCACTGCCAACTGGTAGGCTGTGTGTGTGTTTGTATGTGTGTGTGTGTCTGCTCTGGATACATAAACCGCTTTAATTTATTTATTCATCCAGGCCTGTAAATTACAGTTTTCCTGACAAAAACTGTGTGTTTTTACCGTAATTAGGAGAAGTTATCTGCTGCTTCATCACGGGGGGAAATTTCACTCTGATTGATTCAGATTTTTATCATTTCCGGCTCTGAATTAATTGCTCCTCAGAAGTTAATTTCTCAGTTAATGTTAAACAAACAGGCAACAAAGCTGTGTTTAATTTGGCTCATGAAAAAGGAGGGGAGGACATGCTCCGCTCGTGAAAAAAGAAAGCGCAAATCTCCGCAGACTGATCACTCAGCGGCGGATCGATGGCGTTTAGACATTTCGGAATGTTTCAGTAAATCAATTCAACCCCCAATAAAGCTTTCTGCAGCTGTAATAAAAGAGAACAGCCCATTCCATTAATTTACCGCTTCCCCCCTCCGAGTCGGTGAAATATGAGTGGATAATCACAGGCCTGGAATTCTTCTGACGCTCGGACAGCCAGGTCGGTATGCTGCCGCGTGGAGGAATGCGGAACCTTGAAAGCCAAAACAACGTCAAGGGCGTGAGGAGGATCCTGGAAGAGAGAAGGGGGAGGTCTTATCTGACCTTTTTTTCACGCCTTGTTTCGATCAAACATGCTCTCCAGGAACTAAGGTGTGCACGAGCGCTCTGTTCAGGTGTTGTGTTTATTGGCGAGCTCCAAAAATCCCTCCATAAAGAAGATCTTACCACAATAATCACCCTCATCCTCCACCTTCTCCGCATGTTCCCGCCTTCAGTGCCCCATCCAGAATCGCTCTAAATCTGTGTAAATAAGAAAATGCTCCCATTTCGATGCATGAAAAGATGCATGAGCCCCGTAACACAATACAATTCAGAGGTGTGGAAATCTCCCCTCCTTAATCCAGAAATCAGTGCTGTGGAAAGAGGGATTTGGGGCTGTCACCACTAAGCTCCTTGTCCCTGGTGTATTATTGGAGCCGCAGCACAGAGGAGAAACACTGGGAGGATGATGCCGCCACTCACTGCATTGTAAACAGGTTTGGGGGAAAAAAAGAGACTCTCTACAACCGAAATTTCCAAGAGCAGAGCGGGAAGAATGATGGCATCGAAGATGACGACGACGACAGCGGGCGCTTATCTCCGTGCTGCATCTGCGTACGCATGCAGCTCTGACTGCTGAGCTGCAATCTTAAAAATGAATACACACACACACACACACACAGAGGGTGCAGGAGTCTGGAGCTGAATGCAAATGAGTGCAATTATTTATCAGCAGTTTCACACTTTTATCTTTTTTTTGCAGAGCTGCAGAACGAGGATGAGACGTCCAGATTTAGAGGATAAACGTCGTCTGATAATAACCAGGAGATGCGTGACTAAAACCTCTTTCACACATGCACCGCGCTTCCTAAATTCCTCGACATGTTTACCTGGATTTGAGCAGAATTTTTCCTGCCAGACCTCTTGGAAAATGTTGGCAAGGAGTCAGGGTGAGCCGGTGTGAAAGCAGAAATTTGGAAACAGTCGTATATCTAGACTGCTGATCCTCACCTATGGTCATGAACTTTGGGTAACGACCGAAGAACAAGATTGCAGACACGAACGGCTGAAATGGGTTTCCTCCTCAGGGTGTCCGGGCTCAGCCTTAGAGATAGGGTAAGGAGCTCGGACATATAAGAGGCGCTCAGAGTAGAACCGCTGCTCCTCCACGTCCAGAGGAGTCAGCTGGCTTGGGCCTCTGGTTAGGATGCCTTCCGGACATGTTCCACCGGAAGGAGACCTTGTGGCAGGCCCAGGACCGGGTGGAGGGATTGAATCTCTCTCCTGGCCTGGGAGCGCCTTTTAGGATCGACAGCAAATCCTGCTTAATCATCTCCACTGATGGCCTTCAGGCGTCAAAGTGGAAAACTCTGGAGTTACGGCGGCACGATATTGGAAAAAACAAACATTGCAATTTTTTTCAACCCTGCGATATATCTCGGGATCTTGTTCGCGAGTGAGGGTAGGATGGAGCGGGAGATCAACAGGCGGATCGGAGCGTCAGCAGTGATGCTTAACCGATCAGTCATGGTGAAGAAAGAGCTGAGCCGTTAGGCGAGACTCTTGATTTACCGGTCGATCTACGTGCCGATCCTCACCTATGGTCATGAACTTTGGGTAATGACCGAAAGAACAAGATCGCGGATACAAGCGGCTGAAATGGGTTTCCTCCGCAGGGTGGCGGGCTCAGCCGTAGAGATAGGGTAAGGAGCTCGGACACTCGGGAGGCGCTCAGAGGAGAACCGCTGCTCCTCCACATCGAGAGGAGTCAGCTGCGGTGGCTCAGGCATCTAGTTAGGACGCCCTCTGGACGCCTCCTGTTAGAGGTGTTCCAGACATGTCCCACCGGAAGGAGACCTCGTGGCCGACCCAGGACCAGGTGGAGGGATTATATTTCTCACCTGACCTGGGAGCGCCTGGGAATCCCCCCGGAGGAGCTGGTGGAAGTGGCCGGGGTGAGGACCTTTTGGGCTTCCAACGACGATGACCTATATCTGCACGTTTAGGTGACCTCAACTTTAAAAAGTCACGATTACAAACTCGTCTTCCTGTACAGAGTTTAACCTCAATTTCAGGAGTCGTGAAACTCTGTAAAACGGTGATTATGACCAAACTAAAGTCAGCGTATGTTCCTCCAAAACCTGCATCAGCACCATCTTTAACGATGTAGAAGGCCGCTCTGGAAAATTTCAGGACCTGTCTGTTTTAAAACTGTCTGGAAATTGTCTCCACTCACAGATGCACTTCCTTTAATCAAAGTTACAGTAGATATGGTTTTAAATCTCAGGAGCAGGGTGTTGTAGCAGAACTACAACACATGCAGGAGCGATGCATAAGACATGAGCGCTGTCAGGGAGGTGAGTGGGTCGCAGCTCCAACCCTGTGCTATTCATAGACCCAGCGATAACAGGTTGACTTCTCTGGGAAACAGCGGGCAGGCAGAGGAGGGGGAGGGTGGTGGAGGAGAAACAAAGGAAGGAGGGTGCAGAAGAATTCACCTGTGGAAAAGAAGCAGGAAAGGCTCAGAGGAGAAGAGGAGGATGCTTAGGGTTGAAAAAAAGGATTAAACGGAGAATAACGAGGACGAGCGAGCGTCTTTTCATCCACGCACACCTGCAGCGGCGTGCACACGACAGCCTCACATCGGATTGCGGGTGACAGCGGGGGAGAAAAGAGGGATTGCTGCAAAGAATAGAGCAAAAGAGGGAAGAATTGGAGAGTTTCCATCCAAACGTCAGTTTTGTTTCAGCGAAGGCCTGGAGGAAAAGTGGAGCATCTTTCCTCAGAGTGTGAAAACAAACATGTGAGAGGAGATGACAACATGGAGCATCAAACCAGTCTCAGTCAGCAGCAGAGGAAAGAATCAACTGGGGGGGAAAAAACTTTGCATTTTGGGGATTTATTCTTCCCACAATTTATGACTTTTACTCCCCAAGTTCACAGACAGACGACATCAGCCTTAATGAAACAGTTTTAACACATAAAAACGACAATTACTTATCGAAAACAGGACTCGCAGTGTCAGTCCACTGGAAATTCAACATCGCTGATGACATAGAAACAGATTGAAAGCAACAAGACAAATCCCAAAGTCACTTCTAAATCAGTAAATGATTCAAATTTAATATTGAAGGGGTTTGTACAAAACTGCTGAATTGACCTTTTACTTTTTATTTTTTACAGATTTGATGCGGAGCTCTTCAAGCTCAAGCGTATGGCCTGTTCTTTTTCTCTCTCTTCACATATTAAATTGATTTTCGTTTGCTCTAACTTGATTTGCTCAAACTTGAATTTCATCTCTAAGTTCTTCCCTTCAGACTCTCCATGGCTCTTTACTGTTGATGCACTGCGCCGCCATCTTTAATTATGACGTTGTCGTCGAGTCAGGGTTGGCGAGGATCGTCCGACTGTCCGAGTCGGAAATCCGACCGGCTTCAGGTGGATGAATTTCTGACTCAGAGCTCGGATATCCCGCACAACTGGGACGCAGCATTAATTCTGCACTATCGTGGTTCCGCTCCGTCTTTAATCCCCTCTGGTTCTGAGGTTGTGAGTGAAAAAAAAAACACTTTTCAGATGAATTTCAAGAGAAAAACCTCTTAGATAAGTTCATAGGTCCGCCTACACACTAGATTCTATGCAGGAAAGAAGCACGTTCTGCTTGTTATGGAAACCATGGTAACCAACTCCAGGCATGTGATGCTGCAGCTGATAAATATTAACCACAATTTGATCAGACTGAGGAGATAGACTCGGTTGAAGATGAGGTGAAACTGGAGATCCTGCAGATCCAGGAAATGAAACACTAACCAACGGACCAATCACAGAGCTGACAACCTGAACTGTTTTGTTGCATGGTCACATTTTTTTAAAGAGGGGCGTGTCGGGCTTATGCAACAGACTCAAGACTCACGGATGTTTCGGGTTGCTGTCGTGGTAATTCCTGCACGTCGTTCTCGTCGCCACCTCACCTGGACGTGAGCCTGCTAACCAAACCTGAGCAACCACCTCTTCTATTTGCTCTGCCACACAGCCAATCCTTCATGCCAACCTTCAGTCTATCTGAACCGGCTGCATTCCTCGCCACGTTAAAGGCGATCTTGAAACAGATACCACAGCTCCACGCTGGAACGGACTCTAATCCCTCTTTTCTTACTGGCCTCTTGGTCCTCATCCAGTTGTTCTACGATTGTCAAGCGAACTCCCTCAGGCGAAGGCGCTTCCTTTTTTTTCTGGCTTTAATAATAGTCGGGATAATGCATTTTATAAGGAACACATGTTTCATTAAATGCAAATCTCAGAGGTGGAGACAGAGAGTAATCAAAAGCAGGTAAAACAACAGGGACACGAGTAAGTGGTTGAATTTTTGAGGCACTTTGAAATAAATTTCAGGTTTTCCTGAAGTGTGTGATGTGCTTTCAGGTGGGCGAGGAGCGCGCTGAAGAGGTTTCCGAAACCCCCCTGCGGTTCACGTCAAACCTGAGGGCCTGAACCTGTCGGTGCAAACGGAGGTGCAAGATGTAATTTTCTTTTCCTCCTGCCTTTCTTCCTCCATTTCGCTCTCATTCATCCTATTCCCTCTCCTGCCTTCTCCTCTCCTCTCCCTCCTTCCCTCTGCTCTCTCTGCCTGAGCCTGCCCTGACCCAGACGTCTGTTCCCTGTCTGAGCTCTTGCCAGATTCCTGCAAGGGGAGGAATGCACAAGAAGGCCCTCGCTGAGCCACAATTAACATTTCATCGGTGCTGCGCCCACACCTATGCAGGGTGCTTAATGATGGCATATTCATGAAAGGCAAATATTTGCACAGAAAAGCTGTCTCCCAGCGACCGCAGAGAGGTAGGGGAAGATAACTGAAAGGAGCTCGCAGCACTTTAAAAAAAAAGAAGGAGAAGGGGGGGAGGATGTGAAAAAAAGAGAGGAGTGGGTTTTTTAAAAGACTGTTAAGGATACCCTGTGAGGAGTGTGTGGTGACAGGAGAAAACCCTCTCTGCGGGGGGACGCCGGCGCACGCTGGGAGGACACCAGCAACAGGGAAAAAAATCTCGGCACATCGGCGTGGGGAGAGAAATCAAGAAGATAGAGAGAGGGGGTGACAGGTAGAGTGAAATATTCTTTCAGTAGATTGAGAAATTAGGTACAGCGAAGAAGAAGAAGAAGAAGAAACGCACAGCTGACAAAGGGAAGAGAAGAAGAGATGATACACTGACAGTTTTCCAAGAGGAGCAGACTGCAAACCGTCCTCCATTTCCCCAAAGAACATCCCTCCCTACTGCTGCCCCCAGCTGCGAGCATGCACACACACCAACACACACACACCAGCATCCACACACACACACACATCCAGCTCTGGCGCTCGGTTGGGGGAGGGGAACAGCGAGATGCAGGGAGACGGCGAGGGATAGTGATGGAGAGAGGAAGCAGAGAAGGATGCAACGAGGAGACGAGGATGAGGAGACAGGAAGGTGAGGAAACGAGGGAGAGAGACACGCAGGTGCTGCGGCGTCTCTACTGTAAATCACTCACCTGACTCAGCATCACACACACACACACACACAAACACACACACACTCTTTCAAACACACACACACACACCTCTCTGTGTTTATCGTTCAAGTTGCCCTGCCCGCCACCACACACGTCAAATTCCAACAAAATCCCCCCGCAGAGAAGTAATTCAGGAGTCAATAACGCAGCACACATGCACACACACCATCCCCCCTTCATACACACACACACACACACACACACACGTATGTATACGTGCACACACATGCAGACCTAAACCAGACAGCTGGAGCTATCACACCAAAGCCTGCAGAGCCAGCTTTCTGCAGATGGATTTGAGAAGTGGGCTTTACCGTATCATCTGCCAGCACGCTGCTGGGAATGAGACGTCACCATCAGAACAGCCTACTGCCTTATAAGGCAATTATCTCTCTCTCTCTCCTTCTGTCTCCCTCTCTCTCTTTCTAGGGGAGGGATGAGTGGTTTCAATTATTGCGACAAAGACCAAATTAGGCACCTGGCAATTTCAGTATGGCTCCTTTCTGTGCGTCAAGTTGAAAGGATGTGGTTTTGATCGAGAGGTGATGTGGCCGCGTGTATCTCAGTCTCACATGCAGCGAGTTTGCACGCTGATAAACAAATTACTTTTCGGAGACAAACCTTTGCAGAAGACGTGACCCTCGACAGAGAGAAGACGGAGGTTTTCTTTTGTTCTTATCTGCACGCTGCTCCTCACATTCCAGTATGCCGGTCACACAAAGGCCCGGCAGCAGCGTGCAGGCCGGGAATCGATCCACCCGCGGCAGCTTTGAGGGCACATTGAGTCTCTATAGGCTCATTGACTACTTCAGGATCAATAGCAGCTGATTATCGGCTGGAGGAACCTGCTGGGGTATCTGACACTGCTCTGCTGCTGGGCTCGGTTTCACACGCAGACCACAATGAACACAAGATACACGAGTGCAACTAGTTGCTGCTCTCTGCATGCGCACTGAAACAGTGGTTCTCAACTGGTGGGTCCTGACCCAAAAGTGGGTCGGGGACACGTTCTGGATGGGTCGCAAACAGCTGGTCAAAAAAGTCAATATTTAATGCGCATCTGATGTTTGACAGGTCTTTTATTTTGAAAAATAGCTTCTTTTGAAAAGGCAAGTGGTCCTCCTCGGTTTCTTATTAACCCATTTAAACCAAAACAGCATGTACACATTTCTACCCTCCAAGTCGGGAGAGGCATGTACGTCATGTTGTAACATTCTGTGGTTTTTCAATCATTTCTGAAGTCGTGGTGAATCAAATCATCATATCTGTCTGCCTCTGATAGACTAATAAAGTGATCAGATTCATGATCGGGTCTTGCTTCGTGAGGAAAGTAAACAATGACGAAGGCAGAGAGCAGCTCTTCATATGGAGGTCTTTAGCTCACACTATTAGTGATTTCTGTGAGTGTTGCATGACTTTGGGTGAGCGCAGACATGAACACACTGTCAAACACTTATTTATTTATTAGTTTTTAGAGCTGTTTTTGTCCTGGCAACATACTAGGGCAGCTGCATACCCTTTAAACACTTTATTTTTTATATTTACATTCATATTGAATGGACACTTTATCATGACTGCCACTTGTTTTACAGAAAGCAGTTTTTTTTGTTATTCTCCTTTTATTTATACAGCCGCTTTATTTCATTTGAGTTTGTTTGTTCAAGGTTTTCAATAATGTGATGAAAGTTTGGAAAAATAAAAGATATTTATCTTGAAAGCCACATGTTTAAGCTCTAAAATACCTCTTGAATTTGTTTCTCTCTGCTCCAGAGGCCGAGATATCAGCTGTTTTTGTAAACCTCAACACTTCAGAAAACCTCTGGATCTGGGGGCCCTCAGGATTTCAGAGGCGTGTCTCAGATACGGTTCAGGTCTTAAAGGGTTAATGTGGGCTCTGCAGTAAAATTACATGTTTTTTATGATCTTTATTTTGTGCAATCTGATATTTATTCACTTTTGTCCGTGCTGTTGCTTTGTCCTCCTCAGGTTCTTCTGAATATGCTCTGAATGCAGAAATGCAAATAAGTCCAATGTTTCCATTGTATGCAAATTGATATTTGATATTTTCTGTACACGCAACTTCAGTAGATGTCACCCTCAGTTCATGTGCTCTGAAATGCTCTTTACTAAATAAAATAGAAGTATTTATGTTAAAGACACACGCTCTTCTGCTGATATGCTGGCAGGTTGCAGCTGCATGAAAGATTCTTGTTTAAACTTCCATCTTCCTCGATTTAGTCAAGCTCCAAACCTGACACCATATTTGAACACCCCGAGTCAAGAATGGAAAAATCAACTCTTCATGGTGTATATGTGCGCACTCATCCGTGCCCTTCTTTCCATCTCCATGTATGGAGCTGCTGTGTAGCTGCGAGGGGACCTGCCGACCGGACTCGCTGCTCCTCTCTGGGTCTCTAATCCACTGAGCTGCTAAAGGGAAGAGTGCTGACGGTGCCCTTTTCCGCTGACTACCTCCTAATCCAGCTGGCTGCGGGTCTGAGAGAATAATCCTGGATTAGGTGCTCCTCCCCACGGAGCGGCCATAGGGTCCCTGATGGGGGCCCCCGTCACAGTCAGCTGTGCCTGAGGCGCTGCGGCTTTGACGTGGTGAGAACACACAACAGGCAAATCCAGAAACAGGCGAAGAGCGTCTGATTAGGATTGAGTTTCATATCTCCTTGTTGCCCTGAGGGGAGCAGCGGTGCTCATTTCAGATGAATCCTAATAAAGAGGAATTACGTTAGGAGGCCTTGTGTTCTTCTCACAAGTGCTTTTTATTTGAGGTGACAAAGATCTGGATTCAAGTGCGTAAAGAATCGAGTCCCCCCAACGAAGCACTTTGTCTGCACAGGATGCTCTCTAATTAGAGCATTGTTACTTTTCCTAAAGCCTGCAGGAATATCACAAAAGCAGTCAGAGAGTCTCATCAGGCCTTCACTAAAACAGAGAGTGATGATACATTCATACCCAAGAGGAATTTAGCCCTGAAAACAGCTTTTTAATGTTGTTTAGACCTGCTGTACACAGGTGGGATAGTAGTCCTTTAACAAATGTGCTAATGCTTTGAGCAAAACGCAATCAAGGTTGAATAACACTCTAATTTTCTGTGAGCGTCTGCTGTTTGCACACCGATGGAACATCTTCCTGCTGCCATGGTGACTGAAAACAACATCACTTTTGTGCTTTTTGAATGTCAAACCTCACTTTAAAGATAATCCAGACGGCTCAATCAGCAAATCAAGAACACTTTAAACTAAATTAAAGTGAAATTAAACGATGACTGGGTTTGAGTTTGATTTGACTGCTGCATCATTACAACTGCAGCCCTGAAACTCAAAGACAGGAATCTCTGGACATTGGTAAGAAACCAGAATTATCTTTAAATAACTGCAAACTATATTGATGCTCATATTTTTCATATGCACTCCTGCATTTGTCTTAATGTGAATGGTGTTGTTCTGTAAAATATGAATAAAAAAACTGTATTTTGATGAGAAGGTCTCAGAATCAGAAGGGGTTTTATTGCCATTGTCAATGAACAGGATTCACAGACTAGGAATTTTTTACGGCGTGATGGTGAAACATTAAACGGAGAATAACATATAAAACACTAGAATAAAAATTAATAAGAGCATACAGGACATATATAAAGTATAAAAGGCTAACCAAGGTACAATAAACTAAAGTGACAGTGTTAAAGTGACTGAGTTATAAAATGTTCATGAGTCCAACGTCAGAGGGGATGAAACTGTTCTTATGGCGGAAGGTTCTGGTCCGAATGGACTGTAGCCTTCTGCCCGAGGGGAGTGTCTCAAATAGTCCGTGTGCAGGGTGAGAAGGGTCAGCAACGATCTGACCTGCTCGGCCCCGAGTCCTGGAGACGTACAGGTCATGGAGAGATGGAAGGCTACAGCCGATCACCTTCTCAGCAGACCACACAGACTGGTTTATTTCAGCATTTGAATCAAGATATTCACACCTTTGTTTGATCCCATCATACTGAATGTATCAATTCTTAATATGGGCTTGATTAAAGTTCAAAAATGCAAAATTTACAATGATTAGATGTTAAATTCAGCGATGAAAAAAGCCTAAAAATAAAAGAAATTCCTGTTGTTTTAGTTTAACAGTATGATCTTTAATTATTTGTGATAACTCCTCATAGGGGCGTTAAAGGCTCCAAACACCTTTTTAGACGCTCACTATTGTTTGAAGACAAGCTGAAATTAACCTCTCTGAAGTAACTGTAGATTTGGATTTCAGGAAGATTCATTAAAAACTCATTTTCCACAGAAAGGGTTTGATTTATCGTGAGGGCGTCAAAAAAAAAAAAAGGACCTGGAAGACCTTAGTCCTGGTTTGACACGGAGCTTCTTCACACACAGCGACATATTTCAACCCTGAGTCCAACCAGATACCATCACGGCGAATCAGAAATCATCAAAGTATAAAACACTGACACACAGACTGCTCAGGGTTTGGGGGGGACCACGAAGTGACGAAGAGGAAGCCACACAGATTCCTCCGACATTATTGAGGAGTGACAAACGTGGAGGTTAAGAGACTCGCATAACTGTGCATGTGTTGTGTATGACTAACACAGAGTAGAGATGTTGTTTCATATTAAATACAGGAGAGTTTTAATTTATTCTTATTGATCAGTAATAAGGAGAAAGACTATTTTCATCACCTCGATTATTGAAATCAATGAGTGGCTGGGAAGCATGGAGGCAATCAAAAACAGATGAATGAATTTTTCTGCATTTCTATTTCAGTCGCTTTATTGATCTGGAGCTCATCAGGATTCTGAGAGCCAGGAAGCAGAGCGTTATTAGCACGGCTAGCCAAGCAGTGATAAACATATTTTTCATTTGTGCAAATGCCGTTCTCCCTCAGCACACACTCTCAGGTTTATTTACCTGCACGGCTGCTCAGGAGAGAGCAAAGCTTGCGTCAGAGCCCAGATCCCTCCGGTGAAACACAACAGGGGACAGCAGGGAGGTTTAATGCACCGAGTGTGTGCGGACACATCATGGCAACATGACTCATGGTTGTCAGGATGACTTTTAGCTCCAAGCTTTGAATTTAAACAGCAGCAGCTGGTTGTTTTTTTTACAAGGAGAGGTGATTCACCTCAAATAAAGGTAATCCTGTTTTAACTGGATCAGCTATCTCTAAGCAAAGTTGAATAAATTTGGTAAAGGTCAGTGTTACTCGGACCTGGGTTGATGATGCAGGCAGTGGGCATGAGCCCTATTGAAATTGCAGGAATGAATTATTAATATTATTATGATGATTAAAAGTTTTTCTACTTAAAAAACCCTCTGGATGGGCTTAGAAACTCATAAAAATTTGAGATGGGTCATGACATTTTTAACATGCTTACAGACATTTTATCATACTGTACTATGACATTTTTGACATACTATACTATGACATTTTTAACATACTATACTATGACATTTATAACATACTTTACTATGACATTACTAACTTGATATACTATGACATTTTTGACATTCTATACCATGAGATTTTTGACCAACTATACTATGACATTTTTGACATACTATACTATGAAATTTTTGACATATTATACTATGACATTTTTAACATACTATACTATGACATTACTAACTTGATATACTATGACATTTTTAACATACTTCTATGACATTTTTTACACACTATACTTTGACATTTTTGACATACTATACTATGACATTTTTAACATACTATACTATGACATTTTTAACATACTATACTATGACATTTTTATCATACTATACTATGACATTTTTAACATATTATGCTATGACATTTTACATCATATTAAACTATGACATTTTTAACATACTATACTATGACATTTTAACATACTATACTATGACATTTTTATCATACTATACTATGACATTTTTAACATACTATACTATGACATTTTTAACATACTATACTATGACATTTTTGACATACCATACTATGACATTTTACATCATACTATACTATGACATTTTTAACATACTATACTATGACATTTTTAACATACTATACTATGACATTTTTAACATACTATACTATGACATTTTTAACATACTATACTATGAAATTACTAACATGCTATACTATGATATTTTTACCATACTATACTTTGACTTTTTTACACACTATACTTTGACATTTTTTACATACTATACTATGACATTTTTATCATACTATACTATGACATTTTTAACATACTATACTATGACATTTTACATCATACTAAACTATGAGATTTTTAATATACTATACTATGACATTTTTAACATACCATACTATGACATTTTAACATACTATACTGACATTTTTATCATACTATACTATGATATTTTTAACATACTATACTATGACATTTTTAACATACTATACTATGACATTTCTAACATGCTATACTATGACATTTTTATCATACTATACTATGACATTTTTATCATACTATACTATGACATTTTTAACATACTTTACTATGACATTTTACATCATACTAAACTATGATATTTTTAACATACTATACTATGACATTTCTAACATGCTATACTATGACTTTTTTTCACATACTATACTATGACATTTTTAACATACTATACTATGACATTTTTAACATATTTTATTTGGCCTATGTTTACACTTGGAAGAATGGAAGGTCCACACGAATTATCATTTTGACAAGCTTTATTGGTTGCAGATCTGGCTTACAGCTTCATCATGCCACAAGTGTAACAAAGACTGGTCTAAGACTGTTCAAGTATATATATCTGTCCACGTTTCCAAACATTCTGCTTGCATCTTGTTGACCTGAAGAAGATTTCATGTAAGGTAAAAACAAAGCACAACATATTTTGGGAGCCTGAGTGATGGTAAACATGGGTACAAGGTCCTTTTTGAGAATGGATGTCTGGAGGCCCATGGCTTCGGAAATCCCCCACTAAAGTATCCAAGGTATTTGAGTGACACAGCTCCACCACCCTAAAGGCTGACATGACGGGAAAAGAAAATCACCCTAACAAAATGAGAAGATGGAAATACTGTGACATTTTTGTTATCATACTACACTATGACATTTTTAACATACTATACTATGACATTTTTAACATACTATACTATGACATTTTTGAAATACCATACTATGACATTTTACATCATACTATACTATGAAATTTTTAACATGTTATACCATGGCATTTCTAACATACTATACTATGACATTTTTAACATACTATACTATGAAATTTTTGACATACTATACTATGACATTACTAACATGCTATACTATGATATTTTTAACATACTATACTATGACTTTTTTACACACTATACTTTGACATTTTTGACATACTATACTATGACATTTTTATCATACTATACTATGACATTTTTAACATACTATACTATGACATTTTAATCATACTATACTATGACATTTTTAACATACTATACTATGACATTTTTAACATACTATACTATGACATTTTTAACATACTATACTATGACATTTTTATCATACTATACTATGACATTTTTAACATACTATACTATGACATTTTTGACATACTATACGATGACATTTTACATCATTCTATACTATGACATTTTTAACATACTATACTATGACATTTTACCATACTTTACTATGACTTTTTTACATCATTCTATACTATGACATTTTTAACATACTATACTATGACATTTTACCATACTTTACTATGACTTTTTTATCATTCTTAACTATGACATTTTTAACATACTATACTATGACATTTCTAACATGCTATACTATGACATTTTTATCATACTATACTATGACATTTTTATCATACTATACTATGACATTTATAACATACGATACCATGACATTTCTAGCATACTATACTATGACATTTTTCTACATACTATACTATGACATTTTTAACATACTATACTATGACATTTTTAACATACTATACCATGACATTTCTAGCATACTATACTATGACATTTTTAACATACTTTACTATGACTTTTTTATCATTCTTAACTATGACATTTTTAACATACTATACTATGACATTTTTAACATACTATACTATGACATTTTTAACATACTATACCATGACATTTCTAGCATACTATACTATGACATTTTTAACATACCATACTATGACATTTTTAACATACTATACTATGACATTTATAACATACGATACCATGACATTTCTAGCATACTATACTATGACATTTTTCTACATACTATACTATGACATTTTTAACATACTATACTATGACATTTTTAACATACTATACTATGACATTTTTAACATACTATACTATGACATTTTTAACATACTATACCATGACATTTCTAGCATACTATACTATGACATTTATAACATACTTTACTATGACATTTTTGACATACTATACTATGACATTTTTGACATACTATACTATGACATTTTTAACATACTATACTATGACTTTTTTATCATTCTTAACTATGACATTTTTAACATACCATACTATGACATTTTTAACATACTATACTATGACATTTATAACATACGATACCATGACATTTCTAGCATACTATACTATGACATTTTTAACATACTTTACTATGACTTTTTTATCATTCTTAACTATGACATTTTTAACATACTATACTATGACATTTTTAACATACTATACTATGACATTTTTAACATACTATACCATGACATTTCTAGCATACTATACTATGACATTTTTAACATAACATACTATGACATTTTTCTACATACTTTACTATGACATTTTTGACATACTATACTATGACATTTTTGACATACTATACTATGACATTTTTAACATACTATACTATGACATTTTTAACATACTATACCATGACATTTCTAGCATACTATACTATGACATTTTTAACATACCATACTATGACATTTTTCATCATACTATACTATGACATTTTTAACATACTATACTGACATTTTAACATACTATACTATGACTTTTTTATCATTCTTAACTATGACATTTTTAACATACTATACTATGACATTTCTAACATATTATACTATGACAATTTTTAACATATTATACTATGACATTTTTAGTATGCTATACTATGACATTTGTTTCTCTCTAAAATATAAAAATATCACACAGAAATGTGCCATTTTCATCACCCTCAAATAAGAAATTTTTATCATACTTTACTATGACATTTTTCTTATTATAATACTATTTTTTTATCTTACTAAAACATGACATTTTCATCATACCATACTATGAAAATTTTATCACATGATACCTAATATGTTTAATATTCTAATAGGATTTTTTTTAACAGTAAAAATATAAAATTATTCACATACTATACTATGACGTTTTTTATTTTTATCATACGACATTCTCTGACATTTTTATCATACTATGCTATGATATTTTTATTTTGGCCCAAGCTGACCTTGCACACAGTGAGCGAGAGCCCTTCTGAATTTGCAGGAATTCTTTTTTTATTTTTAAGTCCAGAAAGTCTAGAAATCTGCAAAAATCTTTTGTTTAGTTTTGGAGACATGTCTCTGCTGCTGTTTTACAACGCAGGGCTACACAATGTCTGGAATGTCTAACCCTCACTGATCAGAATTACCAGACAGATGAATGAATTATTAATATTTTTAATGATGTTCGTCTGGGAAACCAGTTATACTGTATGTTGTGTAGCTCACTCCCCCACCACTACCTGGGGCTGAAACAGTTTCATTAGCTTCGGGGGGCAGCAGCATATCTTGAGTTGTCTGATATATATCTCAGGTAATTCTTATCAGCTTACATACAGGTCATATTAACACTGAACTTGACGTTTTCACTCACAGTACAGTCTAAACATTAACATTATTTGCTGCTGGCACTCTTAATTCATGCAGAAAATGACATCTGCGTAATGTGTTGCAGTTTCTGATTGCTCCAGGCCTGTTTTCTTCAATTTGATCGATGTCTCTTTTACTTTTACTCATGCAGCACCATTTTCCCACTTCCTGTCATCTTTTCTCGGTTTATGATGTTAAAAATCCCCTCCAGTTTGTTACCCAATGCCACTGGAGTGATGTTTGTGGCACTTTGCTGCAGATTGATTTGACATGTGAGATGTATTTAACACATCCAGGTGATTAGCAGGATAGCTAATTGAAAACATAATAGAATATTATCACATTTGTATGCGCAGAAACCTACAGATAGATATTTTTTGCAGCAGGACAAAAGGTCATGACCTTCTAGAACAAAACATCTTTTGCAATAAGCCTCTCCTCGATCATCCACAAATCTTCATAATAAGAGAATAAATGCAGAACAGCGTCTGAGTCATTCATTTCCTCTCCCGCTCTGCAGCCATCAAAATATGCAAACGCACACACTATGTTTCACACGTACACACCCGCAGGAAGACTGATGGGGCGAGGGAGGGGACCTGAAATAGACATACTATGATACAGATGTGTGTTTGCATTCACAGGCGCACACATCTCCTCTCTGTGCGTGTGTGTAACGCGCTGTGTAAACCAATAGTAAAGTTAATGCGGCACATGCCTCGCTCTCCAATCCATCATAACACCTGTGACATATCTCAGAAGCACTCGGCATGGCAGAGACTCAAAACAAGCCGTGAGCTGTAAAATACACAGAAAGTCGCAGCATATATCTTCACCTCTGTCACCCTCAATCCCCCGACTATCAGCTCCCCCCGTCTGCCTGCAGCTATTTCCAGAAATGCCTCATTTTCATTTCAATCTGCTGGATGATAGAGAGCGTGGCTGCCACGAGCAGACTCCTTCACCTAAACGTCACTAACAGTTGAATAGAGCGCAGGCCTGAAATAGTGACTATTGTGATGATAAGAGGCCGAGTCAATCTATTTGCATTCAAGGGTGAAGAGACATCTATTTTTATGTCTCTTTACACAAACAGAGAGACGAGAGTAGATTGGCGGATGCAGATGGTTGCATGAAAGCAGCGCTCTATGCATGTCTCCTGTTGAATTCATCACCTGGTGTGTACAAAGATATCATTACCTACAAGAAATGATGATTTGAATGAAGAAGATTGAGTGAAATGTGCAGGTAACTGCGTTAAAACTGAGGCTGGAGCATTTCTAGAATAAAAAATAGACTTAAAATCACAATTATGGCATCAACTGAGAGCAGTTTCCCTAAAAAACAGAAACCTCCGATGATAAAATTGGTGTTTTGAAGGATTTTTCAGCATCAGAAAGTAGCACAGAGTTGTCAAGCATAAAAACAGCGACGCTTCACAGAATCATTTGCACAAATTTCATGTCATGTCCTCTTCTTTTGGGGCCTTTAAGCTAAAATGCAGCTGAATCAGCTCTGCAGTGGACTCATTCGATGCAGAATCAGCCCCGTTCCTACATGCACTAAACTTCTGACATTTTCAGGAGTTGATCAAATTTCTGCAAGAAGTCAGGAGGAGCTGAAGTCCTCTCAGCAGCATGAACTTCTACACTCTAACAGCGGCTGCGGCACCTCCATCTGCAGAGACACCAGAAAGCTGCAGGTTCAAGTCCAAGTTCAGACCAATATATGGTGTTAGGACTGGCTGCAGGGTCCAGATGACGTCAAGCAAGGCACCAAACTCCTTTTCTTTGACATCTCTGTATTAGTGCATGTTTAAATGATCTTGTATGTAAGTTAATTCTGTTTATTTTATTGCTTTAAATTTCCAGTAGCTGAAGTAAAACTTGCTTTAAATGAGTTCAATCATTGACGAGCCTTTCTGATAAATGTCTAAGAATAATAAGCATTATTACTTCTATTTTAATGACTTCTCTAAACACTCAAAGTGTCATTTTAAAATTAATTTGAATGATCTCAAAAATAACAGATCTGTATATGTAGCGTCAAAAGCACCTGAACCTGAGTATTAGAGCGAGAGACCGGCTCTGTTATCAGGAACTGTGATGGATCTGCCTGCTGACTGTAACCCTGGAAGGTCCATTAACACCTCCGGAGGGTAGCGCCCAGCCCCCTCCATAAACAGCCCAGCCGGAGGTCCTTCCTAATGGGCTAAGCTCATTCCCAGCCTGGCCTGCTCCAGGTGTGGAAGCAGAGCTCTGTAATTGATAATTAGGGGGCAATAACCCGGCGTTCAATGCAGGCCTCACGACAGGAGAGTGGCCGGGCCCCACACTGACACTCTGTCAGGGGGGGAGAAAGGAGAGGAAGAGAGGGAGAGGGGGGAGGCTGTAATTCAAAGAGGGTGGTGGGGGTTGAAAGGGGAAATGAAGGTGGTGTCTAGGATGCACGGAGCAGAAACAGGCCGTGGTTGTTTGTGTTACAAATGCAGCAGATGGCGGTTCACCCATGAGTCGAGTTCTGCTCAAAGTTTCTGCCTGTTCAGAAGGAGGTTGCTTGGGCACCGACTGACTGATATCATGTTCCTATCAGAGAAGGTTCTAGATTACAGATGTACCAAAACGACTAGAATCATGGTCATTTGAACGGAAATCTCGATTTAATTTGTGTAAAGGTACAAAAACACCCAGAAAACAGCCTCCAGTCTCCCTGCAGGTAAATGCGAACATCTCAGACCTACAGTTATAAAATATTTACAACTTTCTGTGTTTGCACAGGCAAGGTCTAACAAAGCAGAGGAGTATTTGAGAACAAGTGCAACACAAAGAACCTCCACACTGCTCCACTGCTCTGCCTACGGTGCAGATAGTGACCGTTCACGCAGCTGTAAAAAGGCAAAGTGTGAGGTTGTTACACACTCTCTTATCTCCACCTCTGACTTTAACTAGAACACTATCGCTAAAATTAGTAACACCGTCGCTATCGCCGGGTGATTTTAACCTGAAATAAAATACCCAAGAAAAAGTACTTGACATCAAAATATATAAAAATAGGACAAAACATGACAAACTAAAGTAGTTTTCTCTTATTTTTAACTGTGTAATGTCCAAAGGGAGGAAAAAAGTGCCATAGGGGGACCGTATAAAAAATGCAACAAAATAATTGAAATTCATCAACAAAAAATTACTAAAAAGAAAAATATATAGAAACTGTAAACTTAGTTTCTTTTCCACCCATTCCTGGGGCATGTGAGTCTTCCCCATAGACTGTATATAGAATGGACGCCGTCTGCCTCCTCGCTGGGTGAAGCCACTCCGAGAACAGCACCCTCTGGTGACGGGCTGCAGTATAGGTCATAAATCCCGCCAAACCCAACAAACTTTAGAAATTTATTACACAGAATATGCATTTTTTCCCCCTCCGCTTGTGATGTTGACATGTAGTTACAGTAAGACTGGTTTGTGCTCAGGTCCTCTTTTTTCTGTACAGCTCCATTTTTAAAAGTTATTATGGGGTTCATGTTTTCTATGATTGACACCTGATACAGCCTATGGGAGGACAGAGATTGCGTAGCTCACCCTGGGGGATACGCTGTTTGAGCCGAGCGTCATCACAGCTACTCTCGGCGACTCTCCCGCCGAATGCGCACAACACTACTGCGCTTCACTCCCTGGTGAAGACTCAGGGTTCTTGGCACAATAACAGCTGCAGGAGAGAGAACCAAAATACGGCAGATTTGGAGTAAAATCACCAGCTGACTCAAATATTTCCTATCGCCATATAAATTCCCTTAAAATCTTTGTGATAGTTATTCATAACCACTGGGCTAAATAAAGATAGCATGTAAATTCCAGGACCACTCTTACTGACCTTATTCGCCTACATGCAGCTATTAAATCCACCCAAACCTACTTTACCCTCCATCACTAAAATCACCCTGTGAACACGTGTCTGTAAGAAAAAGCAGGTTTGGATCAGGGAAACAAATCTGCCTTCAAAGATGTCAAAGAAAATCACATAAACATGTTTGGTCGGGTGAAAATCACCCGTTGATAGTGTTCTAGGGTTAATAAAATGATGCTTTTTTAATTGCATTCAGCTGACTCACCCTCACAGTGGTGTGTTATTCTCCTGCATCAGTCACTGAAATAGCGCAGATCTGAGTAATAAGAAGTGGCGTTTTATTCATTTATCGTCATTTTCTCCTTTATCTTGTTTTCTGCAATAGTGATGCATTAGCCCTCAGAGAAGCTATCAATCAGGGGCTAATGGGTCGTAATTGCAGACAGGCAGCACCCCCCCCAACCCCACCTACCCACCCACCTCCCATCCTACACATGCACACATCAGAGGCAGTGAGGTCTCTGGATAGCTGAATAATCACACATACAGGAGGGAATAGCTTGGGCCTCTGTGTCATTTTCCTATTGAAACCCATTAAACTCATCCTATAGTGACGTCCTGCATTAATCAGAAGGTTAAAACAGTGAGCGGATGAACCCAAGAGGAAAGGTGGACACAAAAGAGAGTCGAAGGTGTAAATTCAGAGAAGAATTTTGTGGCAAAAAAGACGATTTCCTCACAGCAAACTGATCAAACTCATTTTTTCTTGCGCCCGTTTCCCCGAAGACGACCGACTGTCAGCTCCAGCTTTACATTCGCTTTCAAGGAGGCAGCCACCTGACGACGGAGTCTGATGATATCTCCACAGCTGTCCGTGACAGTCAGTTGATCGCTGTCAAACGCCTGAGCCTTCACACACACACACACACACACACACACACACACACACACACACACACACACACACACACACACACACACACAGACACACACACACACACACACACACACACACACACACACTGTCAAACAGCCACAAACAAACAGCAGAGGATGATAAGAGTGTGTTCGATAGTTTAGGGTTAAACTCTGAGAAACACACCGTCTGCTGGGCTGCCTTTTTCCCTCATGGGAGGCCTTATATTGTTTGTCAGAAAAGAGGAAAGGAAATCCCCCATGAGGCAGGATTCACACTCATCGTTTTGATCTGTGCGGAGTTAAAAGACAACCGAGCTGAAAAACAACTTTTTATCTTTTGCATCCTGCTCAGGGGAGTGACAGCGCTTTGGAGAGGAGGAACCAAAGCAGGCGAGGTGCTGTAAATGTGCAGAAAAGTATGAGTATTTTTTTAAACCATGAGCTCTGAATGTTAGAGGAGGAGATGAGAAAAGAGCACCACACACAGAAAACTCAATTAAAAGGGATATGCACCTGTCAACTGCAGCAATCACTACATGAGAGGTAACTGACTACAGGACAGGGAGGGAGGGATCTGGTCTTAAGAGGCCATGAGACCAGGAGTTTCACACATACAGGGAAGAGAACAACCGAACTGGTAGGGCTGGGCGATGAACCGAAAATTTACTGATACTGAAATTTATGACAATAACAGTAGGTATGTAGGTCATTCATGGTCTCATGTCCCTTTGAGACGCTGTCCTTCGTCAGAGACGTGACTCCACCCCATCCAGTAACAAAGAGGGAAAGACAGGTGAGGAGATGGAGGACGGTTTAAAAGTTCATATAGCAGGCACTCTGCTTCCTGATGCCAAAGGAAGTCCTCTGGCATGAAATCCAGACGAGACCTCAGTGGAGAGACTTACTGCAGGCCGAGTTTTGGCCCTACAGTTTGAGAAATGGCTGTGGGTGGTGTTTTTTTTAGGGGGAGAGAGTTTCACCCTTCACTTTAAATATCCCATGAAAAAGAATAACAAATGAGTATGTCTCATTAAATTATTTAACAGCGTTCTCGGCTTCAAACAACATTTGTAAATAAAAATATGTTTAATTTGAAATCATTTGAACTAAAATCAATCAGAAAATTAATCATGTAGGGCTGGGCGATAAACCAAAAATTTACCGATTCTGAAATTTATTACAATAACCAACGTCCTTATGCCTTTTTGATATATTTGGTATCAAAAGATAAATAAATAAAAAGTTGGTTTAGGATGTGTGCAGGTAGGCTATGGTCTCATGTCCCTTTAAGACGCTGTCCTACATCAGAGACGTGACTCCACCCTATCCAGGGAAAGACAGGTGAGGAGATGGAGGACGGTTTAAAAGTTGTAGCGGCTGAAGTAGACGAAGTTAATGTGGGAGGGGGTGAGCAGCTTGTGGAGTAGTTATTGTCCACTTATCGTTATCGAGGTGAACTGATCAATATATCGTGATATTGATTTGAGGACATATCGCCCAGCCCTACAAACTGGGACTCCTGAGAAGTGCAAATGCTGTTGCACTAACCAGGAATCTACAGAAGACGAGAACAGCCATGGATTCTTCTTTATTTATTATGCACTGTTATCTCGTGATAACGACTTATTATCTCGTTATCTCGATATAACAAAGATCGTGTTCTTGGGAAAATTAAAATACGACCTCAAATGGTAACTTTTAAAAACGCTCTCCAGGTTGGGACATTTCTGAAACACCGAAGCCACCGTTTTCAAGAACAAGAACTACTTTTTGGGTTTTTGCTGTTTGTTCCTTTGTTTATTAATCATTGTTTGACTAATTCAGGAAGTTGTAAACCTCGTCTTACATCACAGCGTCTTTCTCAACTGTCCTGTAACACCGGTTCTCAAAAGAGAGACAATTATGTAATTCGAGGAGCTTAAACCACATGCGTACATTGCAGTTGCTTCTGTGCAAATTACGAAAATTTGCAAAATGTTCGCGTGTCAACAAAATAAAAGACCAGACCCAAAGTTTATGCATAATCTGAGCAGTGTTTAATGATGAAAAGTAATCAAAGTGAAAATCCCAGCAGTGTCCAGATCACAATCACAAGTCATTCATCGTCAGAAAGGCATTAAAAACTGTTGACTCGGTACAATTTTCAGATCAGGAAACCATTTCTGGCGTCTTTTGTTTCTTTTAAGTATGACTGTGTTGTTGTTGTTGTTGTTGTTGTTGTTGTTGTTGTTGTTGTTTTTTGTTATCACCGGGGATAAAAGTCGTCTGTTTTCACGACGTCGTACATTCAGTGATTCTGATCAAAACCCCTTCAAAAAAAAAAAGAAGTCATTGATCAGGCTCGTGACTTTCAGTGTCTGTGCAGATGATGTGAGTTTATTTATGCACACACACACACACACACACACACACACACACACACACACTCATATATAGTTTCATTACTCCTCCATCCTGCATCCCTGACTTTGCTCATTTCCTCGCCGCCACCCAATCTGCAAAACTCTGCAGGCATTTCGAGCGAGCAGCTGCACATGATAACTAATAGGGAGAAGGAGCAGTTATGAATGTCATTTGAAGAGACTGCTGGCTGAGTGAGGGAGAGAGCGAGAGAGAAAGAGCGAGAGAGAGAGAGAGAGAGAGAGAGGAGGAGGAGGGGGAAGAGGCGGTGGAGGAAGGCTGATTGAAGGTCTTAATGCTACATTTTTGGAGCAATTTGAAGATGTTTTCATCCCCGGGGGTGTCACTCACAAGCTCTCAGGGAAAAGCCTCCGAGCGGAGACCGTCTTTACATCTGGGATTTGCAAATCACAGAGGCGAGATCTCTATACATCCCCGTACGCTGCCTAAATCGTCCCTCTTCCTTTCTCTCTCTCTCTCTCTCTCCGTCTCTGAAGAGTCCTAACAGGCGGATTTTCTTTCTTCTTCCCTCTTCCAGGTTTCCCCCCATGATGATTTCTATAATTAAAGAGACCGGTCCAGCCCGAGGAGGCCGGGGGGATGGATCTACGGCTGCCCTCCAACTCATTACCAGATGTTTAGAGGTCACCCAAGTTTATGCACACACACGCTGACGCACATCCACGCACACACCGGAAAGTTTGGAGTGAAAAGAAGCAGAAAAAACTCAGATACATTCACGTGGACTGATGCTGAAGTGTCGATAGAGTGTAGTCATTGAGGTGAGAGTGAACACTGTGGTGATGATTTATCACAACCATGTCCAACACATGAGGACAAAAAACATAATCCGTCTCCCTGACAGGTCAAAGCTAGGGGTGCACGATATTTGGAGTTCGCCGATATCAGATACGCCGATATTTTCATACTCATTTCAGCTGATACCAAAAACCGATCCAGGCTCATCTGTTCTGTTACAAATGTGTCACCTCATACAGAGCACAGTGAGAGCTACTTCAGGCAAGCAACTAAACCGGCTCTGATCTCACGAACATGTGACCAAAATTTCCCCCAATTTGGTCGGTTTATATAAACTGTAAGATTTCTAGAGGCTGAGCTCAAACTAGCAACAGACTCCAACTATCAGGGTTAAGATACTGTCCGACACTTCTCTGAGGTCGACGCCTCAGCGCCAAACATAAATATCATTCTTCTGCTACGGCTGCAAGTTACAAGTTAATTGAAATCTCGGACTGTATGACACACGAACGACAGCAGTTACCAAATTGGAATTGCAAACTCAACCTAACTTTCAGTTAACCTCCAAGAGGCGGGCCTTAAACCTGTCAATCAAGCCAGCCACGCCTCCAATTCGCCATTCTCGTAACCTGAATATCTCCCGTGCTGTAGGAGCTCTGAGGTATTCAAACTTTTTTTCTGAATCAGTTTTTAAACATCTTTATTTCTGCTCTAAAAATAGACTTTTTTGAATTAGTGTTTATGTGGTTTCTGGTGCTTCTGCAACCAGCCTCTAGTGGACACTCAGGGAACTGCAGCTTTTTGTTCCTTGAAGACCGGAGACTGAACTGCTGATACTGATCCGTGATTTTCCTTTGAGGAGATAAAATAGAAACCATTTCAACCATCTGATACCGATATTACGCCGCCGACAACATCATGCATCCCTAGTGAAAACACATCCATGATCTGTTCTTTTTTCTGGCAGAAGTTGCTGTTGAATCCATCCAGGAAACGTGTTTTTTAAAAAATCGTAAAGGTCCCGTGAATCACAGGTAAACGAACGTCCGACTTTATCAGGAGGAAACACACACTCCGCTTCCTCCTGCTGTCAAGAAAACAAGAAAAATACGAGAATGTTCCGGACCACGATCAGATGAGGAAACACACGAGCTCTGTCATGATGGGAGCTGTTCGTCATGTAAATACTTTCTTACTTCTCTTTTGGGCACCGCACATGTGGCGCCTCATATATGTCGAGAGTCACTCATGCAAGGATATAATATTGCTAAATATTTGTATCTGCTGATTCAAACGGAAACATTCATTTGTTTGGGAATGAGTTTGAAGAAAACTGAAATGAAATGGTTAAAAATGTCTCGTCGAGAAATGAATCTGATATTCACAGGAATGATCCAGCGTGAGAACACTTTAAAGTCATGTGAATGAATCGACCCCTCGGTCAGAGTCTGCACGGATTCAGGCTGGTTGCCTCAGACCCTGATGTGACCCCCCTGCCCACAAAGACCTGTGGAAGTTTGCCAAGCCAGCAGCAGCAGGCTCGAAACCTGAAGGAGCTCCAGACCGACCCAGGGCCTGGTGATTGTCCGTTCTGAATAAAGCACCTCCTGTCCAGCGTCAAACTGTCCACGTGACACTGAACCTTCTGGTCAGACAGTGTCCCCGCTTAAGACCGCAGAGGGACTGCGCAGAGAGACGGCTCAGGGGTCCAGCAGGTGGATCCAGAATTTCAGAGCAAAGACCAGCCAAGCTCCCTGCAGCCTCCGCCTCAGGACTGTTTCCTGAAAGTGAAAATATCCCGCGTTTTGGAGCCTTTTTTGCCCTCTGACGGAGGCGTGTGGGTGGGGTTCGGTGAGGAGGGCGTGGATGACGGCGAGGGCGAGGAGGGCTGAGGGGTGGAGGTGCCTCCATAGGGGCAGCTCTGTGAGTCCGGGTGTTCGCCAGAACACTCCACGGTGGGGATGTAGCGGCTGTCCCACATCCCCGGGCCGCACAGTTTACAAAGGTCGTGGAGGCTGCACGGGATTCTGGGTAGGAGGCGGAACTGGTAGAGAAGGCTGCGGGCCTGGAGGAGAAACAGATGAACTAAAATGTGTAAAAGAGTGACACGAAGTAAAGTCAGAGACTGCAAAACACGCCGCTGCACTTGACAGACATAATGGATTAAAAACAAAAATAAGCCTCTACCCTTGACGCCCGTTATAAACACGATAAATCCACGCCAAGGTCAGCGCAGCACTGTGTTGTTGCCTACAGCTAAAAAGCCGGCGTGCCTGCTCGGAGAACATCGGATGCAAAAATCTCAGGCAACAACAAAAGGAGCTGCGCCTGCTGCATGCTAACACAGACACACTGCCTGTGGTTGCAGCAGAACAAACAAAGCATCCATAAACATGAGGACGCAGGCGCCGACTCCGGAGCAGAGATGCACATCATAAATCTCCGCATGGCGTGGCAGCATCCCATTTAGCACCTCAAGGCCTCTGTGGGCAAGTTACAGTGTGCTGCAGCATGAGGCAACAATAGCAGTCTGAACTAAATGCACTGCAGCCGTCTGTGGAGGAATTATCATCAGTGTGAAGAGAAGAAAACACATGATTTTACTATTTTAGGATTAATGGAGATCAAAGTGTTACGGGTTTGAAAGGAAGAGGCCTAAATGTGACTTAAAGAGCGCTGACTGCGGTACCTTGCGGAGCACCAGCTCTCCGTTCATGTGCATGGAGAGGTTGCTGAAGTGAAGCAGCATTTGGTCCGTGGCGAGCTGCTGTTCCGTCACGTCCTCCCCGTACAGAACAATGATGGCGACACACAGGAAGAGGTGGAAGTAATCCGTCTGTGAAACCAGGAGAGGACATTTTACTGTGTTTTAATGAATTATTTTATTGGTTAAAAATGAAATTATTCTTTTCCTCTTTGCGTGATTCACCTGCAGTCATGGATGTGGCAAAAAATAATAACATATAAGAATTTTTTTAGCAAATGCTATGAACCTGAGATCACAGATATCCAGGTTTGGTTTTTGGATTTTTAAATTTCTTTGGCAGTTTTGACGACATATTTGTGCTGTGGAGTAAATAAAATTTCCAAAGTCTTTTATTTTCACACTTACAGCTGAACGACATGCTCACTCTCAGGAGGTGGTAAACCTTCAGCCTCTCTGAAATGCACTTAAAAGATTGTTGCACATAAATACGTTTAGAGATCCTTTACTTGGCGTTTTCTGTGTTTTCTTTTCCCTGTCAGACATTTTTAGAACATGTTGTCCTCTTTAAATTTAAAACTAGCAGATATTTCAAATATTTTAAATTGAGCTTAAACATTTAATATGATGTCCTTTCACTATTTTTAATTTAAATCAGGGTTTAAAGGAGAAGCACATATTTAAAATTATTATTTTACACAGATTAAAAGAGAAATGCAGATTTAGAGGATATTTTTAAATAATCGGTTTAAAAAAAAGAAAAAGTATGAAAAACAGTGATGGTGTTTGTTATTATTACAGCTTTATGTCATTAACCCTGAACACACATTGTTGTGTTTCCTGAAGAATCAGATATGAATCATCTTTTTCTGCACCTGCTCCGTCTGATATCTGACCTACAAACGTTTACACCGAGGTTTCCCTCTGCTATCTCTTCTCTCTACACCTGCAGCTGCAGAAAAACTAACAGGGAGTCTGAACAGGTGGAACAACGTACAGAGACCGATGTTTGACTCTTCGCTCTTTGCGGAGTTTAGGTTGCAGAATAAGCAAACAGCGTCATTTGGAGCCAGATGTAAAACACCAAGAATCTGGAGCTGATCCTGCTGCGTTCCAGTTGGACTCGGAAGTCGGAATTTCCGAGATCTGAGTCGGAAATTTATCTGGAACACCCCCCTGAAGTCGGAAAGTTGGGCGATCCTCGCCAACCCCAACTTGGCGACAAAGTCATAAACCAAGATGGCAGCGCAGTGCATCAACAGTGAAGAGTAACAGTTCTTGTTATTCTTGTTATGTTTGATTTATTCGCACTTCTGTTTTGTTTTTGTGAAATTAAATAAGTGGTTTATGTTGTACTGCCCAACGCCCAGCTGTGAACACGGTGCTATGGTGTTTGTAAGTGTAAAATACTGTGTTATAACGGCTAACAATGGCTAATAGTAAGCGTCTATATTGATTCTCTGACTTGTTAACTGGAACACCGTCAACTCGTGTGTGACGTCATTCCCAGCTCTGACTTTCGAGGTAACTTGAACGCAGAAGGATCAGCTCCAGATTCTCGATGCTGACGACAGATCAGCTGCTGTAGCTTCTATATTTTGGTCACTCCTTGAATATCCTGAGCTGTAGATCAGTCTTTGGGTGTAAAGCCTGCATGTAATTCCAGTTAAAAGCTCTTCTCAACGTAAAGTGACAGAAATCAAACAGAGGGATTTTCAGAAATATTGAATCTGTACTAAAAGGACGGCTAATCCCTGTTGAATTAAACATTAAACTCATCCAAAAGCGAGATGTACTATGACATTTTAAAAGTATTTAGGAGGATTACAATGGTCTGTGGTGACAGGATTTAGGGGAATAACACGGACTTTACTGCAGACAGAGAGTTAAACTGCACTTTTATGGACGCCCCCTGAAAAGCATAAAAACTGCAGGGCTCTATCGACGCAGTGTCAAAAGCCTCCATGGGCTCATTTATGCAAAGTTGTTCTTACAAGCTCGAGTATGCAAAAAAGACTCTGCCCTGACCTGGTAGTGTGCCCAGCAGGCCTCCCACATACGCAGAGCCTCGGTGTCTGGGAACTCTCTTTTGAAGCAGAGCAGGATCCAGCGGTGGCAGAAGAGCAGCTGGAGGCCGTCCTCCCCCAGCCGGGTCAGGTGCTGGTGGAAGCGAGGCAGCATGAGGCGCAGGAGCTCCCGCAGGTACATCTGAGGGTCAGTCAGAGAGGGAACACGCTGTCTTACAAACGCAGACAAGCTCTTTCTAACCGTGTGTTAATATTCCTGAGCAGAGGTTATGCTTCTCTGAGCGTAGGGCTGGGCGATGTGGGAAAAAGTTTATCACAATATTTTTTTTCATATCAGTCGACATCGATATATATCAGATTACTTGTCAATCTTAAATGTTCCCTGTTACTCTTAAATAAAATTTAACTGTGCTTATTGGTAGCATTTCTTTTGCAATACAACAAGCTGCTGCATCGTGAGGTCTTTGTGTCTCTTTGACATTTTGTCATAAGGTGTTGCGCTAAGGAAAGAGGTCTCAATGGTTGGTTCAGTCTACCAAAACATGGCAGAATGCTGGCTATAGAAAAGCATACTGACCATGTTTCATATCAATATCGGAGGGAACTTAGCTTTTAATATATATCATTATCGTTTTATCGCCCAGCCCTATCTGCACAGCAGGTTTCCTTTTACATATGAGCAAACTGCAGCTCTGCAACGCATCCTCCCCTCAGCAGAGAGGACGATCAGCTTCAACCTGCCACCTCTACACGACCTAGTATGACTCCAGGACCCTGAAGTGTGCAGAGAAGATTGTGTCCTCCCACCCAAACACAGACTTTAAGACCCTCCTATCAGGCAAGAGGCAGAGACCCATCCGGACCAAAACCACCACAAGAACAGCTTCTTCCCTGAAAGGTGCGATTAATATCATGCATTTTGTGCTTGACTCTGAAGACTCAAAGATCTGGTTGGGGGTGTTTTGGTCCATTTAGCAAGTTTTAAAGGGATATTCCGGCGTAAAATTCAGTTAGAGTCAAACACACCATAACACCTCAGGCCAGTCCAGCGGGGTGCCGCAGCTCAAGGAAGAACATTTATGATCATTTCTTCATGGAAATACAATCAGACCGAGACACTGAAGAAGAACTACCATGATTAATATGGTGATTATTACTTCAAGGAAATGACAAAGAAATGATCATAAATGTTCTTCCTTGAGCTGCGGCACCCCGCAGCAGTCGATGGACTTGCCCAGAGGTCTTCGTACAAACAAACGGCTGCTGGAAGAGAGTAGGTGAGTTGTGTTTAGTCTCTTTGTGAAAGAAATGAGTCAAAGTTAAAAAGATATTTGGTGTCTAGTACTATGTCTGTGAACCTGTATGTCCTGTTGATGAAGTTAGGTGCTGTTCTGAGCATTATTTGTGGCTATAGAGTGGTGTTTTGGTTGAGGTTTGTTTATGGCTCCTCAGACCGCTGTGTTTTGCTATCGTGCGGTCGTTACTAAAGTTTCACATTCATCTCTTGAGGGGGTGTCCAGCTTTGTGTTACTGTGTGTTTGACCCTAAATTAATGTTACGCCGGAATATCCCTTTAAGTGTGGAGCATAGTTGTGACTGTAGGTCCGACCAGCAGAAAAGTCCTACCAGCTGCCTCTCCATGTCTTCATCCCGAGGTGAGCTGATGAAGATGGTGTTCTCCATGAGGCCGACGAAGCACCAGAAGGTGTCGCTTTCATCCTGGATCTCGGTGAGCAGCGGGGCCACCAGGTCGGACATGCCTTGGCAGTAACCCATGTCTGGATTAAACACTGCATAGTTGAGCAGAATCCTCCTGTGGAGATACATCAGCCACGGAAATGTCGGTGATGTTGCAAAATCTGGACCACACAAGCAATCATTGGCTTATTTTTTGTTTTTTTACAGCCTATAATAAAGAAACTGTGGCGACCCTGCAGCCCTGCCAGACCACTAAAAAACCAGGTCCCACCCAAAGACTGTGAATGATCCAGCATGTGTTTTTAGCAGGGCTGTAACACTCGAAAAAAATGACAAGCCCTGCTTAAGCTGTTGCCATGCCAACTCCTCCGGTAACCAGGGAGTTAATTAATGATTTTTCTTGTTTCTTTTTTTTTAATGTGGATACTACTTTGAAGAAAACTTCCCTGGCGGTGCTCATGCATTAGTAAGGATTGTATAAACAAAGAGAAAACCCAGAGGACATGAGAATTGTTATTAACGGGGTATTAACAGTGAGAAACGGGCGCCGTTTGGAAAAACTAAGAGAAGAGAGAGCGTAATTTGGGAAGCAGACTTGATATAAATGAAAAGAAGATGTCAGAGAGATTAGTTTTGGTTTCCAAAATCATAAACTAGAAAGACTAAACGTGGATTTCTGATATCTTTACTTGAGGTCAGATTCTCATACCGGCCCGTGCCTCTTATCATATCAGTGCGGCAGATGTGAGACGTCTGACAGCAGCTCTACCATCCGCCTGTGACTCACAGCAGCCGCCGACGTAATACCAAGACAAATATCAGGAGCCTGGATGAGAGTCACTAAACTAATATGCTATTTAAATCCTCCTGCTCCTCGTTTAGAAAGCCATTAGCTCTGAGTATGCATCAAAAGTGCTCAGACGGCTTAGTCAGAGTCAATAAAGCATGAAACTCATTTGCGGCTCCCCCAGGGTTCAGAATATGAAATGAAAAGGTACGCCTGTGCGTCGAGCTGAGGAATGGGCGCGATAAGGACGGATAAAGGTGACAGACGGAGAGGCGATCCCACCTCATGATCTCCACGTTGGGGTTGTTCTCTCCTCTGAAGAAGTGGTTGCTGCGGTCCGTCCTCACCACGTCTTTATCCACCGTGAACTGGACTTTTCTCCAGAACTCGCTGTGCTCCTCTGGGCTCATGGACAATCTGGAAACACACACAAACACACATACACACACACACACAAAGATGAGGAATCTAAGAGCTGCTCCGAGAAGACAGACGAGGGTGAGGTAGTTTGAGGAAGTTCTTACCGCTCCGTCTCAGAGGAAATGAGGGTAATTAGAGTAAAAAGTAAAGCTATCAAACAATCTTTACCTCAAATGTGACTCTGGAGTCAAACAGTAATGCTAACCTGCAAATTAGCTACAAATGTGGAGGTGTGCATGTGGTGTACAGAAGGGTTTTCACCGATTAGCGCTCCTTTGAGGATAACAGCACAACCATAAAACCCTCTGAATGTTGGGTACAGTATTAGTGATGCTCTGTGTGTGTGTGTGTGTGTGTGTGTGTGGCACTAATGTACTCAAGTCCTAACAAGCAGAGGGGATTTAATTAACACTGTTTGTTTTCCGTGTGGCTCCAGCAGGAATAATGAGCGCACACCTGATGCAACGCCACGCAACTGTTTAGTTTCTGCACCCAGTGTTTGTGCGCCTGGACCCTCCCCAGCCACCTTTCTATATTTCAGTCTCGCTCTCTCTGGGGAAGCTGCTCAGGAGTTTGCAGTATGTTTTTAATCGCTCTGGAAGTTCAAGACTGGTGTGGTAGGTTAACAAGACTGAGTATTTGTAAGGGAGTTTAAAGGCACACGTTCTCCTACCTAAGGGTTTTGGATCAGAACTTTCTGATCCTGAGATTAAAACAAAGTCACTTCAAATCTCAAGTCCCAACATGGACTGAAAAACAAGAGAAGACCACACACGTCTGAAACAAAAGTTTCAAAGTACTAACTTTTTCTCAACAAATCAAAACATCCAGACTTAAAGCTCCTGTGTGTCGATTTTGGCGCCCCCTGTGGACAAATGACTGAAATATCATACTGCTGACTTTTGTAATGTCAGTTGTATCCTTTATTCCTCTTACAGTGGTTTCAGACATTAAAAATCAGGATGTAAAATCTGCCAATCTTGGCACTGATGGTCTTATCAGCATTTGGATATCATGAAAAGTCGTGAATATACAGTTCAGTCTATTTTACAAATGTGAAAAATTTCCCCACAGGAGCTTTAAACTCATTTCCTTTTATACCTCTGATCAGTTTTGTGTCCTGAACTCAGACACAGATTATCTATGATCGTCTATGTCCAATACAGTAAGCGGGAGACATGGAGCAAGTCCAGAGCGCACTCATTAATTAGACATAAACTGCATCAAAAATATGCATATTAAGCCTCATACAATAATAAATAAAATAAATTTTAAAAAATAAAAATAAATACATTATAAAGTATATAAAATATTAAAAAAATATAAAATAAATAAACACAATAAAATTAAAATTAGATATAAATAAATAAGAATAATGAAATAGGAATAAATAAAGAACAATTAAAAAAATAGATAAAGTTACAAATAAAAAAATAAGAGTAAATAAATAATTCAAGTAGAAATAAAAATAAAAAAAACAATGAAAATAAAAATAAATCATTAAAATAAAAAATAATAAAGTTAAGCAAAACTTAAACATGCATTTAGTTAGCAGTTTTCATCCTGAAAACTGGGTTTTAGTAGAGCAGCTGAAGCGCAGTGCAGTTCCTGTGTGTGGGCTATAGAACAAATGTTTCTGTGTACCAGCCAATTTAATATCAGTCACTATTTTGGTGCAACTACTTACCTGCTGGGTGTAAAATCCACCCGTTCTGAGTGCTTGGAAGAGTGTAATTTTGGATCAAACATTGTTTTAGTTTTATAGCGTTATAAAACTTAAAAAACTTAAACCTAAATAAATAAACTTAGTGTTGTATTTCATTTTTCAAATTGTTTTATTTTGAAAACAAATCAGCCCAGCCCTAAAAGCCTGAATCACTGACGCCCACTTCCTGTGTCGAGGTTATAAAAGAAAGAAATTTTCATGTTTGTTTTTCTTGCTGAACTGAAAATGAACCAGAGACTTTTGTTTCAGATCTTTATAATAATTTTTTCACCTCTGGATCTAAAATATGAGCGAGGACATAATAAAAGGCCGTGACCAGAGGAGGAGAGAGGGCAGCAGCTGGACCTGGGACTTACACGGCCTCATATGTGTGTGTGCTCGTCTGCAGAACTATGAGAGAGAACGTTTTAGAGCTGTTTATGAAGTATGAGTACCCTCAGCACACACTCACTCATGACTAAAATATAACCTTTAGTCTCTATCTTCTATTCCTGCTGAATGTAATAATCTGAAATAATCTGCTGTTTACTTGCAGCGATCCTGCTGCTTAGCCATCACCGCTAAGGGAAGGAGACATGGTTAGGAGATGAGGGATGAAAGCGCAGACATGTTTCCTGTCTCCTAATGATCAACTAGTGGCCCTGGAGGCAGCTCTGGTCAAACGGGTCTTTAAAGGAATCCACATCAGAGTCAGAACAAGGAGCCTAATTACCTGACTGCGAGAAGACGGCCTGATGTACTCCAAATGTTAATAGGCCGTCCGTATGAAACCTGTCCAATTATCATATTCATTACAGAGAGAGCGGCGCAGCGTGCGAAATCATGAGCACACTCCACCTTTCAGTTATTGAGACAAATAAAGACTCCAGGATGTGCTCGTGTGCTCATGTGTACGTGCGTTTCCACCACCTCCTGATGAGAGAATATTATCCGATCAGCACTGACATGTTTTTCCTCTGGGGACCTTTTATTTCACACCCGGCACCTCCCTTTAACACTCTCCTGATTGTGCCTATTGATTGCTCGGCGCGCGTTATGAGAAGCCACAGCAGACTCACGTATGGTTTAATGTTTGACTGACTGAGTCGATACTGAAGCCGTGTGACAGTTCAGCCGCTCTTTAAAAGGCGTCAGAGGCGCTGTCAGTCTTTTTCCGAACGTATCGATCAATCATGTCAAATAAAAAAAAATCACCCTGTTAAAAGTTCAAACACGCACACGCACGCACACGTCTCACCTCCTCTGCTGGATCTCGTGATAGTGGGTGCGTTTCTGCAGCCTCCAGGCCTCCCTCTCCTGAGACGAGGAGTCATAGCTGTAGTAGTGCAACAGGAAGGGCCACACCTCGCCACGGATGGACGGGTCGATACCACCGAAGAAGATGGCCTGGCGGGGAGTGGGAGGTGAGCAAACACAGTGAGGACAAAGGGGCAAACAGGGGGCACGCTGTGGTTTCTAACAGACAGCTGTGAGGGCGAATCAGACTGTACAGACACAGAGGATGTAGATGCAGAGTACAGGAGAACTACAACATGACAATCAGATTGAGTTAAATCTTAGAAATAAGAGGCTGAAAAGACAAAAGGTCTTTAAATTGGACAAAACAGATAATCCAGATTTTGATGAAAGCTGCAAAAATCAGGTTTGGATTATGGATGCACCGATCAGATATTTGGATCAGATATCGGCTCCGATGTTGACAAATTAACTGGATCAGATATCAGATGAATGACGCAGATCCAGTGTTCTGATCCAGTCTTTTTTCTCTTTTAATACATGGAAGTCTTTTTGCTGTGCGATATTGTTTGTTATTTATTCATAAATAATATTTAGTAAATTTATATCTGTGTTAATTTGTTTCCTTTTTTTTTTACAAGGTAAATGTCAAGCCTGATGCCTTCACTCACAGGTCGAGGTATACAGTTCATTCATTCAACAGTAGTATTGGATCGGTATTGGATATCGGCCGATACGCTCAGCCCAGGTATCGGTATCGGTATCGGATTGGAAAAAAAATGGATAGTTTGGACAACTTTGGTTTAAGAAAATCAGACTAAAATGACTTAAAATTTAAAATGAAGCCTTTAATGATCAAATAAAAGTAAACAAGATCATCAGAGCAAGATGGAAGGTTTGTTATCTTGTTTTTTACATTTTTTAAAAATAAAAAACTAAATGATGAATTTGTTCATTAAGAGCCTGCTTTGTCCAGGGCGCGCAGATGGCCAAGTGGGTTAGCGCCCCCCATGTGTGGGGGACACGGTCCCCACAGTGGTTGCTGGTTCAAGCCTGGCCCCGACCATGTGCTGCATGTGCTCCCCCCTCTCTCCCCACATTTCACATTGTACCGTTAATAAAAAAGGCGAATTTGCAAAAAAAATAAAAAAAAACTGAAAAAAAGTCAGCTTTGTCCAGAGGGGGCGCCAAAACTGAAACAAAATAAAAGTTTTCTAAAGGAGCTTTAAACTCACTTCTGTGGGATAGTAGATAAAGAAGATATCAGACCTGGAAAGAGGACTTTCAGTCACTCACATAAACTTTAATTTCTGTGAGGTTTTAGCGCCCCCTAACAGTGAAGGATGCAGTATGAGCACTGACAGTCCAGTTTCAGTAATCTTCAAGTTTCTGTCAAATCCAGTTAAAAGTGAAACAGACTTGATGATCCTGAACATTAAAAATTTCTACATTTAGATTCGGTTTCTTTGTTTATTTGCTTGTTTATTTGACAGGGACACATGCATGAAAACATTTCTTCAACAGTTTCCAGCCACGGCTAATTTGCAATCCTTTTTCTCCAGTTAGACTTCCATAAACGAAAACAGAAATGACAGAGTTTAAAATACTCAAAGCAGCTGTAAAAGAAGACATGTTGGAAAATATCAAATTATTTCAACAGTTGAACTGGGAGCTTTGTTGTTTTATGAATCATGCAAAATGCTGCAAAACCAAAACTGCTTCAAGCACAAGTGTGCGTGTCGGGCGAAAACAGAGCTCTTTTGTTCATGCATGCGTGTGTGTGTGTGTGTGTGTGTGTGCGTGTGTGTTAAATGAGGAAACGTCTCGGTCATGGTCTAACTGCCACTGAGTCATTTCAGGAGGACTTTATTTGAGTCAAACCACGACAACTAAAATGAGTCAGAGGGACGCTGGCCAAGACCAAGCCACTGGTTATTTACAGATCGAGGTTCTGATTCAAAACGAGAGTTTCATACTGTGAGATGACTTTCAGGACGGAGTTCAAGAGGCTGCAGCGGCGGTGAGAACAACAGCATGACACACCGGTGGTTTAGTCACGCTCACCTTACGCAGCTTGTACTCCTCCTCCACCTGCCCGCTGTGGTTGAGGTGACGCAGCCAGGTGGTGACATCCAGCCGCCGATAAAGCTTCTCCTCCGGGTGGGTCTCGGCTGACGGCAGGGTGGGCCTCTGGATGGAAAACTGCATGCAGGACTTCTCAACCGACACCTGATGGAAACGAGAGTTTTTAAAGACAGAAAAGAGTCGAGGAAAAACCCTGAATGTGTTTTTATTTCGTTCCGGATCCTGACCTGGTCTTTGAGCTGAGTCTCCCTGCAGCACTTCCACTGTTGAAAGACCTCAGACAGCTTGTCCAGGCCGGCATGATGGAAGTGGAGGATCTTATACTGGCTCTCTCTGCTCGCTATCACCAGCTGGCCACTGGTGCACGCCTCATCACTGCAAAATTAAAAACTCATTCGACTCTAGGAAACTTGAAGGGATCTGTTTTATTCAATCTCTGCTTATATCAAACAGACTCTGGGACACTCTGCATATTAAATAAGATATTCTGGCGTAAAATTAAGTTATGGTCAAACACACCGAGTTAGACACCCCCTCGAGAGATGAATGTTGCCGACCGCTTGCTTCTCTAGTTATACCAACTTTAGTAACAGCCGCAGATAGTAATAGACGGGTTTCTTGCGTACAAAAAATACTAGGTGTGCATTCACCGGGGAAAAGCTTCAGGAGTGAACTGATATCAATGAAGATGCCGTGTTGTTTGCAAGTTCTCCCTGACACAATTGCAATAAAATGTCATTTCATTGAAAAATCGCGTTTTCTTTTATTGCATCAAAATCAGAAAAACACTTGCTGAAATATCCATGAATTTCACTTTCTCCGTTGACTCCACTAGTAAACAAATAAGAAATGCTTTCTGCCCCAAGGCTGCGCGCACATACTTGCGATGATGTTGCACCCAAACCCGTCTATACAGAGAGCCACACGCTCAACCAAACGCAGTTCAAGGAAGAACATTTATGATCATGTCTTTATTATTTCCTTGAGGTAATAATCATCATATTTATAATTTTACTGCCTTAGCGTCTCGGTCTGATTCCGTTTCCATGAAGAAATGATCATAAATGTTCTTCCTTGAGCTGTGTCACCCCGCTGTAGTCTGTAATGGACTGGCCTGAGGTCTCCTACAAACAACAGCTGCTGGAAGAGAGTAGGTGAGTTGTGTTTAGTCTCTTTGCTAAAGAAATGAGTCAAAGTTAAAAAGATGTTTGGTGTCTAGTACTATGGCTGTGACCCTATATGTCCTGTTGATGAAGTTAGGTGCTGTTCTGAGCATTATTTGTGGTTATAGAGTGGCGTTTTGGTTGAGTGCGTGGCTCTCTGTATTGCTATCCTGCAGTTGTTACTAAAGTTGTGGCATTTAATGGTTCTGATGTGCAATAAGAGGATGACTCCTCCTGCTCAAAGTGCAATATTTTTCAGACTCAGACCTCAGACATTCTGTGGGCTCTACGTACGATCGATAGGTTTACTTGGTAGATAATGTCGATCATTGTCATTTCCAATATCAGTTCTGAGCTGTATATGTGTGTGTTTATTTATTAAATTATTTTAAATCGAGAAGAAAGCGGTCGGCAACATTCATCTCTGGAGGGGGGGTTGTCTAACTCTGTGTTACGGTGTGTTTGACCCTAACTTAATTTTACGCCGGAATATCCCTTTAATGACGCGTCGAGGCTGACCTGAAGAAGAGCCTCAGTGACCTCATGTGACCCAGGTCCACCCTGAAAACTCCGCACAGCTGCTCCAGAGCCAGCACCTTCTGCTGCTCCTCCCACCGCATGCCCTGCGACTGGCCGCTGCACTCGGAGGGGGCGTGGCTGTCCAGGCTGGAGGCGGAGCTTACCGAGTGGGTCATGGACTCTTCGCACAGCTCCCTGTAGAAAATGATTAAAAAATTGAATTTCCTGAGTATGTTTTTTTCTTTTTAAAGCTTCAGGAGACGCAGACATCTTTTCCATAAAATCACAGAGTGAGGAAAATCTGCTCTTTCATTCGGCCCACATTCATATGCAAAGTCTTTTTTTTTCCTCTCCTCCTTCATAATGTGAATAATTAATGATGGATTCACGCGGCCTGCAGTGGTAAGTGCAGTGACAACTGTGCAGACATAGCTCAGCTCAGCCCTGTTGTTTTGTGTTTCAAGACGGTTCCACCAAAAAGCCTGAGAATGGGAGGAATGCATGGAGGCTTGTGAGGACACACACACACACACACACACACACACACACACACACACAGGGAAATCTGTACACACACATATCACACTGTCTGCAGTCCAATTTCCCCTGTCATTCCCCCATGGCCAGCATGTTGTTCCCGGCACTGAAACCCGAGCCGAGTGTTCCTCTGCAGAAGGAGGAGACACGCTACACATACATCTACAAAGACACACACACACACACACACACACACACACACACACACAAACATGTGACAGCACAGAAAAAAAAAGAATCAGGACAGTGTATGTAGCCAACACAAAAATGCATTCTGAACAAACACAAGATTTTCACATAGGAGCACCGCCGGCTGCCATGTTCAGTGTCTTCTACTCACACACACTCACTCTGACACACACACACACACACACACACACACACTTGAGTGAATGGACCATATCTAATGGCCATAATGCACTGTCAAACACGACTCCAGACATGCTAATGCTGAGAAACAGAGCGATGTTGAGACCCGCTGACATTTGAGAAGCAGACGTGTAAATGAAGTTATTTTCCTCCTCCTCCTAACCATTACACACGCTCGCTGTCTGTTCGACACATTTAACCAGAACTCATTCGTCGTGAAGATTCAATTATAAAACTGACTCCACTTCCAAAAACAAGGTTGGAGAGCTGTGAGAAATGTGGAGAAAAACAGAAGTTAATGGTTTGCAAATCATTTAAATCCTTTATCGAATTGAAAAGTGAAAAGACAAAATATCAAGTGTTGAAAGAGAAAAAGATGCATGGTCATCGTCTGGATGGTTGTAAGTGTGTGCTGCTAACAACCTGGGTGGTCTCCAGAGGATACACCGCCTGTAATTTCAACGAAGAATGTCAGAAAAGTTTACACTGTGGCGACATTTCTGCATCATGGTAACTTAAAGGGATATTCCGGCGTAAAATTAATTTAGGGTCAAACACACCGCAAAACCGAGTTAGACACCCCCTCCAGAGATGAATGCTGCTGACCGCTTCCTTCTCTAGTTATCCCAACTTTAGTAACGACAGCTGGATAGTAATACACAGCAGTCTGAGGAGCAGTAAACAAACCTCAACCAAAACGCCACAAATAATGCTCAGAACAGCATCAAAGAGACTAAACACAACTCACCTACTCTCTTCCAGCAGCCGCTTGTTTGTAGTGAGACCTCGACCAGTCCATTATGGACTACAGTGGGGTGACTCAGCTCAAGGAAGAACATTTATGATCATTTCTTTATGGAAATACAATCAGACCGAGACGCTAAGACAGAAGAACTACTGTGTCTGTAAAATGATCAATATGATGATTATTCCTTCAAGGAAATGATCATAAATGTTCTTCCTTCAGCTGAGTCACCCCGCTGCAGTCTGTTTAGGTTGAGCTCGTGGCTCTCTGTATTTCTATCCTGCGGTCGTTACTAAAGTTGGTCTAACTAGAGAAGGAAACTGTCGTCAACATTCATCTCTCGACAGGGTGTCTAACTCGGTGTTACCGTGTGTTTGACCCTAAATTAATTTTACACTGGAATATTCCTTTAGGCTACCATGATGCAGAAATGTCGCCAAAGTGGGAACTTTTTTGACACTCTTCGTTAAAATCATGGGCGGAGTATCCTCTGGAGACCACCCAGGTTGTTAGCAGCACACATTTACTACCATCCAGACAATGACCATACATCTTTTTAGTCCAGGTGCTACAAAAGCAAATTATTTCTCTCTTTTAACACTTAAAATTAATGTTTCACTTTTCAATAAAGGTTTTAAATCATCTGCAAACCATTCAGTTCTGTTTTCATCAACATTTCACACAGCTCTACAACCATTTTTGGAATTGGAGTGAGTTTTATAATTGAATCTTCACAACGAATCAGAATATCCCTTTAAATCCATAGTTGCAGTGATGTTTTGTGCTGTTTTCAGAGTGTATGCAGTGATTTCTACTACAGAGTCATGTCTCTTTTCTAAAAGAAGTGTTGTCTGAAGACCTGGACCAGTCTGGCCTTTGTCCTTCCTGAGATTTCTGTAGATCCTCTAAATTTTAAAACCCTTAAATTATTTGCAGTTTGAATCTGATGAATGTTCGTTTTTACAGGTGGAGACAAAAGGCACGTTGGTGCTGGTCACGGTGGAGGCCGTCCGACTGTAATCTATAACACCCTGAATCAATCATGTCAGGCTAATCATTTCCCCGTTAGCAGATGGGAAAATAACAAGGCTGATCAATCCAAGCTGCACGCTTTCCTCTGCTATCTGCTGATTTACTGCTCGCTGTCTCATGTATCACGCCACAAACCAGACTGTGGAATATAAGCAGACGGCGAGAGAGGCGCAGGGAGCTCTGCTTAAGTAATCTGGGATCTGTAGGAGCTTTTTTTCTAGAGGACTACTGTACTCTTTTCTCATAACTCCACGGCTGTCAAGCTCGGGTGTTAATAAAGCGTGCACGTGCGAAAGAATGGAAATGAAAAACCAAAAACTGTGAAGCACTCTGCGAGGGAAGGAGCACATGATTCTTTGCAGCGAGGCGTGGATTGTCTGCTGCGCCGCACTCAAGCAGAAACTTAATGAGAGATTTACAACCTCTGAGAGTGTCGGCCGCCTGGTCCTGTTTGTGCGCAGTCAGCAACAGAGAGCCTCAAACTGTGCAGAGACGTATTATGTAAACAAGCTGTTTTGACGGTGCGGGGCCCGCTGCACGTCCCACCAGGCCTGACTGAGATCAAACCGCCCCGGGGCTCTTCGTTACACCTTTCCACGCAAACGCAGGGAGGTTCTCCTCAGGGGGGAAAGGTGCTGCCAGGTCACCCTCAGAACCGGGACCGAGGAGTACAGCTCTGCAGGGATTTCCAGGCCCTTCGACTAATCCCTTTAGAAACAGAGAGACGAGGGAGGAGAGAGGAGAGAGGGCCGCGTTGGCTCTGCATGCACCGCAGAGAGGTCAGTGCAGGACTGTTCACCTGGGCTGAAAATACCCGCCTCTTAAAAAATGAAATATTGATATCGTGCAGAAAATAAGCGTTCATCGGAGGACGGATATAAAAGAAGCCGCAGCACTGATGTTCGATGAAACACTTATGCTTTCAAACCATTCCTTAAACAATTTGATCCACCTCAGTAACTTGTTAATCAACCTTCAAAATAAAAGTTTTACAACACAGGAAATAAAGCGACTCAAATCAGGATGGAGAAAATATTAAAGGTTAAAAAGACGTGAGTGTCGTTCACGAGGCTGAAGACGAGAACTTAGATTTTAGTTAATTTGAAGATATAATGTAAACTCTTGTGATGCTTTTCCTTCCTTATTTTTCCATAAATATCTCAATAATATCGTCATCATGATATTTAACAGTCACAGTAATCAGGAGGTGAAATCCAGAGAATAAACACCTTCATGCTCAGTGGTTTTTCTGGGACTATTTTTTACGAGGAGGTGGAGTTAAAAAGCCACTAAATCTTCATATTAAGAAGGTTTTTACGCTTGTTTGAATAAATCTGCTCTCAGACTTTAAGGAAGCTACAGAGCAAAAAATTTCCCTGCATCTTTATTTAGAAAAGTCGACGTTTCCACCTCCCAGATCTTCCCAATAACACAAAGTAAGAAAAGCTGTTCAAAGACACATTCGCCTCACAGATGATTCAGAGTCGACCTGCTCTGCAGTTGGACGGATCCGACACAGACGGTCCTGTATGAGGGACTGAGCGGGTCTGAGTGAAAAAGGCCAAAATGGTTAGAAACAAGTGGAACTAATAGAACAAATCAAAATCTTCCTCAGACTGATATTTCATATCCTAAAGAGCTGCTTCATGAACAGAACAAGACGACGTTTATAGAGAAGAATAAAGACGGTGAACAAAGTTCTGATCCTCCTCTCAGTTTGATTTCTGATCTCCTTCTCTGATCTGATCTCTTTGATTTCTTGTTTTTCTTTCCCTCAGTTTTGGAAACAGAAACAGGTTGCTGGGCAACATCAAAATGTGCAAGAACTACTTTGAATAATCAGACTGAGGTGTTCAAAACCGAGACTCAAAAAGGCGCTAAAACAAGTTTTAACAGTCGAAACCATCTGCTGTTCTAGTGACTCCTGCTACATCTGCTTCATTTAGAGACTTTGGTTTAATTTTCATTTCTTTCTTTTGTTTATTTGCATCTTCAACACTCTAAGATAAAAAGATATTCTTAATCCTTAAACTGGCTGCAGGAGTGCTCAAACTTCTCTGGGCCTCCTTTGACATGGTAGAAAACTTTTAATCATATTTGATCCGTCTAAAAAAATCACAATAATTCCTTTTAGTGCTGTAAAACTTTGCTCTAAAGCAGGATAGGTGAGCAAAATAAACCAATTTCTGCTCCAAAAGGAGGTTTATATTGATTTTTAGTCTTGTAGGAAGATACCCAGATCAGTGAGGCGTGCAAAATAGGTTAGAAATTTCAACGTCCAAATTGGACCTTTTTTAGACGTTTAGAATTTGGACGTCATCTGAACACCAAATCTAGACGTCGGCCCAACATGCAAAATGGATCCAAGCTTTAGACGTCATTGTTGGACCTCTTTTAGACGTTGAAATGGCGTCCATATTTGTACCTCATCATCGAAAAAATACCTTAAATAGATGTCATTTTGATAACGTATTGCACAGTAGGTAGTTCGAACTTTAAAGCTCCTGTTGGTTTTTATCAACTAGTCTAGAAACAATTAGAAAATGATATAGATGCCTCTAAACCACCAGTTCAAGTCTGAAAACCTCCGTACCGCCTTTTTAATATCTGTAACTGCTTCAGATGATTGACAGCAGGCTGAACAAACAGCATTTCTTCACATTTTCAACAGCAAATATCTGCCGATTTGATTCTACGATGAAGCAGGAGGAGACGTCGGAAACTCTGATCGGAGTTTTATTAACGTGATTAAAGCAGAGCGCGCTGACAGTCCGCTCCGGTCTCCTAAACTTCGGTCAAAGTTGAAAGAAACTTGTTAAGAAGCTCGACAGAGATTCCTCTCCCACCGCTCTCCTCTTCCTCCCCCTCTTTTCATCCGCTCTCGCTCTCCCATACGCGGTTCTTTCTCTTTGAATGATTCCAAGTGACATGTTTCCAGTTCCTGGCCCCTTAACAGTGTCAATTAAAGCAAGAGAGAGAGAAAGAGAGATTGAGAGGGTTCCAGGGTTTTGGCTGCTGCTCCGCTCTCTTCAGTCCTCTAATCCGGAGAGCTGACATTCAGCCCAGCACAACAACCCCGGGAGCACTGGGAATCAAAGGGCTTCACACAGACTTTAGTTAGAGGAGAGGAGGAGGAGGGGGGGAGATATTTGAGAGGTGGGCAAGACCGAAAGAAACAATATTGAGGAAAAACAGAGTGAATGAGGGAGAGGAAAGGATGCAAAGTGGAAGGAAGGGGCTGATAGCGGAAAAAAAAAGAAGAAAAGAAAAGCAGGCCGGGGTTGAGCGGAGTGCCAGATTTCTGAGAGAGACACTAACAGTGAGTGAAGCACAGAGGAGCCGAAGAAGAGGAGGAGGAGGACGGAGTAAAGGTTAGAAGCTGTGAAGCACAGAGCGCTGCCAAGTCACACACTGACTGCACTTACAGCAAGCTGGGGTCTGAGAGTGGTTAAAAAGGCTCGAACACACACTGACAGGCTCCGACACACACTCACACACACACACACAAACACACATTCTGGGAAACATGTCAGGCCAAATAGCTGCGTGAGGAAACGACCGAGGAGGGAATCTTAAAGTCGAAACAGCCACGAGGTCCGAGGAAGCGGCGCAGTCCCTGTCCAGATGGCCCGCTTGATTGGAGGAGAAGTCTCTGGAAGCTTTTGGGGTTTTGGGTTTGAGGGATTTGGGGACTTATTTGAGGCCATCTGTGGCTTTTCTAAAAAACATGAAGAGTGAGAGCTGCTTTAGTGGGCGGAGCCTCTCACGGCGAGATGACTTCACGCCTCGTACCTGCTGAGGTCATCTACCTGCTGTCGCTCCGTGAAGACGGACAGTGTTTGTGCAGGGAGCCACCATCAGGCCTCAGAGCGTCCTTCATGGACTCAATTCTTTTCTCTTTGGCTCCACCTTGTGGCCACTTTGAGTAACTTGAAATAGATGTTTACAGATTTACACATGTTCCTGGTTTAATCCTGATCCTGGATTTTATGGTTTTTATTTCTAGATTCTGATTTTTTTAGATTAATTCAGGGAGGAAAAAAAAATCTGCAGTGTTTTATCATGTTTTTAAAGTCGTTTTCTTTTTCTCAAGTTAGCTTTTGTTGTTATTTACGTTATAATCAGGCCATGTGGTTATATAATCTATTTATTCCTTCATAAAACAGCGCTACAGACCTGAGAATTTACGTTAAAAACCTGCAGTCAAACTTAAAAAATAAAATGATCAGGTTTAAAGTTTGATTGCAGGTTTTTAACGTTAATTCTCAGGTCTGTAGCGCTGTTTTATGAAAGATTAAATGTAAAATACACCTTAAGAGAGCAGTTTGATTGTAATAAAAAATACAATGATCAGGTTTAATTACAATAAAACTGCTCTCTTAAGGTGTATTTTTAGGGTTTATTGATGGGACAGCTGAAGAGAGACAGTAAGAGTGGGGAGTAGAGAGTGGATGAAGTCAAACCAGGGATAAACCAACCTGCGCCTCGTACTCAGTGCTGGTTCAGGTCTGGACCACGCTGATATAAGTTTAGACCGGCACATTGAGGACCTGTCCCTCCTTCTTCGTCCTCTTTCTGTCAGTGTCTTTAACTTTGAATCATCACGTCTCATTAGAGTCACGAATACTCTGGTCCACGCCTTCATCACCTCAATGTTAGATTACTGTAACAGCCTCCTGTACGGTCGACCCTCTAAACTCCTCAACAAACTACAGATAGTCCAGAATTCTGCCGCCCACCTCCTCACCCACGAGACCACCCTGTCCTCCTCCGTCTACACTGGCTCCCCATCAAGCAACGCATCACATTCAAGATCCTCCTTCTCACCCACAAAGCCCTTCATCAGACACCGCCCTGACCTCCATCAGACACCGCCCTGACCTCCATCAGACACCGCCCTGACCTCCATCAGACACCGCCCTGACCTTCATCAGACACCGCCCTGACCCCACTACCTTCAAACCCCTTTTAAAAACTCACTTATTTAAAACTGCTTTTAATATTTAACTGTTTAATTCATTTTACTGTTTTCATGTCTTTGTTTTTTATCTTGGGTTTTATGTTCTATGTAAAGCGTCTTTGAGTGTTTTTAAAAGCGCTGTACAAATAAAATGAATTATTATTATTATTTTTTTTTTTTTTTATTATTGTCATTATTATTATTATTATCATTATTATTATTATTATTATCATTATTATTATTATTATTATTATTATCATAGTTATTATCATTATTATTATTATTATTATTATTATTATTATTATCATTATTATTATTATTATTATCATTATTATTATTATTATTATTATCATAGTTATTATCATTATTATTATTATTATTATTATTATTATTATTATTATTATTATTATCATAGTTATTATCATTATTATTATTATTATTATTATTATTATTATTATTATTATTATTATTATTATCATTACCATTACTAATACTCAGTCCTTTCTTGGAGTCCCTGAGCTCCATCATGACGCGGACCTGCCTGCTCTCCAGCTGCTTCAATCTCACCTCTGTCCCTCTCTCTTCGCTCAGTCTCAGCAGATGTCTGTCTAACATGCGTCTGGTTCTGCTCGAGGTTTCTGCCTGTTAAAGGAAGATCTTCCTCTCCTCTGTAACTTGATAAATACTGTGAAGTGTTTCACTCTTGTGGTTGAAGATGGGAGTTGCTCTGATCTTCCCATCTTTACAGTTGGTCTCTAAATAACACTTAAAGTGAATCAGCAGCATGAAAATATAGATTGATTGATTGATTGATAATCTCTAAATGCTTGCGACTATTTTTCTGAAAGCCAAAGTCAAACTCTGCTTTGCAATAACCCTGTAGATCTATTGTATTGATTTTACTCTCCGTTGTTTTCAGCCTCATGTTTTAATTCGGGTTTTAATGTTGAATCTTGTCTCTCAGAAGGTCAGAGCTCACTAACGCTCTCTCCTCTTTTAGTCTTTTTATTAATGCATGTCGGAGCAGCTATGGATCAGGGTTTGACCTTAAATACGCAGACGGCTCTGTGACTGTGAGTCCAAATCTCCCACTAACCTGCTTTCGCTGTCCAGGAAGACAGAGCCGCTGCTTTCACAGAGAGCCTCGCTGACCGGGGACAAGCAGAAAGGGGAGGAGAAGGTATCGGAGTCCGAGCCCATGGTGCTGTCCCGGCTCACCTCGTCCGACAGCTCACAGGAGCCTTCGTCGCCCTCCTCCCCCGCTGAGGGCAGCGACTGCTGGTGCGAGGAAGGATCCGCTCCTGCTTCCAACACCAGGCTGTGGCTCTCTGCAGAGACGCTGCTGGTTATGTTCCGCTCTTCATCTTCGTCGTCCTCCTGGGCTGCAGGGGGACGGGAATGAGGTCTGGAGGAAAAATCATCAGTATCAAGAGAAATGGGATTCACGCCTGCAGACTCCGTGAGATGTCTGAAAGATTCACGTACCGTCGGCCTCGTCGGCGTGCATTCCTGCGTACGGGGGAGCTCTCTGGCGTGATGTACCGCAGCGCCTCCTCATCCTGCCTCTGGATCCGAGAGTTCGGCACCCAGGTCAGGATCAGAGTGGTCCCCAGGCTCTCATCCTTCTCCGTGTGCACACACAGGTAGCCTGCAGGGGGCGGCAGAAACCGGTCTGAACCGTCAGGTAATCAGGAAAAAAAAATCAGGTAACATGAGAGGAAACGGCGAGACTTTTCATAAGCTGCAACACAAGACAAACCTGAAACCTGAGGAGAGATAAAGACATGAAATGATGATGACATAGAGGGAAACCTGAGAGGGGAGAGGAGGTGAGGGCGAGGCAACGGACAGAAACACAGAAAACTGAAGGAAGAGAGCAGATAAGAGACGCGGAAAATAAAGATGTGAACACCAGGAGAAGGTCATTTACTAAGACCTTGTTTTTATTATCATCTGTTCAGAGAAACTTGATTAAGATAAACATGAAAGTTCAAGATGTACATGAATCTGCAGAGTTATCAAGGTCATATCAGCAGAGCAGAGGTCACGGGGACAGAAAACACTCACAAGGAAATGTACAAGAACAAATAAACACACAACTTGACTCCTGTATTCATCCACCCGTCCTAACCTGGGTGGTGCTCTGCCAGGCCGGGCAGGGGCTCCGCGGGGTGCACACAAACGTTATTTTTGGAGAAGATGATCTCGCCATCCAGGCCTGAGCGCAACGACGTGCCCCCCGCCCCGGGGTTGAAGGTCAGGAGGTCGGAGGCCTTAGAGGAGGCGCGTCGCAGGAGCCGACCCAGTGACATCTCCTCAGGCACCGGGACGCTGGGCCCATCCTCTGTGGACAGAACGGAGAGTAATGAGAGACCTTCACTGCCGCACGCTCTCACTTCATTAAAGACACAGGTGTGGATGTGGCTTCTGTGCTGACTGACAGGAAGTACATGTAAAAAAGGAAAGGAGCGCTAAAGTTAGAGGGGGAGAAAGGGAGCGATACAAGTGATCTTTTAAGGACACATCCTGGCTCTACAGCTCTGCACACTCTCACCTCCACCTCACCTCCTCTGTCACACATGTGCCTGTATCTGCTGCAGTGTCCTTACTGCAGGATCTCCTCTCCTCTCCTCTACTCTCTCCACTTATTCAGCGTTTCTCTTCACACCTGCGCCAACTGACAAGAACTCTGTGGATACTGTACCTCTGTGCAACCAAACCTGTCCCGCCTTCTGCAAACAACGCATATCAAACAAAGACAAGAGCAAACACACTTCAACTCATCCGTGTGAAATTCCAGCCTCTTATCAGCAGCCAACAGATGTCGTCCACATCATGCTACACAGAACCCGTGTTCAACCTGCGGGTCTGATAACCTCACACCAGAGGGTACGGTGTCTTTGGTGGGACAAACTTTACAGTAAAGGAGCTTTCCAGATGTTTGTGGAGCTCTGCAGGATCTGCTGTTTCAGGATAAAAAAACACCAAGAGCTTTAAAAGTTCATCCTGCATGATTTCCATATCTGTGAATGCATCTTTAAAACGTTGTGTTCTCGTTCGCCACACACTGACGTGAACTCCGTCTGAGGAATGTTTCCTCCTCGTCCCTCAGAGGACGTGTTTACCTCTCTCTGATTAAGCAGGCACCCCGCTTCCTGATGCCAAAGGAAGTCCTCTGGCATGAAATCCAGGCGAGACCTCTGTGGAGAGACTTACTGCAGGCCGGCTTTTGGCCCTACAGTTTGAGAAATGGCTGTGGGTGGTGTTTTTTTGGGGGGGAGAGAGTTTCACCATTTACGATAAATATCTCATAAAAAAGAATGATAAATGAGTATGTTTCTTTAATTTATTAAACAGCGTTCTCGGCTTCAAACAACATTTGTAAATAAAAAAATGTTTGATTTGAGACGTGACTCCACCCCATCCAGTCCATAACAAAGAGGCAGGTGAGGAGATGGAGGACGGAGAGAAAGTTGTAGCGGCTGAAGTAGACGAAGTTAATGTGGGAGGGGCTGAGCAGCTTGTGGAGTAGTTATCGTCCATTTATCGTTATTGAGGTGAACTGATCAATATATCGTGATATTAATTTGAGGCCTAATCGCCCAGCCCTGCTAAAAAGGCAGCAGACAGAGTACCTACTTCATGATATACAAAACAAATGTAATGTCTTATTAAAATTTTAGTTTAAAAAAGTGCAAAAAACTGCAGTTCTCAGAGTGTCCACTAGAGGCTGGCCCCAAAAGCCATGGAACTCCCATTAGGTCCCATGTTAAAACGCATAGAACCAAGTGGGAGTTTTTCATCCATTTATCGTTATCAAAGTGAACTGCTCAACATATCATGATATTGATTTGAGGCCATATCACCCAGCCCTACTACTACTACTACTAATAATAATAATAATAATAATAATAATAATACATTCTATTTGTTAGGGTACCTTTCAAGGCACTCAAGGTGGCCTTATAATAAAAATAGAATAGAATACTGAATAAAAATAAAAGATTTAAAATGAAATAAGGTTATTTCCAGGCAACAGCTGACAGAGTACTTAATTCATGCTATACAGAACAAATTTAATGTCTTATCAAAATTTTGATTTAAAAAAAGTGCGAAAAACTGCAGTTCTCCAGGTGTCCACTGGAGGCTGGCCCCAAAAGCCATGAAACTCCCATTAGGTCCCATGTTAAAACACCCATTTTTACCACGACACTTAAAAGGTTTACTGTAAGTAACAAAAACATGTTTATGTCTCTTCTATCCAAGAAACCAAGATTCCTTCATCCTTGTCAACGCAACTTAAGCTAGTCCAATAAAGCATTTCCAATATGGCTGCCGGCTTGAAAACACTTCTTTTTTTTAATCGTCTGCATAAAAGCCACATATAGTTTTGGGTTTAGTGGTCACTCTGCTTTCTGCTTCAGGACTAAACAAACCAGGGTGGTCTACATTCCTGCACACACTTTGAAAACATGCTACTTGAACATGTTCGGCATAATAACAGACTACAGTCTTTCGACATAACACACAGCTGTTAGCAGCGACCTCATATCTGACTGACTGACTGACTGCTGTGTGACTATCCCGTGGTTATTTTGGTCTGTGTGTGATTACAGTGTGAGGCTGATAGGAGTCGTTCAGTCTGCCTGTCCTCTAACTCCTCTCTCTCTCTTGGCTTCATCTTTTATGCTGTCAACACCTCAGTGTGCCGCTTACACACATACACACAAATACACACACACACACGCAAACCGCCTCTCCACTCTGACCTTTCACTGTTTTATCAAATGACTCACATCCTCAGCACATCCTAAACCCAGTCTCGTCTCACTGTGACCTGCAGATCACATATCTGACAAACTTTTCAACGACTGCCCGCCAAAAACAGATTTATTCTTCTCGAAAATTTCGCCCCCAGTGTGGAAAACGCTGCAAATTTTCAGGTGCTAAGCTTCTCACCTCTGGGCTATAATAATTAAGCTGTCACGCTGACATCTGAATAGAGAAGCCATTTCTAAACACCTCTTTATACTGGTGTGTCCCAAGGCAGTGAAAAAGGAGATCAGGTACAGAGGAGCCTGAAAAACAAGGTTCATGTGGACTCTGCAAAGACCTGGTGATGATGTGGGGAAGCTTTACGGACAAACCAGTCTGATATTTACAAAAAAGATAATACCTACATTCATTAAACACATCTAAACTACTAAAGTCAATATGTATATTAGATCTTAATATGCATGAAATAATGGAATTAAAGCTCCTGTGAGAAACTTTCAGTTTGTGTTGACTCTGGCGCCCCCTGTGGACAAAGTGATACCTCTGATTATTTGGGTTATTATGTTTAATGAAAAGTTTCTTATGGTATTTAAAAGTTTTATGCATCAAAATCCACAGTAATAATGACATTTCTGCACATTTCTGTCATGCACTAAACGAAGAAAACTAGACTTAAACTATGAAAGGTAAAAATGACTAAAATGTGCCGAAAACTAAAAATCATTTCTAAAAGCTGCCAAATTAAACACTGCCGGGCACCTCCTAGCAGTTTTGGGGGGTCAATAATAACGACAATGTCCCTCTTCGGTTCAGTAAGTCATACAGAACCATTTATAAGTATTTGAATTAGTTTTCTGACCTGTAAAAACTCCTTACAGTAGCTTTAATCATTGCATTTTTAATTAATCCAAATATTTACCTCGTTTATTTCTTGTATGAAAAAAATGCCTGGACAGACACTCAGAAGTTTTAATGAGCCAAATATTTTCTTTTTATATTTTTTTTGTTGAACTGTTCCTTTAAGTTTGGTATTTGCTTTGTTATATTTTGTATTTTAAAACATCAACTACAGTGTGATATTGACATCAGATATTGGACATTAAGGTCTGATATCTGCTAATTTTCATACATATAAGTTTTATACATTCATATACAAGAGCATATTTTGTGATGTACTTAAGAAAATATAAATACATAAATATAAAATAAAAATTTTCACTAGCATTAAGTTTAATATCTTGAACATTTTTCTCCCAAAATAGCATAAACAGGCTGGAGAAAGTGTTTTTCTGTGTATTGTGGTGATATCTATATGATAAATATTAACTAACTACAAAAGATAAGGAGGTTAAAGTTCTGCACAGTTACACTGACAGGTTCGAGGTTCAAGTTTGAAATATTTTGCACAAAATCAGCAAATTTTTGATTTTTTAAAAATCTTTACCAACCTTGTTTGTGTCAGATTTGTAGATTAACATCAATTATGTAATTTTTACTTCATGTAATTTCCCTGTAGTTCTTGCGCAATCTTTTCTGCTTGTGTTAAAATACTTCCTCTGCACTTTTCTGCAAACCAGACTGGAACAGGCCCAGACATCCACATGGAGGAGAGTCACCTCCTCTCTGAAGGTTGACCATGTTGAAATGAAACTTAGGTGGTATTTTATTAAGACCAAACTGGCTCAGAGTTTCTTCCTCTGCAGCTCAGGCAGTCTGGACTGTGAATGTGGGCTGTGAGGGTTTTTGCTTCACCTCCAAAAATTGTGGTTTTACGGGATAAAGCAGATTTTTTTCAAGGTGGTCTTTCTGTGTCCTGGAAAAGCCTCAGTGCAGCAGAGGCGTGCCGTAATGTCGGGGGCTCCATCAGCTAACATTACACACAAGTCTGACAGGGAGCATCCGCCTGACAGGAGGAGAGGAGAGGGGAGGAAAGGGGGAGGATGGGACCAGGCTTCTGCCACCACAGCACATTTCACACACAGCCAGGCCCTGTGCTAATAATCTGTGTGACTGTTAGCCCGAGCTGGGACTCTATCTCTTCCACCTTGTGCATAAATATTTTAGTTTAGCTGCCAGGACCATGGGCGATATGCTTCCCCGGTTATAATCCACAGCCTCCGCGTTTGCAAGCAACTTTAAAGTTAGTCTGACAAAAGCCAAAGCTGCAAATGACACGTTTCTAACCGCTGGTGGGGGTTAAAGACGCCCCTCTCCTCGGGTTTTGGCATACACCTGTTTCTAACGTGAGAAAATGAATGAACGGCAAGCAGCATGAAGAGCGAAAAAAAGGGGGGCCGAGGAGCTCACCTTCAGTCCGGCTGCAGGAGTCTACAGCTGCCCGTGTCCGACATCCATGTCACCGGGCGGGCGGGGACCGAGCAGCGTGCACCGGCGGCGTTTCACCTCCGTACTCCCGGATTTAGCTCAGCTGTCAGGGGCTGGACTGTTGTTTGTAATCCTGTGTTATTCTCCGACAGTGACACCACACATTTGGCTGCTGTTCTCCACGGTGCAAGAAAATAAACGTCCGGTTTGAACCTTCAAAATAAAACTGAAGATATAGGCCGTTTTCAAATTCGCCTACTACACTAGCAGTACGTACTGATTTGCCCAAAATGTAGTATGCAGTATGTATGGCGACTATCCAAAACAACTTAGTTGCCGAGTATAAACTTCAAGAAACAGGCTGTATCTGCGTTTGTAGTTTTATTCAAAAGGACGAAGCACTTGCATGAAGCAGAGGCCAGGTGAACAGCTGACTTTATTACGACCAGTGCTGACATACTAACTTCAGCCCCACCACATGACTCTCATACCTGTATAACCACACAATACACAAATATTATAAAAGATCATGACTACCACTAAGAACTGGCATCTACACAGTAGGCAAACAAAAGTGCCAGGGCAGACGGCGGAATAGCACAGAGCGGTGAAACCATAGACTGTATATACTATGGACAACTCGGTTCCGCCTACTACCAGTAAACGGATTTGAAGCAGAAAAGCTCTTGAAACCAACGTTGTGCAGTAGCATTGAACGCATTCGGCGGGAGAGTCACTGAGAGTGGCTGTATGACGCTCGGCTCAAACAGCGTATCCCCCGGTTGAGCTATGCAATCTTTGCACGCCCATTGGCTGTATCAAGTGTCACACATAGAAAACATGAACCCCCTAATAACTTTTAAAAATGGAGCTGTACAGAAAAAAAGAGGACTTAAGCACAAACCAGTCTGACAGTAACTACATGTCAACATCGCAAACTGAAATAAACTGAAAGGAGACAGCAGTTTGTATTTGAGGGTTTTTACTGTAGTTGTTAAACTATCGGGACATAAGGGGAAATATGACCACACAATGCAGACGCCATCAGTTAACACATTTAGCGAGGATTGCAATTTCTTTAATTAAACCAGTAAAGGAGAACATAACTGACAACTGTAGGGGAATCTCTTCATACAGTTAGGTTAGAAAATGTAGAGTAATTATCTTTTAGTAAGAAGCTACAAATAATCTAGGTTGGCCTGCTCCTGCAGCCCCACGACCATGAGATTATAAGCAAGGCTGTCTTGCAGGAGCCCGAACTATCTGTCTGTTGGAACACGTAATCTCTGCCTGGGTCAAGACGAACCTAAACCAAGTGTCGTGGGGCAGACATGACATCAGGAGAGGCCTTCTGGAGAACACACACACACACACACACACACACACACACACACACACACACACACACACACACTCACACAGGATAAAAGGGAGTAGAAGAAAAGCTAGAGAGGGCTTCCTTCGGTCTTGGTCGAGACTCTGTTTGTCATCTGTACTGATTTCTACATCTGTACTATTAAAGACGCCCCAGGTTGTTCTTCAGATCTCATCCTGTCTCCTGTGCATTGTTTTACTAAGTTTATGTTGGACTTTCTACAACATAATTGCATGGTGACCACACCATGCAGACGCCATCAGTTAACACATTTAGCGAGGATTGCAACTTCTTTAATTAAACCAGGAAATGAGGACAACATAACTGACAGCATAACTTTGCTGTATTTACAGCAACCGTGATGAGAATCAAATGCTGCCAGATCGACGAGTCCTTGCATAGACAGATCACGTTTTGATGGTATTGGGCTGAAAAAATCCAGAAAAAATTTTTCAGTGCGTAAATGAATGGGCAACACTGTAGTGTCTGTGCAATTTACCACGATATACTGGAAACCAGCTAAACCGGGCGATGCATACTACATGATAACGGCTGACTTGCAGTCATACTGTATACTACTATTGAACACAGTACTCAGTATGCATACTGCTGGTCGGTAGGAGTATGCAGTGGGCCAATTTGAAAACAGCTAGAATTTAGTGGAGGTGCTTTTAATTTGAAAGTGCACTTCCTTTTACTGCTCTGTTGCGCAAGTGCAGCTTTACAACAAACCAATCCCCCCCCCTAAAATTCGCCGCTTCCGGGATGTAAACGGCTTTTTTTCTGTTACAGACACTTAATTTTCAGATTGGGAATCCTAAAGGACATCAGGACCCCTGCTTTAGTTTGGATAAACATTTTAAAATTAACATCAGCCATCGTCCAATCGAGGCTACCTCCGGTATCATCCGACTCCTTCTCATCACAAGTGACGTTTTTAAGGTCACGAGCAGAGGCTTGACTGCGGTTGGTTCTCCATCATCAGGACCGGAGCTGGAGTCAGAGCATCTCATCACGACGCTGCAAGAGGATTCACCTCCCTCATTAAAACCCAATTACATTCAAGCAAAAGTCCCAGTTGGTATTTTTTAACCCCAAGGTCATAAAAATTTTGTTTCAAATATTTATTTCTCAATATCATTTTGAATAAATTCACTTTTTGTTTCAGTTTGGTACAGTGTGTCAGTGCAGAAGCTTTACATTCATATGGCAACAAATGGACACTAGTGCAGATCCACTACAGGAGGTTTATCCAGTTAAAGGATATTCAGGTGTAAAATTAATTTAGGGTCAAACACATCATAACACAGAGTTAGACACCCCGTCAAGAGATAAATGTTTCCGACCACTTGCTTCTGTAGTTTTACCAACTTTAGTAACGACCGCACGATAGCAATACACAGCGGTCTGAGGAGCCATTAACAAACCTCAACCAAACGCCACTCTATAGCCACAAATAATGCTCAGAACAGCACCTAACTTCATCAACAGGACATATAGGGTCACAGACATAGTACTAGACACCAAACATCTTTTTAACTTTGCTTGATTTCTTTAGCAAAGAGACTAAAAACAACTCACCTACTCTCTTCCAGCAGCCGCTTGTTTGTAGCAAGACCTCAGGCCAGTCCATTACGGACTGCAGTGGGGTGACACAGCTTAAGGAAGAACATTTATGATCATTTCTTTATCATTTCCTTGAAGTAATAATCACCAAATTATTCATCATATGATATTGCATTGCATATATCATATCATATTGCATTTCCATGAAGAAATGATCATAAATGTTCTTCCTTGAGCTGCGAAACCCTGCTGCAGTCCGTAATGGACTGGCCTGAGGTCTTGCTACAAACAAGTGGCTGCTGGAAGAGAGTAGGTGAGCTGTGTTTAAACTCTTTGCTAAAGAAATCAAGCAAAGTTAAAAAGATGTTTGGTGTCTAGTACTATGTCTGTGACCCTATATGTCCTGTTGATGAAGTTAGGTGCTGTTCTGAGCATTATTTGTGGCTATAGAGTGGCGTTTTGGTTGAGGTTTGTTTATGGCTCCTCAGACCGCTGTGTATTTCTATCCTGCGGTCGTTACTAAAGTTGGTATAACTAGAGAAGCAAGCGGTCGGCAACATTCATCTCTCGAGGGGGTGTCTAACTCTGTATTACGGTGTGTTTGACCAAAACTTACGCCGGAATATCCCTCTAAAGCCCTGACGCAGCCCTCCAGTTTCTTATTTCCATTTTATCTCATCATAAAAAACAGAGGATTAAACAACCTGAAAGACATTTAAAAGTAGAAACACAGTCAGACAAAGCATAGAAACAAACTTCATAGAGAAATATAAAATCATTGATTGGAACTTAAGAGCGGTTTAAAAGAAACCACAAAGTTAAAGCCTGAAAATCCTACAGTGTTATTATTTCACAGCAGAAAAACCTTCGTAGCAAAAGCTGCACTATATCTGTTTTAAATCTAGATCTTGGAAAAACAAAGAGAGACTGATTTGTAAATACAGAGGCCAGCAGATAGGATAAATAAGAAGGCTAGTGTAGGGCAAAACGATAAAAATATCATTTAACAAATACAAAAAGTTCTCAACAGTTCTACAATTTATATATGTTAGCAAAAAATCACTCAGTGTTTTAACTCGGCAGCAGTTACAGGAATCATCTTCAAGTATGTATTCAAGCGGCTCCCTTCATTTCACATGAGCCTCTCCTAAATGCACTAGAGATACGGCACACACGCCGGTGCAGAAAAATGCAGCAGCAGCCTTCAGTAGTTCAGAGCAGCAAAGGTCTTCAAAGGGTTTTTGGGTAACGAAGTTCAGAGCATCAGAGCGCCCACTGGACAGTGAACGCCTTCGTCATGGGCAAGGCCAGGCCGCTCACAGTAAGAACCTGCGGGGTGAGAAAGACGGTACGAGAACAGTCGTGGGTTTTCGTAGACAGCAGATCTGATTTAGGTGTTCGTTCTTCCTTCCACTGCTTGAAGACATGTTTGTTAGCTGTTAAAAGGTCAATTCTGATAAATTTAGGTTTCTTTATTGATATTCATATAAGGTGTCGCCCAAAAGAGTTCTTCCTGGGTCAGTGATGCCATTCAGCAAAGCCAGAAGTGGGCTGGCCCAAAGTACCAGAGTTCCTACTCCTGTTTACACCTCAGGAAGAACTGTCAGACTTTACTCTGCTCAGCCCTTCAGGGGTACAGTACACTCAACAGAACGAGGTTATATGTGTTATTATACGTCGAGTGTTGAAGGACTACCATTAAGCACTTCCTATTCCTCTTCTTTAAAGCTACACTCTAAGTCCTCCCAGCGTTTCCCGTCCTCTGAGTTGAGAAATTCCTGATTAAAAACAGGATTTAACCCTTTTATTCCCCGATTACGACAGAAAAATTATATCAAGAGGCAAAATAATCATCTTTTGATGCTCCCACTAAGTCCACAAGGATCTTTGCCACACTTTGTGAGCCCTTTACGCACCCTTTCCACATGGGGAATTACCCATAATTCAAAGCACGAAGGAGAAAGGAACGCAATGACATGGAAATGGTGAAAACAAAACACTGACACTTTAAATGAAGTTTGTCTGAGTATAAATTAGAAACTTTTCACCTGAAGTCATTACAGTTTAAAGGTGGGGTAGTCAGGATCTGAGGAAGTGTCAGTTTTGGGAGAAACCTTGATCGTTATCCTCCCAAATGTCATCAATAACTAATAACTATTGACTGATATTAAAGGTTCTTTTGTAAATACACCACAAAAAAGACGCTTCTTTAACAGAATCCTGCTTACCCCATCTTTAAGTGTGTTTTAATCAAGATAATAAAACTCTCATTAATAGTCCTTAGCTGCTAAACTCACCTTGTTGTCAGGGCGATAAGTGACATCACTGACTTTGTGCCCGTTGGCGAGTACATACAAAGGCGGTGAGGGCACGCCAAACACCCGCAGCCCTCCCAGAATCAGACCGTCCAGGGCTCCATTCAGCCTGACAGGATCACTCACCACCTGAGACTGAACCAGACGTTCAAGTTTTTGGGACTCAGATGTAATTTTTCCACAAACACTCATTTAATTTGACCAAAAGATAATTAATTTTTGAAACATCTCCACCTCAGCTTTACCTGTCCAGCGATGAAGATAACATAACAATAATTCCCCATCTCAAAGGTGTCAAGACTCTCCCCGTCATCCCAGAACAAGTCGCCGTTGGCCCAGCCACCCGCTGACAGCGCCACCGTCAGGAAGAAAGGGTTCATGCGCGAGGCTGCGGTGGTCAAATCAGGCTCCTTCACAGAAAAACAACGACAGGTTCAGGAGACAGAAACAAACTGAACTCTCTCCTCTTCAACTTTAAAGGGATATTTCGGCATTTTTAATGTAGGGGGTGTATGAGTTACAAGATGCTGATTAGTTCTGCTCCTTTAATGAGGAGACTGTTTACAGTAGATGAGGCTGAATCATTTTATTGGCTGCATGTGGAGAAAAATGCAGAAACAAACTTTACCTTCTCACCTTTTATGACATCAAATTTTCTGCTTTCGAATCCTCAAATATTTTATTAAAAATCTACCTGGTACACTTTGCCTCCTATCTGCCTACCTGCTGGGGGATGATGTGTCCATCCCTCACATGAAGGTTGATGGTGTCCAGAGGAGCTGGCAGAAGCAGAAACTGCCCCCTACTGTAGAAAGGCTGACCCTAAAAAAAAGGGGAAACAGACCTCAGTGGGAAGAGTGACACAGGGAGATTCAAACATGTTGGTTTACTATGGGAGACAGAACGCAGAATAAAGCGGAGTGACTCACATCATGTAGGCTGTACCAAGTGCCAGGGGGCAGGTAAGCGGAGAGCTCTACTGCCCCTTGCTCTAAAACTGGGCTAATGAGGAGTGAACTCCCCCACAGGAACTGGCGGTCTAAACTCCGACTGTTAGGATCAGTGGGAAACCTACGACAGATGGAAATACACACAGAGGAGTACGTGGTGTTTAGTATTTCCTTTCAAGAGGGTAAAAGAGGACAGAGATAAGAGGACGCATACTCCATGAAGAGAGGCCTGGCCACGGTGTGGGCAGAGGAGTGTGCGTGATAGAAGAGCGTGTAGAGGAACGGGAGGACGGAGTAGCGGAGGTTCAACGCGCTCCGCATGGCTGCCTGAGCCTTCTGTCCGAACACATAAGGCTCCTGAGGCTGAGGGGTAAAGAAACAGGGACACAAACGCACAATGAGAAGATATAGTGTTACCTCTATTCATAATACATGAAACAGACGGGCCACGCTTAAAACTGTGGATACAGCAAACAGGCCGGGCTGCTAAAATAGGAGTAAACGGTGTCCTTGTCTTACAGCGTTCTCTCTGTCGTTGTGGTTCCTCATAAATGGATAAAAGGCCCCGAGCTGCATCCATCGTACACACAGCTCCTCAGTGGTGTTGCCTTCAAAGCCGCAGATGTCCGCCCCCACCAGAGGCACCCCGAACAGACTGAACTGCAGCACGGCTGGAGAGAAGCAGGTGCAAAAGGTCAATGTGCAGCTCTCAAATGATCAACGGTGAGACGCTGTTTGAGTGAAATAAACTCGAATAAGTGAGAAATATCTGTGATGAGTTATGAGAAATCACATCTGCTCACTGGGGATGGAGAATCGAAGCTGCTCCCAGTTACTCGAGACGTCTCCTGTCCAAACACCAGAGTAGCGTCCGATGCCAGGGAAGGAGGAGCGAGACAGGACGAAGGGTCTTCTCCCCCGAACCTTTACGAGCGCACTGAGGATGTGATCAACAACAATCAATAAAAATCAGCTTTGAAGGACAGTCATCCCTCTGCAGTATTAGCTCTACAAACTGAATCTGACCTGTGAGTGGCGTGAGCTTCTGTCAGTCCGTACATGTTGTGCAGGTTGTAATGAGTGGAAACTTTCTGCTGAGCGGACATGCAAAGAGTTTTGGAGTTCAGCTGGCCTCCGATGACCCCTGTAAGTATGACCATCAGAGACACACGGGTGACAGTTTAATGGATCAGATCTTTTATATATCATCTGTCAGGTCTTTTAAGTGTTTATGAATGTGTGAGGGGTTTTAGCAGAGGTGGGGGCTTGACGACTCGACTCGAGACTCGACTTGGACTTGAGTCCCGTTTTTGACTTGCTTGATGAAATCAAGAAATGACTTGGACTCGCTTGGGACTTGATTGCTAAAGACTTGAGACTTGACTTGACTTGACTTGAGCCAAGTGACTTGAAAAATCAAGTCAAGTCTTTTCAAGTCATTTATTACCTTACAGCAAGTCCAAACTGTTTAAAAAGTGTCGCATCAACTAATAGTCAGGAATTGCGGCCGTTGGTAACACCGTGTTGTGTTGCCAAGTCTGCTTATTTCCCGTAAAAAAATTCGCTTGTTTTTGTCTTGTCTCTGGAGGTCTGTTTCCTTATTTCTCTCACAAAACTTGGCAACACTGTCTCAAACTCTAGCCTCCCTCATAACGACAACACTGGGAGGACTGAACATAAATCGCTCGCTTGTATTGCCCGCCTGTTTCCACGTGTTTCCTTGTGTCTCTCTTGTTTTGTTTTGGAACAGTGAATTAGAGTATCAGTTTAATGTTTAATTGTATTTGAGTCTTCCTTATTTAAGTTTCCAATTCTTGAAGTTTATCTGATTATTTTTTGTATGACATGTAAAATAGTTTGGTTAAAGCTGCACTATGTAACTTCACACAAACAAGAACGCTTGTTCAATAATAAATGCAAACAGTGAAAAATGCTCATGATTTATGTAAATCTTTAACAAATGGTTCATGGCTTTGATATGACTTGTTTTTGACTTGAAAGAAATGGTAAGGACTTGGTTGGGACTCGAAACAAAAAGTTCAGGACTTGGACTTGACTTGAGACTTGAGACTTGAGACTCTGGGTTTTAGAGAAGAACAGCTTAGTGGTTTTTGTTTTCAGCGTGCGTCCTTTGAGCTGTTTGAAGATGGAATATGAGGTGATGTAAAGTTAACTCTGCGCAGAAACATCCAGCAGAGGGCTTCTTCTTACCTTTCTAACTACATTTCAGAGATTTTAAACCAGTGCCCAGCCTTATTTTGCATTAGTATACATCCAAGAGAAAAGAAAATTTGCACTTATGCCACCTTTTTGTGAAATAAATTACGTCTGTATGCCTTTAAATGACGATATATCGCAACAGTGGACTGGTAGACCTACTGGGTGTGTAGGGCGGGTTCTCCAGGTCACTGTCAGGACAGCCTTCCTCGGAGCCCTGCACAAAACTGGAAGGTTCGTTCATATCCTGGATGGAGCGTTGTTGAAAGAAAACAAACGGGATATCTTGTTTTATATTTGATTCCAGGGTGAGAGCGGACTGAGCACACAAACACAGAGTCATGTGTAGATCTCTTATTCGTCTAGTCTAAACAAATGTTGGTCTGTGTGTGTTTTTAGATGCTCACAATCCACAAACCATCCACAGGAACTTTAGAGAGAAAACCCCTGATGCAGTCCTCCCACCACACTCTGGTCTCCGGGTTGGTGAAGTCGGGGAAGGCTGTTGGGCCCGGCCAAACCTGCACGTCAATTAAAGACGCACATGTAACAAACTTGCTCCACAGTGGGACAGAAAAGCACGGATTCATCCTTTAAAAAAAACTAACCTGTCCGATCAGGATGTGTCCTGTAGCATTTTTAATGAAGACGTCTCGTTTCAGTCCATCATCAAAGGGTGGGTAAGATCCTGGGGGGCTCGTGCTGCTGATTCCAGGGTCCTAATACAGGAACCAGGAGAACAGGACCAAAAGAAGTTAAAACAGTTTTACTGCCATCTGCTGGGGAAACACTGTAAATGAACTCTTGTACTAAAACTGATGTAAATAATGAGCTCTTTCCTCATGCGTGTGAATTATTCCAAATATAAAATCCTCTCATGTATTCTTGTATACTTTACGATGTCGCACCAGGATGAGGATGTACTTTAGGCCTCTGTTGTGGAACTCCTCCACCATCTTCGGGAGGTCTGTGAACCGCCAGCGGTCGAAGGTGAAGACTCTGCGTTTCTCTGCGTAGTCCAGATCATTCCACTGGACATCCTGGTGGTTAAAAATAAGACATATATATAATCCTAGAGGACTTTGCTGTTTCTTTTGTTGAAGTATCTCAAGTATTTTCGTATGCTGATTGGACACACAGGCATTTAAAATGGGTGCAAATAAATACTGACAATTTCAAGTAAGAATTTTTTACATAAAACGTGTAAATTTTGAGTAAAAATGTCCCGTAACTTTGAATTATTACTTCATTTTTTAAAGAATTTGTGAGTACTTCATTACCATGGGAAAGTTCGCATTGAGCATTCGCTGTGCCACACGCCGGGTTGTGTTAGCAGTCGTGTAACCCCAGCGACACAAATGAAAGCCCAGTGACCAGTATGGAGGCATCATGGGATAACCTGAGGATGAATAAATACATGTTTCCTGCCGGTGTGTACTCTTACGACCTCCGAGACATGCGACTGGAGGATCCTTGAACCCTGGAAATACATACCGATGACCTGGAGGTACTGTCTCACAACACTCTGAGGGTCAGGACCCAAGAACACATACAGGTCCAGGATTCCACCGATAGCCACCCAGGTGAGAGCGGGGGTGGGCTGCAGCACCACCTCTCCAAAGAGACACAATGAAGACACACCTCAGCTTAAACTTTAATTATGCTTCAAAGTTATTAAAGAAATGCAGACTTGACAAAAATAGAAATGAGATTCAGTGTGTGTCGTCGTTCATAGTTTTGTACCCATCGCGTTGCTGTTGAGAAGGAAAACGCCGTGTGCTAAGCCGTCCTCCTCTTGCACGATGTAGAACGGGTGGGAGCCATAAAGGTTAGCGTCAGCCTGGAGAGAAAGACGGGTGAGCAGACGCTTCAAAGACAAAACAGCAAAGAGATTGAGATTGAGATGTGACAATTTAGGACAAGAAATTTCCTATTTTTTGGAGATCGAAAAGGAGTAGGTTGAAGCTATTTAGCTTCTATGTACCTTCCCTCATTTCTTCCTATTCATTTACCCTTAACAAGTCTAGAATTTAGAATTTCTGATGCTGCCAAAAAGTCACCAAAGCTCCAAAGTCTAACATAAATATGTAACTAATATTAATACTGAAACAAAGACCTTACATATACATATATACATCCATACCTATATACAAATATGCACTTTATATATATATATCTAGAATACGTCACATCTCTCATTTGTACCATACCCATATACAATAAGTGTGGCAACACGAAAATCACTTTGTAAGTATTTTTCAATCATACTTTAATTTACTTTAAAACTGTGCTTTTGTTTTGCTTTTCTCAAGTTGTTCCACAGCTTCACCTCCACAACAGAAAGACACGTGATTTTTAGTGTGGTACAAACGCCTGGTTGTTTTAAATTTCATTCCCCTCTTAATACATACCTCGCCTCTCTTCCACCAAACATTTTCTGTATATCATTAGGGAGTAGATTGTTACTGGCTTTGTACATTATCTGTGCAGTTCTAAATTCCACTAGATCAGTTAATTTTAATACTCCTAATTTCAGAAACAGTTCATTAGTATGAAGGAAGAATCCTACCTTGTTAACAATCCTTATTGCTCTTTTTTGCAAAATATATTTAGGTTGTAAATTCATTTTGTACGTATTACCGCAGACTTCTATGCAATAAGTCAGATATAGTAATATAAGCGTATTGTATAATGAGTTTAAAGTTTTATGGTTTAAGATGTTTTTTGTCCTACCCAAAATGCCAATACTTCTAGCGAGCTTTGACCTAACATAGTTTATTCTGGGTTTCCAACTGAGATTCTGGTCCATTTTCACCCCTAAAAAAGATAGGAAATGCAAAATGCTTCACTTTTTGAGCGTCATTTGAAACCACTCACTTTAGAGACATCGTAACCTTCCTTGTGCAAGCCTATATGTCTCTGCACCGTCAGCAGTCCAGCATAAGAAAGACCTCCTTTCTCATATTAAGTCTCTTAAGTTGTTTTTAGCTGATCTTTTAAAGGTCTGAAGAGTTAGAGAAGGGATCTGAGTGACTCACATGAGGCGCTGTGTCTTGGTTCCACAGAGTCAGAGAAGTCCAGTTCAGGTCCAGGAGGAGGGTGGAGTAATGCTCCCCCAGGCCAGACACAAAGGAGGAGGCCAGTGCGGTGGACAGCTGTAGGTACTGGTCAGCAAACAGCAGCGGGGCGACTGTGGTGTTCATACTGGATAGGCAGGACACAGAGAATACACAGACATGATTAGGATATCTTCATTATATTTCATCCCTGTTTAAGAAGATAACTTATGATTATAATGAATGACTATGTTCCTAAAGTGTGTGAAGGAGAAATCACACTGCCGGTGGAAATTTTAATAACAGCAGTACGGTGAAGCACAAGCTGATCTACTCACATCACTTTGCCGTTGGATTTTCGTCGCACGATGAAGCCAAATGGTTCACTCTGATACTCTGTGGTGTAGAGGGCGTCCTGGGTGTTGGATCTGTTTCGAGGGACATCAGCTGGGAGCTTGACTTCATATCGCTGCGATGATGGGTCCTTTATCTGAGAAGGGGAAACAGCTTGTCAAACACGAGGATTGGGGTTTTAAACAGTTGGTTTGACAGAATTTGTAGCTATCGGCTCTGTGAGATCCATTAAAAATCCAACGAGAGGAGAAATATCAGATTACCCAGACTATTGAGAAATCTGATATAGGGGAGAGTGGGGTAAGATGAGCCATTTTTCATATTTCAGATCACTACATCAAGTCAATCATAGTTTTGTCTCTAACTAGTGAATCTGCATATATTTCAAGATGTTGTTCATCCCTGCAAACCAACAGAATGAGTGTAAACAGAACTAATATAGATAATATGCCAAAGAAAGTGGTCTCCTATGGTCAACTTACCCCGTGTATGTATGGGGTAACTCCTCTCTCCCTTAACAGTCACTTCTTCACATTCATGTGTATTTTTATCTATTATACACTATTCAACTGGTACATTAATTCTTTTTATTATTATTGCATTTAACTGCTAAAAAGCTGTTTTGTAAAAAAATTCATTTTAACATGAGAATGTCTTTAAGTGATTCAGAACATTCACAGCTGTATTTTAGAAAAGAAAAAGTAAAAACATTTCAACAATCTGACCTGAAACTCTGATCCTCTCATCAGACTCCTTTACTTTCTCAGTTACCCCAGAACTACTATAATGACTTTATTAGTCCTCTAAACTAAAATGGTGGACTTTTATGTGAGGTTTTTGACCTCATGTTGTAGCTCATAGATACCACAATTGATGTATAAAAAATTTTTTAAATGATCTTTTTTGGTCTGAACACAATTCTAATCAGACTGATGACAGACTAAATTCACTTTCAAGAGTGAAAAATGTTTGTTTTTTTTGTAAATAAATGTCTAACCCCTTCACTCATGTGCTTCTAACCCTCACAGACTCCATGAATTGATGCCCATCTCCTAAATATTTGGTCACATGATCAATTTCTTTGACCATTTCCAAGCAACAGGAGGTGGCTCAACTTACCCCAGTCTCCCCTTAAGTGAAAGATGGTGTTATTTCTTTATCAAATACAGACATCATTTATATACTATTTAAAAGTATACATATTAATAAGATTATTTGTTACTTACAGTGAGGTGTAGGCAGCCTGCAGTCTCTTGCATGACTTCCAGCCTTAAAGTGGAGATGTCTTTGGGGAGGTAGGATGGGGTGGCCCGGGTCAGAGTGGCAGCCTGACCCCGTGGGGTAGGAGTGAAGGGACCCATTTTATATCCGGGGTAAGAACTGGGATAGAAACACCAAGGTGGTCCTTCAGAGTCTGGCAGAGGGGCATAGCAGCAGCCCCTCTCTTCACACTCGCCCTGACTGAGGAGCCGGTCTCTGCCGCAGTCAAAGCGACTCTCAGGGGCCAAAGCGCACTTATCATCCCAGGAGGTGGTAGTTACTTTTCCAGTCTCCTCTACGCTATGTTGTGCTTTTGTCTGACCTGTAATGATAAACCTAGAGTGTCCTGTGGTTTTACTTTGCGTGGCATTGTCTGAACTAAGCAGTTTGGTGTCATTGCTGGAGATAAAGCTGATGTAAACACATGTTCCTAAAGCGAAGACGAGAAGAAGAAGCGCCGGAGTAACGTTAGACAGTAGAGACATGCCTACGTGAGAGATTGGCGTAAAAACACGTTCATAAAAAGTAGGAAATTAAGCAAAATTTGAGTATCGACATGCCAACAGCGAAGAAACATTCAAAATGAAAGCACAGCGACGCACAACTTCCTTATACGGCAAGCAAACTGGGACAAACATGGTCCGCAGTGAACTTTTGCGGCGTCTGCTTTCATTTGTTCCGTCATTGTGTTTGAGTCATTCCTCTTAGAAAGTGTAGTAAATAAAACTATTTAAACCATGTTTAATATGAAGAAACGACATGTATACACTGACGTTTGCGGCTCTAAAAACAGCTCACGGACATAAAGTGGCGTTTACAGCAGGGGCGAATACAGACTTTTTGAGTGGGGTGGCCTAGTTGGAGTACTGGGGTGGCCTTACTCACACAGTTATTGCCAGCTTTTCAAAGTGTCCCAAGTGGTTGATTTTTTTTACTTCAGTCCTGCCCTGACAAGCCATAAAAAGCATCATAGCTCAGGATTTTGAGGTGGCAATTTTGTTGGCCAATCAGATTTCACGGGTAGCAATTCCTTATGAGATAGAAACACCTCAAAATTGACTTGTGGCATATGTATCATTGAGTCATGTTTGAAAATTTACAAATTACTATGATTTTTCATGATGACGTGTACAATCCCATTTTGATCAAATGGATTAATCCGTCTAATTTCCCCAAATCACAAAAGCAGATTTGGTCCAAAAAGAATCAAATCAAACCAACATATCACATGGTTTTCTGGTCATGCTTTTCATTTCTTCAAAAGTGTAAAACAATTTCATAATTTGTGTGTTAAATAAACATGTAAAAACATGTGCAAGGATGGTCTTAGAATGAACATTCACTTGACAAATTCACTTTTGTGTTAGGAGTATTTGTGCTCTGAATATTTACCATAGCAAGCTTACAGTCTGCTTGTGGGACTTTGTCAGACATCACATATACATTTTGATTTTGAGCCACATATATCATCCTGATTTATCCAGAATTAGGTGCCAACGTGTTCTTAGCAGTGTTGTAGTTTAGCCTGATAAATGTCAATAGCTTTTTCAAACCAAATGATGTGACCTTAGAAAGTCTGTTACTTATCAAATTACCCTAATCACAGGAACCTAGAGGACTGATAGTGTGATGAAAGAAGGGGACGGAAAAAAAAAAACCTGAAACACTTGAAAGTAAAAAAGTTTATTGTATTTGAACATGCTTCAAACTTTTAAGACCGATGTTGGCAGATGGCTGGTAAAACCGTCTAGCTTGTTTTCCAACAAACAATACAAAGATAAGAAGCTCGACACACATCTCAACAATGATTCAAGGTTGGATATATCAAAACCCATATGCCCATCAACCACTTCCCTATTTTTCTGATTCCTGGGCACTTACAGTTTGAGTTATGCTAAGTTCTAAGTCTGGTGCCGAAGTGTTGACACGGTCACTCAACACTAGACCAGATGCCTTAATCTTTTTTTTCCCTTTTTTGTCTTTTACAATGTTTCCTAAAGACCTGCTGTACATAAGGCTCATGAGTTTGTCATTGTTCCAGTCATAATCAATTCTTGTGTTTGTCAATGACATGACTGCTAGGGCCGTTCATCAGCCTTGTGTGTCAAGACCAGTGATCACAGGCAAACTACTTGTTTACAATGATGTTGCATGCAACAGGGCCTCTGAATGTAAAGCCCAGGTAGAATGTGATGTTCTCATTACTATGAGGTACCGAAGGTACGTGAAGAGGGAGGATGTTGAACTTTTTCTTCTTGGGGCCATCAAGGTACACCACTCCATCTTCCGTCCATCCAGATACACGTTTCAACATCATGGCAATCTCAGGCCTTTTCCATGCCTCACCCCTGAACCATTTCATGCGTTTCTCAGACACTGAAAAAATTTCTGTGACGTTCTCAAACTTTTTCTTGTGGACAAATTTATCCAATCCGTTCCCACTACCTAGAAAAAAATGGGTGTAGAGCCTTCTCTTCCTCTGGGGAATGTCCTTCATTTTGGTCCAGTAGCCTTTCTCCAGGTGTTCCACTGCTGACTGAACCATTTCATATTTGTTTTCTCTCTCATTACTTGTGTCATGATCCTCTGGCCAGAACAGCAAAGTCTGCAGGAACAGAGCACTTGGTAAACATTTCCTCTTGTCAGATGGAAACTGACGACAAAGTGCCTGTAGAGTTGTCAGAGGGACTAATGTCTGATTCCCTGGTGACAGGCAGTTCAGTGAAATGTGGGCCATGATGTAGTTGACAATATCCCTCTGACCAAATTTGGCCTGCAGTGGATTTCTGGGGTACAAAGAGAGAATTTTTTCCAGAAGGGTTACTGCATCCTTCTGGTCAGTTAGCTTAGAGAGGATGGATGTTACATTACCCCCCCCAAGACGGTAGATGATCATGCGTTTTTGAAAAGGAGTAAGATTGTCTGGGATAGACTGCCCCTGAAGTGCAAAAGAGTAAGCTTCACAGAAGTACTTCCCATACTCTGAGGATTTTTTTGCCAACCATGTCAGTGGGTGGCTGATTTTCTCTTCCGGGCTTTCAGGGGTTTCCTCCTCATCTGTGCCGATGTCTGTCTGAAAGTAGCTGAGGTCTTCTGAAATCCACTCCAGAGCATCTTGCATTGTTTTGTGAAGCTTTTTCAAACGCCCGTGAAACGGTTCCCAGGCATCCTTAACTTCCTCTGGAATGTAATCCGTCAACAAGTACTTCATACACTCTGAGTGGCCAGTGGTTCCGTGTGCAAACACACTCATTGAAGAGATCAGTTTGAGAAGACTGCATCCAACTTCAACCTCAGCAAAAAACCCTGAATGGTTCACATTTTCCATGTCTGCTTCAGCTGCTTTCTCAGACTCTTGAAAACATTCAAGGGCTTTCAGTGCTGTTCCCAATGCATCTGCTGTATTTTGGGGTGTCTTTCGTACATTGTCATTGTCCATGGCTTTGCATTTTGCTTGAAACCATTTCCTGTACACTTGCCCTTTCGTGTCCAGTATATAGGAGTTGTTTGGCTGCTGTTGAGCTGCTGTCTCAGCCCAGGATTTTGCCTCCTCAAACTTTTCGTAAGTGTAGTGAAGACGAGCAAGTTGTTGTGCAAAGAATGGGTCTTTGTGAAAACGCTGGAAAGCCTCCTTCAGCAATTCAATTGCTTTATCTGAGCTTTCCTTTTCACGGACATGCTCAATCAGAGGAGAGAAAAAACTGTCATATAAATCCCCTTTGCTGATTCTTGATCGCCTTATGAAAAGCGCTCTCAGAAAGAACAAATATTCTCCCCGTCCAAATCTGTGTTCAAAAAGGACATTCTCAAAGAGCAGCTGCGTGGCCAAACTGCTCTGGGTCTGCCCTCTCAACAGTTGCTGGAGAATTTCTTTTGCAACAAGTGGGTGAATAATTCTGATTGATTTAATGTGCGTTTTTTCGTCTCGAAGATGCAAAAAGACGAGTTTAGCCTGGGGGCTGAGTGATTTCTCAAACTCATGTTGGGGAAACCTTTCAAAGTGAATAGTAAGAGCAAGCAAGGCTTCACAATGAGACTGGGAGATGAACGAGTTTTGAACATAAGTGTTTAACAGAGCGACATAGAGGATGAGGCGAGTGACAACTGACTGGTGGTCAATGCCTTGTAGCAGATGCTCCACAAACTGCTGAACGTATATCTCATTGAATCCTTCACTCATCAGAACGAAAGTAAGGATGAATTCAGGTTCATACCATTTTTCAAGTGCCTTTCGTTTTCCAGAAAACATCCGTCTCTCTCGGTCGGACAGTTTGTGAGTGACAGACACATTCTGTAGAGGAGATTCCTTGCATTTCTTCTCTGGATCATATGATCGCCGACAGCTCAACAAAATGAAGCAAGCAGTTCCATACTGAATTTTCTTGGTGTTAACAGCTACCTCTAGTTCGTTTCTGAGATTGTCAAGATATTCTTTGTCTGAGTCTTCAATGAGAAGCAACACAGTAAGACACTTCTCTGGATCTTTTTCTTCATACTCCCGAAGTTCAACAGCATGTTGTGCAACAATGGAAGCGGAGTATGAGGGCTTCACAACTGCACACCTCATATCTTTTCTGTTATTCCACAGAACTTGTCTTGCCACTGTGCTTCCACCACTTCCTGGATGATGGAAGATGTTTATACTGTTGACTGGAGTTTCATCTGCATTCCATTTCAAAGTGTCATGGAGGAGTTTGTAAACCGCATGATAGGCATCTCTTTTAATGACCTCTCCAACATACTTGTGCTCAGCAAGCCAGAAATTCAACCAGTTCACTTTCCCACCCCGGTAGAACTGCTGCTCGATGTTTACTTTTTCCTCATCGATGAAGTCTGTATTCGTTTCATCACAATGATTAACGGTCAGAATTTCCAGAGAATACATCTGTTCCTCTTTACATGTTTCAAGAAGACACGTTCCTTTCAAAAAGACTGGCAAGTGTTTGCGAATGCATGCCTTAAAAGGTTGCACTTGCAGCAGAGTTGAATTGATGTGACTCATTTTCATCCCAACAACACTGGAATTGTTCACAGCTTCTGTTCCACATGACCCCTCTGCAAAGCTTTGCCACTTCTGAAAGTTTGCTTGGGACTCACAGATGCAGATGATATCTTCGTGGCCTTCCATGTCAGTGAAAAACTCATTGAAGGTGTGCAAGAGTGGTTTCTCAACTGGGGACGTTAGAAGAAAAATGACCTGGAAGGTTCCTTTTGGCAAGATCTGCTTACATATCAAAGAGACGCACTCCCTCAAGAGAGTCACTTTTGTTTTGATCCAAGTCATTTCATCACACCAAGTTTCATTTCCCTTGAAGTCAGTTTGGCCATTACAAAAAATCCAGCTGGTTTGCTCAAACAGATGCAGTTGGTTTGTGACATCTTTAATGCTCATGTCACCAGACATCCTGTAACTCTGCAAAGAATGCATGTTTGCAGCATGGTGCTGAAGGTACTCCCTGCAAAGACCTGATATCTTTGAGTCTGGGTCAAAGTCAAAAACACAGAATATGTTCAAGTTGAGCAGCCAGTTTATGTTGCAAAGATCACTGGGTTGAAATTTGTTTGTGACTAGTATGAACCACTTATCTTTTTCAATGAATTTCTTCCCACTAGTCATCAGCATCGTTAGCTTCCTTCCTAGGTCTTGGCACATTTCTGGAGCAGAGAAGGCCTTTTTTTTCTCTTCTTCTTCTCTAAGTGCATCTCGATCTCCGACTCTCTGGTAGAAGTCACTCAGGTCTTTCTCATTCACAGGCTCAGTTTTTGAACCAACCCTCCGCAGAATTGTTGCTTTTTCAAACTCTACTTTGTTGGTTGACTCTTTGAAGTTTGGCAGACGAACGGCATACACCTTGCCCTTGACAATGCTTATTGATGGTACGACATCAACCTCTACCACAAACCTCTTTTCTGTACTGTTCCTATCCATAACTTCAATGAACCTGGGTGGACGCACACACTGGCGAACATGCTCCTTGTCAGAGGAGACACACTTTTCAATGTAGTCCAAAGCATCTACAAAAATGTCCCTCTCTTTCACAGGAATACCGATGATCTCACCATGCACATACCCTGCATCTTCCCTGCTGTCCATGACACCAAAGTGTATAGTGCCATTTGTTCTCATATTCATACAGCCAACAGCAAATTTAAGGACCTCCTTTGCAAACTTAGCTTGGAGTCTTGTGCGATCCAATGTAGCAGCTGTAGCAAGTGACTTGAATTCATGGCACGGAGATATTAGATTAAAAGCACCAGATTCTGGCTGCAGGACTCGGTGCTTTACATATATGAAATCAACACCCTCTTGATCAAAAGGTCTTGGTCTGCAGTCTTCCCTTGAGGTTACAGATTGTCTCTCTTGTGAGCCATCCTCTTCTCTCTCATGAGCATGCACTAGACGGCCTTCAACTGTTGTTGGTACTCTTTCACCTGTTTTCTGTTCCAGCTCAGGTTTTTTGGCATTGGTGTTTTTTTTCTTGTCTTGAGTCTTTTGGTTGGATTTAATGAGCTCATCTCTCTTTTGAATTATCAAATGAGCAGGCCCTGATTTCATGCTAATCTTTGTCTTTAAAAACTCTTCATCCAACATCAGAAGGACTCGTCCATTTACTTCCTCTTCTATAAGTTTATCTATGTACTGCTTCTTTACTCCAATCGATTCCAACCATGAGCTGACTTGAGATTCAGTCCAGTCCTCAGGTGACTCGTCGAGCTTGTCAGCTGTGGCTGGGGGGAAAGCAGAAATGGCACAAGTTTCATCATAATTAAAATGTCTTTGTAGGTTCTCAATCATGGTTATCAAATTCTTTGTTGAAAGAGCAACTGGATTTGCTTGAGGTTCTCTTCCAAAAGGCTTCTTCGGGGCCAGAATTCAAAATTTATCAATTCCTTTGACCACAATCAAAATAGCGCTTTTGATCACAGGCTCCAACATCATGCAAACATGGCAAACCTGAAGAGACCCAGGAGCCAGGTCAACAACCCTGCTTAGGACTCTCAGGTGACCCAGCTGTGAATGACTCTCAGGTGACCACCCACCCCTTTCACAGATGGATGATCAACAGAGGCTATATATTTCCAACTTTGGCCCCAGTCACTTTTCAAACTGAAGATGCCTTTTGGGGGTGAGGCAAAACATTCTCAAGAGCCCCAAGCAAGTCCAGTTGCTCTTTTAATGAAGAATTGAATCATAATGAAATTTAAAAGGACAACATGTAGTTCCCCTCAAGTCTTTAGGTATATTTGTGATTCTAAATGTTAGTATAGTTGCTCATGCAGAAGCACAGTGCAATGAGGTAACCCCCCCCCCCCCCACACACACACACACACACCAAACACCACACTACACATCAACATAACACTGAGCTATCGAGTTTGCTTAACTAAAGCAGCAGAAAAGCATTTCTCTGTTGAGTTAAATAACATTAATTGATAAAAATTGGGAGGAATTAGAGTCAAATGTAAACTTCTATCAGAAAAACGGTAAAAAGTGACTCTCTTACCGGCAAAAGAGGTGGTATTAGTGATAAAACAGAGTGTAATATGAATCCACAGAGTAGGGGCATGGTATTAATCAGTATTCTAGCTGATCAGGATGAAGTTCATAGAAATGTACTCCACACTCAGTTACAGGGCCTTGCTGCTCTTGCTGGCTTTATAGATGACGATGAAGGTTGGCCAACAGATGGTCAGACCATAACAACACAACAGAAAACTCTTCTTATCTACAGGTATTTTTAATCCCCCCCACACGCACACACGCGCGCACACACACACAAAACTTATCACCAACTCACCCATGGTTTTCTTTTCTTTTCATCACTACATCCACTTAGACGTTTTCTCTTAACCACATCCCATCTGCAAAGGAAGAGTAAAACAGTTTTTTTTCAGTCCATGATCTTTTCAATTTCAGTTCATTTGTCATCTTTACAGTTAGTGCATTAAAATGCATGTTGCCCAATGTGTGATCTAACAAGACGATTGCCATTAAGGGAGACGTGGTCTAATCTTGCTGGCATTCTCTAGTTATAAATTACTCAAGTCCTTATGTTTGTCAGCAAGTTGCTCTTCTGCTCATCTGCTATTTAGTGGTGGGCAGGGGTATGTGTTGCGTTTTATTTCTGAGGATGTACCCCTCACCGGTCAACTTCAGGTTGGAAAAACAATAAAAAACCAAAGCCAGACAACCACAAAAGTTCTGGGTGCCATGATCATTGCCTTTTTAACACACTTGTATTCATGAACATTTTTGGTGGTAAAAACTTGACATATGGGGGATTATAGCTACATTACAGGGGTTTTGCTCCCTTAAGTAGAGAGGTGAGCAAAAGAGCATTTTGATGAAGAAACTGACCTCAAAGTTGCAAAATATTTCAATTTGTATACAGCACACATTCAAATAACTATAATAGGCATGAAGAAATGTTCAAGTCTACATTATTCAAAATTTCAAATAAGCATATTTTTAGCATGTAGTCTGTAGCATGCAATTACTGGGTAGGACTTTTATTTCATCCAATGATGTTTATCTTTTAGATAAGATAAAATAAACCTTTATTCATCCCATGGTGGAGAAATTTGCAGTTTTAACCGCAGCAAAGAATCAGTATAGCAAACATAGAAGAACATGTACGCCTATCATGAACACAGTGCAAAGATAAGTATAAAAAGGTTTTAGACCTATACAAACATGTTACAGACAAAAAAAGAGAAAAAATTTAGGCAACAACAAAAAAACAAAAAACAAAACTGTGCTACACAGTGAACAAAAAAGAATTGGACATGTTTTTGCAAGCTATTAGTTTTCATACCTGAGAAAAATGTGGGTGTTTGCAATTGTAATAAGTAAGTCTCATCACGCAGGTTTAGAAGCCTGACACTGAAGGAGCTGCAGTGCTGGGACAGTGCTCTGTGGGGGTGGGAAACAGTTTCTATGAATGACAATTGCTCCGGACTAATCCGGGGGCGACTGGAAAGTTCTCTCCTTTCCTTTGCCAAAATTTCACAGCGTTCTTGTTGCGGTTTCTAAAAATTGCCAAATAGTTTTAAGGTACTACTGACAAATGACAGTACATGACACAATAACTTAAAGCAATGCCAAAAATAGAGCTAGAAACTCAAAATTCGGCGATTAAAAATACAGACACAAGAAATGTTTTCTTACGACAAGAATAGACAGTCACATTTCATGAAAATTTGGACGGAACTGAATCTTTGTCAGTTGGACGCCGCCTTCATTGTTTTAAAAAAAGACCGGGAAAAAGACCAAATGGAGGAGGGGGGTGAAAGGACCGCAGTGTTGGCAGTTTTTAACCCTCGAAAAATGTAGTCTTACCGAAGTTCTTACCTTGACTAAGTGCCGAGAAATACACAGTCTTTATCGCTTGTCTGCCTTTAACTCTTGTTTCCCTCCTGACTCGTTTCGACCAAGTCCGACTGACACTGACAGTTGATCCGTGGGAAGTTCCTCACATGGTTGACTGGGGCTGGGCGAAACCCGGTAAGTTTTTTGGAGTAGGGTGACGTCTGCAACATAGACGTGTATATAAACGCTAGATGGCTCAGCACGCAGTGAGCCAATGGAGACCGACGTCCGCGCACGGCGGCCATCTTGCTTCAGGCATCTCGCCCACTCATAACTTCCCAGGCTACGGTGCATGTAGCCAGGGCTCCAGGGTGCGATCTAATTTATTAATGTGCTAGTTAATTTTGTACTGTTTTCAACAACAATGGCTGTCGCAGTTCCCGTGGTTGCGATACGAGGATAAACCCATGGTGTGTGTGTACTGCAGGACATGTGGCCCGTAAGTTGTAGGCAGAACACATTTTGTTAAGGGGTCGACACAGTTCAAGATTCAGTCACTTAAATTACATCATGAGAGCCAGAAACACAAGACGTGCAGGAGGCCTAACTATATGAGCTGGGCCCTAGAATGAGATAAATTGCAGGGACTAAATGAATGCTGCTAATAATTCCAGTTCGGTTGAATTACAGTGTGAAGTTGATGCTGCTGTGGTGCTGTCACTTTTAGTTAAGTTGTTAAATGCACCTTGTTAGTTTAAGTTGAGAATATTGTCTGGTATGTCTGTGCAGGTCCTTTTGTCATTTTGATGTTTTTATGTGAAGATGACCTATTTTAATACTGCTGCTCATGCAGAGAAACCTACAGACAGTTCAGATTAAAATGTTTTGTAAATATGAAGTTTGGGTCATTGTCAATCTTTAACTTTTATCTACATGATAAGATCAAGTATTACTAACACGCTATATACAAAGAAAAAGATGGTGATACCTAGATAGTCGCTGTCTTGGGGCAAGCTGAGGCCGAGGTCTGTAGGGGGGAATGGCTGCTGTCTCTGCAGGAGCTCCAACCTCTCCTCCATCTGTCTCTGGAATTCTTGGTGCTGCAGCTGCTGCTGCTTGTGAACACTCTGGAGTGAGGAAAAAAAAAGATATTTTCTAGTGAAGTCATCAGGAGGGGAATCATAACATGCCGGGTGCAAGTCCTTGACAGTCCACTAGATGTTGCTGTTGAACTTACTTTGGGGTAGGTGATTACAAAGGCCACCCAGCCAGCCAGGAGGAAAGTGGAGAAGATGATGGTGGCCATGTCTTTGAGCATGGAGTCCATGGGTGCTTCCGGGCGCGCAGGGCGACCACTGGTCTTTGTTTCCTCCACAGATGTTTCAGGCAGAGGAGAAGGCGGGCCGTCGTCCCTGCCGCTATCATTCACCTTCTACAGCAGAGAGGAAGCAGCGAGAACAGGGAGAGAGAGAGAGAGAGAGAGAGAGAGAGAGAGAGAGAGAGAGAGAGAGAGAGAGAGAGAGATGGTCAAATCTGAAAAAAAGAAGTTTTGACATCTGAAATAACCTGAGGCCTGAGTATTTCCAAACTCACACAGTTATTGCCAGCTTTTCAAAGTGTCCCAAATGGTTGATTTTTTTACCTCAGTTCTGCCCCCTAACAAGGCATTAAAAGCATCATAGCTCAGGATTTTGAGGTGGTAATTGTGTTGGCCAATCAGATTTCATGGATAGCAATTCCTTACAAGACAGAAACACCACAGAATTAACTTGGATACGTTTCATTGAGTCATGTTTGAAAATTTACAAATTACTATGGTTTTTCATTATGACTTGTTAACAGATCCATTTTGATCAAATTTATTAATCCGTCTAAATTCCCCAAACTACAAAAGCAGATTTGGCCCAAAAAGAATCAAATCAAACCAACATATCACATGGTTTTCTGGTCAGGCTTTTCATTTCTTCAAAATTTGTATGTTAAATAAACATGTAAAAACATGTGCAAGGATGGCCTTAGCCTCTGAGAAACAAAAATTTACATTCATGTGACAAATTCACTTTTGTGTTAGGAGTATTTGTGCTCTGAAAATTGACCATAGCAAGCTTAAAGTCTGCTTGTGGGACTTTGTCAGATACAACATATACATTTTGATTTTGAGCCACATACTGTATATCATCCTGATTTATCCAGAACTATGTGCAAACATTTTCTTAGCAGTGTTGTAGTTTAGCCTTATAAATGTCAATAGCTGTTTTTCAAGCCAAATGATGTGACCTTAAAAAGTCTGTTTCTAACTAAATTACTTTAATCACAGGAATCTAGAAGATTGATAGAGTGATTAAAGAAAGAGACGAAAAAAAAATTGAAACACTTCAAAGGAAAAAAGTTTATTGTATTTGAACATGCTTCAAACTTTTAAGACCGATGTTGGCAGATAGAAAAAAATCCCTTTATGCTGGTATAAAACATGAATTCCAAATGAAACGTTTTATGAAAAGTTTTAAAAACATTTTAAAAAAAGACAAAAAGGAGAATAGACACAGCTGCGAAAGTCTACATTTACATTGTGATCTACTTGTACGACATCTCTGGTTGCTTTAGGCTGAGTAAAGTTTTATTACAGCCAAAACATTCATTGGTTTTTCACAGCATATCAATAATAATGCACACTTAACTCCAACTGAATACAGTACAGTTGATCTTAAAACATTTTTCACAAAAACACAATTACAAAGCTCAAAATAATGATTCATATAATGATAATGATACACTGTATTCTGGCAAACAAAGCAGAGAGAGTACTTCAAAATCATCTCAACCTAAGAGTAAGCCTTTAAGATGACTCCAGAGTTAAAAACTTTGATTAATCATATGGCTAAAACTGGCAGTTTAGATTTAGGTTCTGAAGGCATACCTCCTACCCTGTTCACCAGGTGTGAGGTATCAAACAGCCAACAAATGCTGAAGTCCCTTTTGTAGTCCTCTGTTTCAATAATAAATATCCATTGTGCACTGGCTAGCAAAGCCTGCTAGCTTGTTTTCCAACAAACAATACAAAGATAAGAAGCTGGACACACGTCTCAACAATGATTCAAGGTTGGATATATCAAAATCCATATGCCCATCAACCACTTCCCTATTGTTCTGATTCCTGGGCACTTACAGTTTGAGTTACGCTAAGTTCTAAGTCCGGTGCCGAAGTGTTGACACGGTCACTCAACACTAGACCAGATGCCTCAACCTTTTTTTTTCCTTTTTTGTCTTTTACAATGTTTCCTAAAGACCTGCTGTACATAAGGCTCATGAGTTTGTCATTGTTCCAGTCATAATCAATTCTTGTGTTTGTCAGTGACATGACTGCTAGGGCTGTTCATCAGCCTTGTGTGTCAAGACCAGTGATCACAGGTAAACTACTTGTTCACAATGATGTTGCACGCAACAGGACCTCTGAATGTAAAGCCCAGGTAGAATGTGATGTTCTCATTACTATGAGGTACCGAAGGTACGTGAAGAGGGAGGATGTTGAACTTTTTCTTCTTGGGGCCATCAAGGTACACCACTCCATCTTCCGTCCATCCAGATACACGTTTCAACATCATGGCAATCTCAGGCTTTTTCCATGCCTCACCCCTGAACCATTTCATGCGTTTCTCAGACACTGAAAAAATATTTGTGACCTTCTCAAACTTTTTCTTGTGGACAAATTTATCCAATCCTTTCCCACTACCTAGAAAAAAATGGGTGTAGAGCCTTCTCTTCCTCTGAGGAATGTCCTTCATCTTGGTCCAGTAGCCTTTTTCCAAGTGTTCCACTGCTGACTGAACCATTTCATATTTGTTTTCTCTCTCATTACCTGTGTCATGATCCTCTGGCCAGAACAGCAAAGTCTGCAGGAACAGAGCACTTGGTAAACATTTCCTCTTGTCAGATGGAAACTGACGACAAAGTGCCTGTAGAGTTGTCAGAGGGACTGAAGTCTGAGTCCCTGGTGACAGGCAGTTCAGTGAAATGTGGGCCATGATGTAGTTGACAATATCCCTCTGACCAAATTTGGCCTGCAGTGGATTTCTGGGGTACAAAGAGAGAATTTTCTCCAGAAGGGTTACTGCATCCTTCTGGTCAGTTAGCTTAGAGAGGATGGATGTTACGTTACCCCCCCCAAGACGGTAGATGATCATGCGTTTTTGAAAAGGAGTAAGATTGCCTGGGATAGACTGCCCCTGAAGTGCAAAAGAGTAAGCTTCACAGAAGAACTTCCCATACTCTGAGGATTTTTTTGCCAACCATGTCAGTGGGTGGCTGATTTTCTCTTCCGGGCTTTCAGGGGTTTCCTCCTCATCCGCACTGATGTCTGTCTGAAAGTAGCTGAGGTCTTCTGAAATCCACTCCAGAGCATCTTGCATTGTTTTGTGAAGCTTTTTCAAACGCCCGTGAAACGGTTCCCAGGCATCCTTAACTTCCTCTGGAATGTAATCCGTCAACAAGTACTTCATACACTCTGAGTGGCCGGTGGTTCCGTGTGCAAACACACTCATTGAAGAGATCAGTTTGAGAAGACTGCATCCAACTTCAACCTCAGCAAAAAACCCTGAATTGTTCACATTTTCCATGTCTGCTTCAGCTGCTTTCTCAGACTCTTGAAAACATTCAAGGGCTTTCAGTGCTGTTCCCAATGCATCTGCTGTATTTTGGGGTGTCTTTCGTACATTGTCATTGTCCATGGCTTTGCATTTTGCTTGAAACCATTTCCTGTACACTTGCCCTTTCGTGTCCAGTATATAGGAGTTGTTTGGCTGCTGTTGAGCTGCTGTCTCAGCCCAGTGTTTTGCCGCCTCAAACTTTTCGTAAGTGTAGTGAAGACGAGCAAGTTGTTGTGCAAAGAATGGGTCTTTGTGAAAACACTGGAAAGCCTCCTTCAGCAATTCAATTGCTTTATCTGAGCTTTCTTTTTCACGGACATGCTCAATCAGAGGAGAGAAAAAACTGTCATATAAATCCCCTTTGCTGACTCGTGATCGCCTTATAAAAAACGCTCTAAGAAAGGACAAATATTCTTCCCGTCCAAATCTGTGTTCAAAAAGGACATTCTCAAAGAGCAGCTGCGTGGCCAAACTGCTCTGGGTCTGCCCTCTCAAAAGTTGCCGTAGAATTTCTTTTGCAACACGTGGGTGAATGATTCTGATTGATTCAATGTGGGTTTTTTCATCCCGGAGGTGTAGGAAGGCAAGTTTAGCCTGGGGGCTGAGTGATTTCTTAAACTCATGTTGGTGAAACCTTTCAAAGCGAATAGTAAGAGCAAGCAAGGCTTCACAATGAGACTGGGAGATGAACGAGTTTTGAACATAAGTGTTTAACAGAGCGACATAGAGGATGAGGCGAGTGACAACTGACTGGTGGTCAATACGTTGTAGCAAATTTCTCACAAACTGCCAAATATATTTCTTCCTGAATCCCTCACTCATCAGAACGAAAGTAAGGATGAATTCAGGTTCATGCCATTTTTCAAGTGCCTCTCGTTTTCCTGAAAACATCCGTCTCTCTTGGTCAGACAGTTTGTGAGTGACAGACACATTCTGTAGAGGAGATTCCTTGCATTTCTTCTCTGGATCATAAGATCGCCTACAGCTCAACAAAATGAAGCAAGCAGTTACATACTGAATTTTCTTGGTGTTAACAGCTACCTCTAGTTCGTTTCTGAGATCGTCAAGATATTCTTTGTCTGAGTCTTCAATGAGAAGCAACACAGTAAGACACTTCTCTGGATCTTTTTCTTCATACTCCCGAAGTTCAACAGCATGTTGTGCAACAATGGAAGCGGAGTATGAGGGCTTCACAACTGCACACCTCATATCTTTTCTGTTATTCCACAGAACTTGTCTTGCCACTGTGCTTCCACCACTTCCTGGATGATGGAAAATGTTTATACTGTTGACTGGAGTTTCATCTGCGTTCCGTTTCAAAGCATCAAGGAGGAGTCTGGAAACCGCATGATAGGCATCTCTTTTAATGACCTCTCCAACATACTTGTGCTCAGCAAGCCAGAAATTCAACCAGTTCACTTTCCCACCCCGGTAGAACTGCTGCTCGATGTTTACTTTCTCCTCATCGATGAAGTCTGTATTCGTTTCATCACAATGATTAACGGTCAGAATTTCCAGAGAATACATCTGTTCCTCTTCATGTGTTTCAAGAAGACACGTTCCTTTCAAAAAGACTGGCAAGTGTTTGCGAATGCATGCCTTAAAAGGTTGCACTTGCAGCAGAGTTGAATTGATGTGACTCATTTTCATCCCAACAACACTGGAATTGTTCACAGCTTCTGTTCCACATGACCCCTCTGCAAAGCTTTGCCACTTCTGAAAGTTTTCTTGGGACTCACAGATGCAGATGATATCTTCGTGGCCTTCCATGTCAGTGAAAAACTCATTGAAGGTGTGCAAGAGTGGTTTCTCAACTGGGGACGTTAGAAGAAAAATGACCTGGAAGGTTCCTTTTGGCAAGATCTGCTTACATATCAAAGAGACACACTCCCTCAAGAGAGTCACTTTTGTTTTGATCCAAGTCATTTCATCACACCAAGTTTCATTTCCCTTGAAATCAGTTTGGCCATTACAAAAAATCCAGCTGGTTTGCTCAAACAGATGCAGTTGGTTTGTGACATCTTTAATGCTCATGTCACCAGATATCCTGTAACTCTGCAAAGAATGCATGTTTGCAGCATGGTGCTGAAGGTACTCACTGCAAAGACCTGATATCTTTGAGTCTGGGTCAAAGTCAAAAACACAGAATATGTTCAAGTTGAGCAGCCAGTTTATGTTGCGAAGATCACCGGGTTGAAATTTGTTTGTGACTAGTATGAACCACTTATCTTTTTCAATGAATTTCTTCCCACTAGTCATCAGCATCGTTAGCTTCCTTCCTAGGTCTTGGCACATTTCTGGAGCAGAGAAGGCCTTTTTTTTCTCTTCTTCTTCTCTAAGTGCATCTCGATCTCCGACTCTCTGGTAGAAGTCACTAAGGTCTTTCTCATTCACAGGCTCAGTTTTTGAACCAACCCTCCGCAGAATTGTTTCTTTTTCAAACTCCACTTTGTTGGTTGACTCTTTGAAGTTTGGCAGACGAACGACATACACCTTGCCCTTGACAATGCTTATTGATGGTACGACATCAACCTCTACCACAAACCTCTTTTCTGTACTGTTCCTATCCATCACTTCAATAAACCTGGGTGGACGCACACACTGGCGTACATGCTCCTTGTCAGAGGAGACACATCTTTCAATGTAGTCCAAAGCATCTACAAAAATGTCCCTTTCTTTCACAGGAATACCGATGATCTCACCGTGCACATACCCTGCATCTTCCCTGCTGTCCATGACACCAAAGTGTATAGTGCCATTTGTTCTCATATTTATACAGCCAACTGCAAATTTAAGGACCTCCTTTGCAAACTTAGCTTGGAGTCTTGTGCGATCCAATGAAGCAGCTGCAGCAAATGACTTGAATTCATGGCACGGAGATATTAGATTAAAAGCACCAGATTCTGGCTGCAGGACTCGGTGCTTTACATATATGAAATCAACACCCTCTTGATCAAAAGGTCTTGGTCTGCAGTCTTCCCTTGAGGTTACAGATTGTCTCTCTTGTGAGCCATCCTCTTCTCTCTCATGAGCTTGCACTGGAGGGCCTTCAATTGTTGTTGGTACTCTTTCACCTGTTTTCTGTTCCAGCTCAGGTTTTTTGGCATTGGTGCTTTTTTTATTGTCTTGAGTCTTTTGGTTTGATTTAATGAGCTCATCTCTCTTTTGAATTATCAAATGAGCAGGCCCTGATTTCATGCAAATCTTTGTCTTTAAAAACTCTTCATCCAACATCAGAAGGACTCGTCCATTTACTTCCTCTTCTATAAGTTTATCTATGTACTGCTTCTTTACTCCAATCGATTCCAACCATGAGCTGACTTGAGATTCAGTCCAGTCCTCAGGTGACTCGTCGAGCTTGTCAGCTGTGGCTGAAGGGAAAACAGAAATGGCACAAGTTTCATCATAATTAAAATGTTTGTGTAGGTTCTCATTCATCCAGGTCATGTTTATCAAATTCTTCATTGACAGAGCAACTGGATTTGCTTGAGGTTCTCTTCCAAAAGGCTCCTTTGGGGCCAAAGTTCGAAATTTATGAATTCCTTTGACCACAATCAAAACAGCGCTTTTGATCACAGGCTCCAACATCATGCAAACATGGCAAACCTGAAGAGACCCAGAAGGGCGCCCCCAGGGTAAAACGAGGTCAACGACCATGCTTAGGACTCTCAGGTGACCACCCACCCCTTTTACAGCTTGATGATCAACAGAGGCTATATATGTCCAACTTTGGCCCCAGTCACTTTCAAACTGAAGAAGAACGGCGAGACATCTTCAAGAGCCCTAAGCAAGCCTAGTAGCTCTTGGAGAATTGGACCATGAATAAAATTCTGACAAAATATGGCTTCCTTCAACTCTTTAGGTATATTTGTGGTTGTGAAGTTCAGTACAGTTGCTCATGCACAAGCACAGGCACAGTGCAACAAAGTTTTTTTCAGTCTTTTTTTTTTTTATCAATCTTTCCAATTTCAGTTCATTTGTCATCTTTACAGTCAGCACAATGAAATGCATGTTGCCAGAGGTGTGATTTAACTACATGAATGCCGTTGAGGGAGACATGGTCTAATCTTGATTCTCTGGTTATTAACTACCAAACTCTTCATATTTGTCAGTAAATCGCTCGGTGGGAGTTTTAATTCAGATGAGGTGACTTACCTGGTATTTTGACTTCACGTCCTTACTGGTTCCATAACTTGATAAGGAATCCGTCGTTGTTTTACCGTCTAAAAGTGACAAACAGGTTTATGATGTTTGCTTTTTGAAGTCCTAGTGACATGTAACATGATAGATGACTTAATATAATTCAACAAATTAAACTCAGACTGTATATACCATATCTATATACAGTCTGTGATAAAACTAGACAGGAGGGTTTCATAAATGACCGTCAAAGTTATTGAAATTAAGTGACGGTAAGTGACTCTGTTAATCAGACACCGCCATCTTCATGATCTTCACAAAGATGGCTTGACAGCGGGAAAAAAGTCCAAGCGGAGGACGGAGCCTAAAAGACCTTATTGTTTGCAACCCTAAACAGCATAGTCTTCGTATTTACCAGAACTCTCACCTTGACCAAAAGCTGAGAGAAAACAGCCCCTGTCGCTTGTCTTCCTTAAATTCTTGTTTCCCTCCAAATTCAATCCTATGAAGTCCGGCAGGCACTGACAGTTTGTCCGCTCTGACTAACTCTAACTCTCTTCCTTTCTATTTGAAAGACCAAGGCGGGGCTCAACGTGTTCAGAGCTGATCGCCAAGTTTCATTCAATATCTAAAAAAAACGTTGTACCTCAAGCCACGCCGGCTGTAAAAGCTGTCAAACACACCAGACTTGAGAAGAATCCTGATATCGCTCCAGAGCATAGGATTTTAAGTACTGGAAAGGACAGTAAAAAGGTATTTTAAGGTCTTGAAAAATACCATCGCTGTCTAAGTTTTTAAGTGCTTTTGAAGAATAAACCATCAGTAAGTTGAGCTTGACAGGAGTCAGGAAGAGCCAGTCTCAGGACTTATATAAGGAGGAAAGGGATGGAGGATAAAATACATACGTGTATTTCAGTTCTGAAACAATATCTATAAAGATATAAAAGATATCATGAGTTTTATGACGAGGGATAGAGTTGAAGTTTCAAAAGTCACACATAATTGTGCCCTATTTCAGGATCCCTGGTAGGAGAAAATACCAAAGTCACCTTCTGTTATCTGTGTAAACATGAGTCCAAAGTTTACAGTTTCTTAAAGAACCAAAGAGTTTGTCTTGCGCTGAATTTTACACAGTTTGTTTTGGAGAGGGATCTACTGTTAAGAATGGAAGGCAAAAACATGTCCATGCACATAATTGTTCCTTTTCAACATTTTATGAGCCACACCTCAACATAAAAACTGGAGTGAGTGATCTCGATGCAGAACATGTTTGAACAAAACACCAGCAGCCTAAATCAATGGGTATTTGCTTTTAAAACGAAACTCAAGGGAGTGTTTTTGTTTATTCTGTCCAAACCTCATCTGAAGGGTGTGTGACGTTTGTACCTGCCTTGATTCCAGACTCAGAGCCAAGTCAGAACACACCTCTCTGGACTGAAAGGCAGAGAAAAATAAACCTGTTGTTTCTTCATTGTTGACTCTGGCTGGGTGTGTTGGAGCATGTTTGTATTTATTTGTGTGTCCCATCTTTAAACACAGTAATAACTCAACAAGTCAAGTCTTAGTATAAAACAAAATAGGATTTAATGTGCAAGTAATAAACTTCACTTTATCGCCCTTGAGAAGGTTTTTATACGTGATATTCCTGCAGCCCGACCTCTAAACTCATAACCTTCCACATAATCACATGAGAATAAAAAAACATCTGTATTCAGGTGTCACAGTGAACGCCCTTTGGAACGGTTAGCTCTCGCAGAGTTAGCACGATTACCTTGATTGACAAAAGAAAAGCAGTCTAGCAGCATGAACTGGAATCAAGCACATTTAGCATAGTCATTTTTTAAGAGCTGTACCCATGCAGCCCAGTGATATTAAAAAAGGCACATCGGCCGTATTAAATGATTTCACATCAGCGATCCAAATTTTGGATCAGTCTAAACAAAAATATACATACAGCATCTGCGCAGTGAACGGGATCACCGAGAAATACCACATTGCACGATTAAACTTCCCAACGAGATTTCCCACAATAGAGGCCAAAATATTTTAGAGACACACACTTTTTGGACATGCTGATATAAAACACCAGAGAAATTCTCCTTTTTTTCAGTCCCGCTACATGATTACCTTCAACAAAACCCTGTTGGTTATCAGACTTCCTCAGAGGCGGACCTGTGGACGGTTCTGAGGGGAACGTTGTGTCTCAGGTGAGCAGAAGGCACTTAAACTGGAGACGCAGCTGCTTCACCCTGCAGGTGATCCCAGGCACTGCAGGCCTGGTCCTCACCAGCTCAAGGTGCAGCGTCTGAGCCCCGCGCTGTGTCCACCCTTTAAGACATCCCCCTCCCGTCTGTGCTGGGTCCACCTGTCTCCGGTTCGGCTCACACTGGATCTTTTTCCTGTGCAGAAGGATCTGGCAGTGTTTGCATCTCGGGCTGATTGGATTCTTTGTGCCTGAGAGGGTCTGTGGCTGATTCTGAGGCAGGTGTGGGCGTCTGAGTGGACGGTGCTGGCTCTGCAGGCTGCACTGTCTGAACTGGCAGGTGTGAGGATACAGATTCATCCGGGGATGAGGCGGGCAATGGTCCATTAAGTGTGGCATGAGACGGCTGTAAAGAATGAGCTGCATCCTGCGGTTGTGAGGAGGGTGACGGTGTGTCTGTTGGCGTGTGTTGGATGCATGTCTCATTTTGTCTTTCCGAGCTGAGGTGTGCGTGTTCGGCTTGTGTTTTTGCCATCTGCTCAGCAGCGGAGTAGTAAGGCAGGAATGGCCTCTCTGACGCACATGTCCGCATGGCCAGGTAAGTGTGCATGAGCAGGTGGGGGAAGCGGGAGGTGAAATAAGACACAAAGTCGTCAGGGATGGAGCCCAGGGTCTCCTGTACCTCTGCAGGCAACTCCCTGTAATGGTGTTTCTGTCGGCGAGAGAGGACACGGTGAGTCAGATGACGTAGAGCTCATTCCTTTGACCACAAAGTATGAAAATACATTCCTACCTTGTTTCTCATCGCACGCAACAGGTCTCTGACTGATCCACCCTTATAAGAGCGAAATTTCCGCAGGTCTGCCGATAAGAGAGGGAGAGAGAAAACAGCATGATACATGATCTCATTTGATTTAATTTGCATGTCATTGTTGAAACTGTAACTTTCTGCTGCCTCTTGGCCAGGACTCCCTCGAAAAAGAGGTTCTTAATCTCAACGGGACATTCCTGGTTAAATAAAATAAATGAATCCCTCATGGTTACATGGTTTCTAAAGTGTCGGCACTTTGACTGGTCAGTGCAGACAGACAGAGAAGATGCACCAGGTTTCACTGTCACAACAAGGACGCAGACACAGATACCGACAAATTAGGGATGGGCGATAAATTATCATTCACAATTAATCGTCAGGAATATCCTCCATGATGAAAATTTGCCCTCTACCAATAAATGCGATAAATGCAAGTTGATGAAGTAAGCTTGAGCGACCGACTAGCAGCCGTAGCCCACACAGAGCAGATTAACAAACAAATATGGCCGAATGTGGTGAAGAAGACGCTACTAAATGAGGCTCCACACGAGGGATTTGAGGCTTAGATGAGCGCAATCAGGTATGCCTGACGTCGAGCAGTGGATCTGCTGCTGCTCACTCTGTGCAAAAACAGTTTCCAACAAATTTCCTCTTAAGACAAAATGAGTCAAAAATATAGATTGGAATAATAACACCCTTTTACCCGGACTTTTATTGTTATCACAGGAATGGCAAAACTTATCGTGATAAATTTTTTTAGCCTATATCGCTCCCATCCCTACTGTCAATGAAGATCCAACATGTTTCACACTCGAAGCTGCAGATAAGATCAATTTGTTGATATTAGATGTGGAGAAAGTGGAATGTTGTGACTCTGTTAACGTGACTTTCAGGTAAAAAATAAAGAACAATCTTAAAAAATTGACCATCCAGACATCGTTCTGGCACCTTTACAAACTTCAGTCTAAATTATTTGTTTTGCTTTTCATTTAAAGTTTTGATTTAAGTTTACAGAATTTTCCTAAGATCTTTTTCTTATGAGCTCTAGTTGATGTTTACAGACACTTCATCCATTTCAAGAGCCTGTAAGTCGAAACGTTGAGTGCATTTTCACACTCCTGTATTTTTGCACGCACACACTTCAGGTCATGACTCTACAAAGACACTCAGTCTGTATAAATGCTGACGGCAGCAGTAGGCTTCATTCACCACTTCCTTCTCTGATATGTGGCAGAATAAAAAAACACTTTGTTCATCATGCATCTTAAAGTCTTTCTGCAGCTACCGAGAAATGTTGCTTCAAGTTGTACGATGCAGGAGGAAATGAGAGTACTTTACAGGAGCGTGTTTATCAGTCACAGACTCGTACCTGTCTGCAGTGGCACCGTGATCTGCTCCCTCCAGTCACCCTTGACAACAGCCCTCCCTCCTCTCTCCAGCTGTCTCACGATTGGTCCATCAAGCGGCTCCTTTTCTATCCTGTCACTCACATCCTGCAAACAACCACAAAAATAAAGTACTTTGACTTTTAACTAACTTGCAGTTTTCTTAACGAAAAAGGGGCCAAAAATGAGCGATCAGCACGAGTCGACAGGCACCGAAACCGTCATTAAGAATCAAAAACGAACCTGAAAGAACTGCAGCTCCTTCTCCAGGCTCCAGAAGAAAGGATGCTTGAGGACGCTCTCTGCAGAAGGCCTCTTATGTGGCTCCATGTTCAACATCTTCTCTATTAGATCTCTGGCTACTATGTCCCCTGATAAACGACACACAGGAACAGGCAGGTTTTTACTTTGTGAAAAAAAAACACCTCACATATATCTACAAAAATCGGACAGCTTTCATAAATCTGAAGTTTATCCTCACCGTGTTTTTCAGTTTGCAGATGGTCCAGATTGTGCGTCCCCAATAAGATATTCGCTTGCCTCTGCAGGGATTTGCCGTACGGGTGGCTTCCTTGAGAAACCACGTAGAAGAACACACAACCGGCCGAGAAGATGTCAACAGCGCACGTCTACACGGGACGAGAAGAGGAAAGACAGCAAAGAGTTAGAGTGGCATAAATATAAAATACAGCACCTCTACACAACCGTCATTTCTTAGACAATGGTTTATGTCAGAACAGTCATTACTGCACATAAACCCCCTTTTGTGTTCATCTGTCTGTCTTTAACTCACTGGGTTGTCTTTGCAGTCCTCACTCAGCACCTCCGGGGCGATCCAGCCTTCTGTTCCCGGCACCCCGGACCTTCTGCTGAAACTGTGGCGGCCCACTGCCAGCTTCTTACACAGGCCAAAGTCGGAGATCATGGCCCGGACCCGACCGTGGGCGTTGGGCATGGACACCAGGATATTATGAGGTTTCAGGTCTCTGTGGACTAAGAGAAAAGAGTGACGATGAGCAGAGAATGAGGAGTGTTTGTTTTTTTATGTTGTGAGAATGAAAGAAACGGTCTTGTGTTTGGTGACAGGATACTTACCGATGTTGAGAGAGTGCAGGTGGGCCAGTCCTGACATGGTCTGCTGGAGAAGCATCACTGGCTCGAGTCCATGACGGTCAAAATCCTTCCTCTCCACGTACTAAAAAAAGAGAAGACAGCAGTCAGTGAAGCAACTAAGGATGAAGAGTGTGAAGACGTGTCCTGCTGCAGAGTCATTTCAGGAGAAGTTATTGAAGAGCCCGACATGCTACACACACAGATTAACAGGATTTGAATAACACTCCTAAATAACTGAGGTTCTGAAGACCCTTTAGTACCTCCTGAAGTGAGGCAGCACACAGCTCAATGGCGATGTACTGGAACTGACGGTCCCTCTCGGTGCAGAAGTAGCGGATGACATTCGGGTGCTCGTCTGACTCCCTCAGCAGCTGAACTTCCCGGTCTGCAAAGCTGAAGCACTCTGGGAGGATCCTCTTCACAGCCACAGGTCGGTTGTCAAACTGACCCCTGATTATTTAAAAGAACAATGAAAATATAATGAAGTCTAATTTCTGCAGAAATGGACGAGTTTTCATGACGGATTTTTAACTCACTTGTACACGATGGTGCCCTCAGCGCCGTGACCCAACACCTCTTTGGGACGGAAAGTTATGTTTCCCACTCTCACCAGATTGGACTCCTCCTCTGATCAGACAAAGAGAACAATCCAGACGGTTAGGACTCTGACAGACCAAACAACAGGAGACACACGTCATCTGAACTCGCTCATGCTCACCTCCATCCTCGTGTTCGTTCGCAGAGCTTCCCAGCTCAGATACAGACAGGTTGGAGTGGTTGGAGGCGCGGGGGGTGACGTTGGGGCTGCTGTGGTCCGAGCACTCAGAGCGAGTGCGGGCAACTTCGAGATAGTCGCTGTCTTGGGGCAAGCTGAGGCCGAGGTCTGTAGGGGGGAACGGCTGCTGTCTCTGCAGGAGCTCCAACCTCTCCTCCATCTGTCTCTGGAATTCTTGGTGCTGCAGCTGCTGCTGCTTGTGAACACTCTGGAGTGAGGAAAAAAAAGATTTTCTAGTGAAGTCATCAGGAGGGGAATCATAACATGCCGGGTGCAAGTCCTTGACAGTCCACTAGGTGTTGCTGTTGAACTTACTTTGGGGTAGGTGATTACAAAGGCCACCCAGCCAGCCAGGAGGAAAGTGGAGAAGATGATAGTGGCCATGTCTTTGAGCATGGAGTCCACGGGTGCTTCTGGGCGCGCAGGGCGACCACTGGTCTTCGTTTCCTCCACAGATGTTTCAGGCAGAGAAGAAGGCGGGCCGTCGTCCCTGCCGCTATCATTCACCTTCTACAGATGAGAGGAAGCAGCGAGAACAGGGAGAGAGAGAGAGAGAGAGAGAGAGAGAGAGAGAGAGAGAGAGAGAGAGAGAGAGAGAGAGAGAGAGATGGTCAAATCTGAAAAAAGAAGTTTTGACATCTGAAATCACCTGAAAAAAAAAATAGGGTCAGGGGTCTCACACACACACACACACACCTCCTCAACTTTCTTGTCAGTGGTAGGCGGGATGACGTTGCCTGGGTTGCGAGGAAAGCTGTCAGGAAACTTCTCCAGGATCTTGGTGTGAGCTTCGGGAGGCGTCTCGTGATGACCTGAAAAGCAAAATGTATTTGTAAGTACATTTATGTTAGAGCTGTTTTACCACGATTCACCAGCAGAGGGCAGACTCAGCTCAACAAACGTGGGCCTCTCACAGCCCTGAAGTCAAGATTCAAATGATGTTAATAAATTGTTAATAAAACTGTGAGCGGATGGTTTCTAATCTAACTTGATGTTGTGGTACCTATCAGGAGCAGGTGGTTCCTCATGAAGTTGATACGGTTTCTCTTCAGCAGTGCGGCGTTAAACTTGACACTGGTGCTGGGAGTGATAACACACTCTTTGTCCTCTTCGGCCTCCTGACTGTCGGGACCCTCCAGCATGGGGAAGGTGCTGCCACGTGGCTGTGTGGTCACACAATGACATCAGAAAATACACATAAATATTACAGGTATTTCTTGTATGAGCCAGTTTGTGACTTTGACGTGTGTTAATAAAAGGTCAGATTGTTTAAAAAAGGAGATCTGCACGTTTTATGATACCGTCACTCACCACCACAGTGACTCCATCGTGCACCAGTGAGGGAGAGGCGTACAGACTGGTGGAGTATTTCCCCACGTACAGAGTGGCCCTGAAAAAATAAAACACGGACTGTGAGCAAACATCTACAGCGTTAGAAATACATCCATAAAAAGACTGTTTGCTTTAGTCACCATAAAATATATCCGTCAGGAAACTTCACAGTCAGCACGCTGCCTCATATCGCACTTTGAAAACGACTTAATTTACCTGGTGCCCTCCTTTAAAGCAGCTTAAATGTGTCTGTTTTATTAGAAAATGTTGTTTTATGCATGTTAAATTGAGAGACAACAAAATATTCTCTTTTCTCCTCTTTTGCACCAGCACAGAGTCGAATAATAGACCAAGAAGCTGCTTTTATTCTCGTCTTTAAGGCCAAACACTCCATCACTTCCTGTTTCTGTCCGTTCCAGCACAAGCCGCTGTGAACAAAATATAAAAATAAAACCCTCCTGCAGAGCGAGACAAGAGCTGAAGCGAGGCCGGTCTTCAACCTTTTGTTCGATTTCACATGTCTAGACTCCATCCCGGCATTAGGCAACCACACGTCTTACAAAAGAGCATTTTTAAGGAATTTAAACCCGGTGATTAATAAGGGGGAAGGTTGTAACATGTTTGTTGCAGGATTCAGAAACAAGATGAGGACCGTCAGAGGTCACACTGACTGAAAGAAGAGAGAAAAGTGCTGCCTACATGAACTTATTCTTGGGCTTCTTCTCTTTTGGGAACGGGTATTTCCACTGGGTGATGCGGCCGACCTCTCCGGACATGAAAGTGAGGTAGCGGAGGGTTTCCACGGCAACGTTAGTGTGGGTGACTTTGCGGAGTGCCTCGCGCTGCCAGATGTAAATGGCCACCACCGGAGAGTTGTAGTTCTGCACCCACTGGACGTCCCCGGATTCGTTGTCCACCGTCACCACCAGGCCGTCGCCGTTGGAGACGTAATGAGCCATCTCTGAGAGGCGCAGAGGAGCGGGTTAGTATGAGTGTGTGTGTGTTTCAAAAACTTCAGAGAGAGAGACAGCCAGCGAATCAGGAGCCTTACTGTATTTGGTGTCATCATCAGGGAGGGTGGAGGCGTAGTCGGAATAGGTGGCATTCCAGCGCAGCTCTCTGCTCTTGGTGTCGTACATGGTGATGGTGTACTCTAACGAGAAGAAAACAAGACTTTTCACACGGGGGGTGAAACATGTGAGCTCACTTCTCTTATGTAACAAACCACTAAAGGCAGTGAGGCTACAAGGGTCCGTTTCTAACAGCGAGGAAAAAAAAAAGAGGTTTCAAGTTTCTTCCGCTTCAAAAATGGCATTTACTGAAGGAAAATATCCGGTGACGGCGAAACTTAATCCGGCAATTACACTTTGAGGTGACAAAGCAAAGTCTGACTCGACACCACGTTGAGGATTTACAGAGTATCAGTGTGAAAGACTCTCATGCTCTTCAATTACCATCCTAGTTTCTGTGGCCTTAAGCGATGCGGGGACAGACTGGGGGGGATGGAAACACAGGGGGGATGAGCTGAAGGTAAATAAAGGTGAGAAACGTGCCAGACGAATAGGCCTGTTAATTAGCCGGATTAAATCAAGAGCTGAATGGATGATAATGAGACTAAGGTATGGATGGTAGAGGCTTCATTCTCCGATCTACAGAGCAGTAGTTACAGACAAAAGGAGTGAAAGATAGTCTGCAGTGGGTGTGTTGGATTTGTTTATATTTCTTATCTCCTGTGATCCTGCTGTATTAGCTGCATGGTTGGTGATGTCTACATAAAGGTCAAGCTAAAGAAAGGGAGTATTTCTTCAACTCAAATAGCAGCGTGATCCAGATCTCTCTTATAACTGCAGTCAGAGGTGAATCAGACTTTATCCGGCGTGTCTTTCTCTCTTCGGCTGTGCGACATCCTGTTTGTCTGATTATCCGTCCCCTTTGCTTTCCGACTGCAACATGATCTCGCTCATAAACAACAAAAAAGAGAAAGAAACGAGGCTATCTATCAACCGGGCATCGCCACAGTTTCAGGGTCTGACGGGAACACGTCCGTTTATTCAGGAGGGCAAAAAAAAGGACGGGATACAGGGAAGTTCAGAGTGGATATCGAATACGAATGAGAACGTTTCTTCTTCCATCTGCATATTTGACAGCTTTGAAGCAAATCAGCTTGAAGTGAGCGGCGGAAGAGACTCCAAATAAAAAAGATAAACTCCAAATAAGCAGGGGAGCTTAAACGGCCCCCACCCTGGATACTTTTAAATCTCATTTACAAACTCAGTTTTACTCCTTGGCTCTTTATACTGCATGAGGGTTGTGTGGTCTCTGTCTTTTATTGTATTTTTGTATTTCTTAGTGTTTTATCTGATTTCTTTTTTGCTTTTATAAGCTCTTAATTTACTGTTTTTTAACTTTATCTTTTTTTATATTTGATCTGTTGTGCAGAACTTTGATAACCTTGTTGTTTTTAAAATGTACAAAACAAATAAAGATGAAGTGAAGTGATAAAGTGAATCATCCCCTATATTAATGCAGTGAGAGCTGATGTGTGAATGTGAATATGAATGTGAGGAATTAACTGTATGGGAGTATTATGAAACATAAATAGACAGAGTTTATATTTGAAATATTTATAACTTTTATCAGAATCAGACGTAACATGTCCGTTTCTAAAACATTTAGACTTTCACAATAAGAGTAAGAGATAAATCTGAGTACAGGAGAGACTTGGTGTACTTTATCATGTAAAAACTGAATGTACTGATCGAAGTATCGGCTAAAATGATTTTTCAAATATCAGTATGTCTGATATCTGCAGAGAGACAATATCATGAATCGCTGTAGGTCAGATTTGGGGGCCACATCTGGCCCTTCGTGAGGTCCATCAATTAAATCATCAACATGCTAAAAAGGTGTGTCGCTTTTATTTTGAAAACCTAGCTGTTGTTTTATTTCCGTTTGGACGCACGTGCGAACATCCTAGACCTGCATTTGTGAACAGAGACAAGTTTAAACATCGGCAAAATATCCGTAGACGTCTTAGAGTTGCCGAGTCCGCTTAACAACTTTTGAAGCTTGTTTCTCTCAGAAGTCACCTGTAAAACTCGTTGAGCTTTTTTGGGCTTGCTTTTCTGTATGTGTGAACCCCTCGATTTGAAGTTGAAGTTTACATGGATTAGATTCTTGGGAGGTGTGGGTTTTGTGTTAATAAATTAATTCCTCCCTGGACCACAGCTCCAGATTGATTCTAAACCGGTTGAAAATACAGATTGAAGACATGCTACAAAGTCCTGAGAGGTCCAGAAAGATCACAGAGCGACGTTGGTGTATTGGTTTTATTTTTACCTGTGCGTCCCAGATAGAGGAGCGACGAGGAGGGACACAGCATCTCAGCGAAGGAGGACGTCAGAGTCTGCTGTTTCTCGCCGGTCAGCAGATCCACCACATACCAGGAGTCCTGCTTCTTACCTGAACACCAACATAAACAAAAACATTTTAATGAATCCAATGATACTTTAAAGTTTTAATGAGTTTTAAGGATTCTAACTTTCGTCTACACTCCAAACTTCACGGCCGTTGTTGTTTTCTTTGATTTAACCTTCACAGTGATGGGTGTTCCCGGCTAACCTATTATTGTTCTGGTGTCTCCTGTTTGTTGTCAACCCAAGGTGTGTCAGTTACACACCAAATGAATGTGATTATAGATGAATGGTGAAACATTCAATCAGGAAACGGCTGCTCTTATTCTGAAAATTTAAAAAACGGTGAAGGCTGCGGCACTTTGAGACCTTTGTGTCTCCGCTCTGCTTCGGTTGAATGAAAACAAAAGCCTCGCCGATAATGACGGCGTGGAGGCAAATGTCAGCCGCTTCCCTTTCAGCCGTGACACAGTCAGTCACTGCGGTAGATTAACTTTCCTCTGGAGGCTGCTGTTAATTCAAAAGAGCACAGGCCCTGACCGCAGGTTCGGCGCTCACGGCCAGATAAAGCGGGCTAAATGAGGCGCGGACACGCACTGTGATGAGGCCATCAAATGCTCATTGATAAGGAATAAAAAGCGTCACGGATTAGCCTTACCGGTGTAGAGGACTCCATCGGAGCTGCGACAGGGAGAAGCTTGCACCAGCTCAGGTATCGTGAAGGGTAATTTCTGTTTGAGCAAAATGAATAAACATCAAGTAAACAAACCGTGCTTTAAGACGACACATGGAGGGAAACTGGAGCTGCTTCTTTAAGGTGAGAGGACGTGTTTTTCTTTAGAAGAGGGAAGTGAATAATCTGGTTTATTAACGGCTGATAAAAAACCATTTCCTCTTACTGTGAGGCCTTCGTTGTTCTTCCCTCCCAGAGAGTACAGGCTGCCGTCGTTTGGGTCTGGCAGAAAAGCCGGTCTAGAATAAAGACGGACAAAAAAAACGCATCACGTCTCAAGACGAGTAAAAGGACAATGTCAGCAATTAGTGTGAGTGACAGTTAAGACGAGCCCGACTGGTTGGCGTATTCATTTGCATTCAGCATCTTTTTCTCACAGACAGGTGCAGTACACCCATGAAGAAAATACGTACTCTGCCACATGTGTGGGGACCTGAAGAACTGGATCTGTGGGGAGGGAGAAGGAGACGAGATGCAATTCAGGACTGACAAGAACATGAGCCAACAATGAGAAGCGTAGACAGAGGAGGGTGACATGAGCAGAAGAGAACTGAACACAAAGTCCGGATGAAAACCGAGTTAGAAGTCAAACTCACTGCGACTGAAAAAAGAGCGCCAACGACAGGAAAAGGAAACGATTATGTCATCTGACTATCAATAAAACATGACAGCATTTATTAAACACTAACAACAGAGACTGGTGGTCTGCATGTGTCAGTATTTGCAGGTTTTTGGAGGTCATTCTAAGCCGATGTGGTGATTTCCACTACAGAGTCGTACCAATATTTGCTGCAGAAATCAAAACCTATGAAGTCTGGAGCTGTCAAGTTAGGTCATCCCCCAATCAGGAGCATCCCTTTGAATAACTCTTTAATCATTATCTAAAATAAAAATCACTTTAAAAACCAGTTTGCATTCAAGGAGACGCTTAAAACAGCACAATGGCTGCTACCTACAATAGCTCTTTAAGCCTAAAGCTGCCATTACTACTAGACAAACAAGCAACTCCCTGCAGTGTGAACACTCAGGGCGTGGACCTGATGGTGTTGATCTCCTGAAGGTGCCCAAAGGGGTCAACATTAGCCGTGGGGAGGGGGGGGCGGCTGGGATTACAGAGAGGTGGTGGAGGTCTCCTGCGCTCTGAAAGCACCAGCGTTCCTGCTGAATGCGTGACTGTCGTGTTCTTCGCCTTGAATTCTGCTCGTATTAAGTTTTACAAATGTTTGCAGAGTCAACAGAGTATGACGAGCAAACAGAGCGCGACTGTACGTGAGGGCCGGGCTGTATTGTTTGATCCGGGGGGGAGATTTCTGCCTCCCCCCTCATCGTGTGGGTGTACGGCTGCCTGACTGAGTGTGGAGCGAGGACTGCTCACATTTATATTCAGCAGCTTTCCCAGAAAAACAGACGATGTGGAGGCAGCTTCTTCTGCTTATTAATGAGTGTTAGGTGGCGCTAGCGAACACTGCTGCGGTCCGAGTGTTTACGTGTGTGTTCAGGAGAGTAAACCACTGTGCGCACTTTTCCTAACCCTGCGGTGAATCTTAATGAGTGATGCTTACTGCCCATGTTGACATGGTAACCATAGTGCATGCAGTGTGCGCAGGTGACACCGCAGCAAAGCCGCTCACCCTTGCCCACTCTGACCTTGATTACAGGCTATATTTGCCCCTCTCCTGGTTAATAATTACCCGCCTCACAGAACATTTCACTTTTCCTCCGCGTGAGCTTCCTGAGAGTCAATATTTACAACTCGAATTCAGGCTTTTTAACGACCAAAGTCACAGCGACTGATAAAATGAGTTTGATACAGACATACTTGAAGGGTTCCTACACAGAATCTCCATATCCTACTTTTTAGACTTATTTTTGGAAATACCTACTTTTCTATTTAAGAAAACAGTATTTCAGAACTGTGGTAATAGTCTGGAAACATCAATGTTTTTCCATACAGAATTTTTACTTTTGCATACTTTTTAAGACCTGAAAATTGACCAAATTTATTGCCATACTTTTCATACTTTCCATACCCTGAACTTGATATTTTAACTAATGCTCATAAGCATTAAACAATGAATTCTGTTTTGTGTTTGACTCAAATTAGATGCATTTAAAGACTTTTGTGTATTTTGGCGTGAAAGAGCACGTAATGTTATCAACAACGTATTGGATTTTAATTTGTCAATATTTTAAGATTTGTCCATTTTATCTGTCACTTTTAATTGCTGTATTGCTGTTGACGATTGGAGAGATTGGTAATTTTTATGAACCTCGTTTCTATGGCGATCATGGTCCAAAGTTAAGAGAGAAAAAAAAAGGAAAAAATCCGTTAACCCTAGCAGGTGCAGGGCTGCAAAAACATTGACCAATGGTAGCCATCCGTCCCGGACAGCTCCTATTGGTCAATCTCCTGCTCTGCCTCTCCATCCAATCACCTCGCTGTATTCGACACACCCCTCTCCCGTAGTTCCGACTCGTCCCCTCCCACTCTCCCGGCCCTCCTCGGAGCTCTGAACATCTCACTTGTCTTGACCGCTCCTCTCTTACCTTCTTTCAGAGTCCATTTGATGGAGCCCGACTTCTTGCTGACAGCGTGCAGGTTTCCATCCAGAGTGGACACGAAGAGCAGACTTTCAGGAAGGGAAACTGTGCTGGCACTGCACAACCCCTACAGAGACACACAAAACAAAGAGCAGCTGTGATAAAAGGTCCGCCACTCCTCATCCTCGTCTTGTGAATCATGCATTTGAATTTGAGCGATAACATATCAAACTGTCACACATGAGATCAGCTGGGAGGCTTGTGGGAGCGTGCACACTCCCAGTTTAGTCCACAATTAAACTTCATAGTCACTAATAACATCTGGCGTAGACGGTTGGTCACCCTGTCCCACATGGAGTAAGCACTCTGTCGGAGTTGGGGCGTGGAGGCTCGGTCGCCCCGGGGCGTGTGCCGCTTTACAAATCAATGGATGTCAAATCAATACCTCACAATGACGGCTGAAGATCAAACTAGGTGGGAGCTGAGGGGTTCAAAGTCGCAGCCGGAGCCGAGGGCTGCCTGTTAGCAGAAGGTAAACAAACTGAGCACGTGCGGGACTACCAGCTGACCCTCTCTGGCTGGGTCGGTTTCTTGAATTGGGGATCTCATTCGTGATTATGTGAACACTTCTTCTCAGCTTCTCAGTGACCTGGCCTCATGACTCGGTTTAAGCCTGAGGGTGATGTGTGCTCGGAAACGCCACGCTCGATGACAAAGTCGGAGGTTTCTTGTGGGTTTTTTTGGCACCAGTGTGCAGGAAGAGGTCCACAAAGTCATTCTTAGAGGTCTGGGAGTATTTCTTTCACTTTCTTGACTCAAAGACAGAACAGCTTAGCCAGTTCACTGCAGTATTGATCAGCAAACCCCCTGGACGAGCCCCCGGGGGGCGGCACAAACAGCCCCTGAATATAATGTAGATTACCAATCTATGAGTCTGACGCTCTTCTGAGCATTAAGCTGCTTCTGAGGAGATAAAGAAAGGGGCTTAAGTGCTATTAGGCGAGACCCTGCTGTGTGTGAGGGGGAGAAAATGGAACCACCAACTCCACGCCACTCAGTGTTTCCTCTCGGTCACTCTGGTTTCACTTCCTGAACAAAACCAGCGCCATAAAAATACCCGCCACACGTCACGTCTGAGGGAGGGTGTTATTTGACCGTTTGGAAACCAAAGTTTTTAAAAAAAGGTTTCATGGCAAACCAAGAACCAAAGCGGGTGATTTTAGATTTGCCTGCTGATGTTTCACATCCTGAACGAGGAGCTGAGTCAATACCGTGCACCTGCGTCTGTTCCCACCGCGCTGCAAACTCACGAGCGTCAAACAGCTGTACTCGGAGAATCACAACTTGCTTGTTTTTGCCCCTCCGGTTTGTTTTCTCTGTCAGAGTTCTTGGTTTCACAATCAGAGGATTTTCTAAACATCTGCTCCTCTGCCACTTTTGAAAGATACCTGTGTCCAACAACAAGAACAAGAACAAGAGTCAGATCTCAGATCACATCTGGCGGTGCACACACAGGCCTTAAATATTGAGACAGAAATGTACGGCTGTTGCATAAGGGAGTTACGTAATCCTACAGAACTGGGCGAAACCAAAGTCTTGGCAAGTTCTGAGGTCTTCACTGTCTCCTCTTCCTGACTTTAACGCTCATGGTGTCACTGCGCTTCACAGCCTCCTGCATGGCAGACTAACCTGAACTCAGGACATGCTGTTACTGGCATCCTTCCCACTGAGCACACACGAGCGCTTTAGCATCACTGTCACTCTGTTATAATAACCCCTCCCATCAAGATGACAGACATCGATCATGACCAGGTCAGGTTTAAAGTGAAGCAGCTGGACGAAAGCTTCTTCTACTAACAGGAGAGAGACCGGCGGACACACGTGGGAGACACTAGATGAAAGTTTTCCACAGACACTACGAGCGACTTCTGCACATGCTCATGGAGGACACATGCAGCGTTCGCAGACCTGACCAGACTCAGCTAGTGGAGTGAAGAGTGAGTGAATGAAGAACAGCAGAAGACAAAACTGGAACGCTGTTAGTCGTTAAAATGCTCGACGCTGATCTTGGCATCTCCCGATCATCTCTTCATCGCCTTCAACTTGTGCAAAATGCTGCTGCTTGTCTTTTAACCAACACTAACAGACGTGAGCACATCAGTCCTGTCCTCAGCTCCCTTCTTTGGCTTCCCGTCTCTTTTAGGATGGATTTTAAACTTTAAATGTTTGTTTTTAAAGCTCTTAACGGCCTCGCCTCCATCTATTTAACTGAGCTTTAAACCGTTGGGGAGCCGGGTGGAGCTCTGAGGTCGTCAAATCAACTTCCGCTGGAGGTGCTCAGGTCAAAATACAAACACTGGGGTGACCGAGCCTTCGCCTTCAAATCCCGATTGAAAACGTACTTGTTTATGCTGCTTTTAATACCCAGTAGTGTGGTGACACTTTATTTTATTTCATTGTATTTTTTTCTTTTTTTATTGCTGTTTGTTGTTTTTATTTATTCATTTTTATTTTCTATATATTGTAAAGCACTTTGGTTCACCGAAAGTGTTGTTGTCGAAGGCTGTATAAATAAAGAACATTTACAATCTGCAGACTGACGTTGTTGACCAGTTTATCCACCGTTTCACCATCATCATGAAACTTTTTACAGACTTTCTCAGGGATTAAAATATTCTTTAATTATCTCGTTCCAATTTTTAACATTCTGCTTTTTTCAACCCTTCACACTCCTTGGAAAAACTCCAAACCATCAGTCCACAGATATCAGAAACTTAGTCAAGGAGCAGAGGAGGGTGGAAGATTAAAGACTTTAATAGTTTTAATAAACTTTTATCAATCAGAAATAACTGAGGAGAACCTTTAGCAAGTGTTTTCCCCTATCTAGAGTATCTCAGTGACAATGTTTGAAGACAGGAAATCACTCTAGAGATAAGGCGACTCGAATCATATCAAGTCAGTTATCATCTAAGCTCTCAAAAGCCTCAATAAACAGCTTTTTTTAGACTCGGCTAACAGGTTGATAGTCTCACAGAAATCCTCTCTGCACTGAGTATATTAAGTTTTCACCGATTCTTACTTCCTTCTGATTTGAAGTACAACACTCTCCTATCGACACCTCCGAATCAGCAGTAAGTCTGTCAGTCTGCAGCTTGCATGGGTGCACAAACGGAAAAAAACAGGAACTAACACATCGAGTATTTGGTAAGTCGTCAGGAGGGTGAATTAGAAAAACAGGTCATCAAAAATGTGTCCTGAAAGACGATATATTACACTCCCACCACTGCATCTTCTTGTGTGGAGGCGCCTTCTAGCTGAATGAAGATGTGGTTGACATAGTAACCGGCTGAAAATGATGATGTACAAGTTTCCCACCCTGTACCAGAGACGTGTTACCAGCCCCGGATTAATAAAACCTATCCATTCATCAGTTTTACGAGCCTTCATCAGAGCAGCTCTCTGCAGTTTCTCTTCAGGCCTCCGTAAAGGTGACATCAGGTTGTGAATGTTTGATTTCTCGTACAGTCAAAGTCAATACCCGAGCCTTTTTCTATCATTTTACAGGAGGAGCAGTTTTCCCCTGTCAACACCGTCTATCAGCTGCTCCCTGCGCCGTGTTGCTTCAGCGCGGAGGATGTCACGTGTTGGCCCTCGCTCAGGCACACTCAGTCAAAGCACAGCCAATCTGCTGCTGTGATAAGATAGCGCCGGATCACGACAAAAATCAGCCTGAATAATAAGCAGACGTGCAAGAGGGGAGAAAAATATGCTCACAGAGGCAGAGGGATGAAACAGATATCTGCTCGGGGGCTTATTGTCATCTGCAGTTAGTCATGCTTCTTGAAAGGTATAATCTGGCGCTATTATTAAAAGATGTGAGCGTAAGATGACATGAAGCTTTCCTTCCAGACGATTCAGATTTGCATAAAGTTCTTGAAAACTTCACAGCAGAATTTTACACCCTAAATTCACTTGCATTTTGTCCTACCAGCCCCCATATTCAATCTCAGGGTGAAACCAGGGTGAGAAAATCAGCTTTTCCTGTCTCTATCCTCCTCACACCAAAAACAGATCTATGTACAAACTTCAGACAACCCAGAACTGGTCTTCCACTAACCAAGCAGACTGTCTCATAGGCGACAAGAAGAACCTGATCGGGGATTATTAGGAGACTAAAATCTAACGCTTAGCTTCAGACTTTCTTGACACCTGGATCAGTTTCAGTCGCCGTCTTTATTCCAGCTGCTAAAACAACAACAGTTTGTGGTTATTTTCTACCAGCCTGACGCAGGATGTGCTGATTGAATCAAGTAAAACTACAAAGATCCGTCATGTGTGACAATGCTGAGGGGCCTCTGAAAGTACAGACTGCAGATGAGACAGACGTCTGACCTGTTTACTTCAAGATGTAAACAGAGGAGAGAGGATCTGGTGCACACTTCTGACAGAACTGAACCTGAATTTTTGCCGTTTGATCCAATCACCTCCTCCCGCCTGAGTGTCTACAGTCGGCTAATAGAGAGGCATGAATCAAAAACTATAATTTCACCATCTCTGTTAGCCTGCCCTGCCCAAACTAACTCAATCATCAGTTTTAAGAGGCTGCTGCAAAGAGCTTGTGCAGAGTCTTGCAAGAGCAAAGGAAATGATGGGGTGTTATGCAAGCAGGAGAAAATTCAGCATATTATCAAGCACATCAGACAAACCCACAACATCAAAACAACAATAATGTGTAAATGTATTCACACGAACATGAAGCTTAGTCACTTTAAGGGCTGAAATCAGTTTTATAAGCAGAGGAGAGGTTGTTTTGGTTGATTTTATGATACTTTCTTCTACTTTAGAGCTGCAAACCTGGAAATGTGCGGCATGTCAGTTGAAAAAGTAGGGGAGACCGGGGATGGTTGTAACACAGGTCAACTGTAACACTTCCAATTTCTCCAATCTGGAGCAAGTAAAGAAATCACCTGACTCACTCTGCACATGCTTAGTTAAGTCCTCGATCCACATGTGTACATGTAGGATCCTGTGATAGACTCAGACGATTTTAAGAGAAAAAAGAATTAATTTTGAGGTAAAAAAGTAGTTTTTTTAAATTCAGATATTTCTATGATAGTATTGGCTCCTTTGTAGTTGAACTCGTCAAGCTTACAATCAATAAAGTTTTGTCATTATCCTGATTAGTTTATATTACATTTCACTCCAGGGTATGTTACAACTAATCCAGACTATGGGGTGAGTTGAACGAGGGACCACATGCACGGACACCTGATTTACTTGGTGAACAAATCTCACATTGAACTTCACTCTCTAGAATAATTTTTACCTTTTTTTTTTCACTGCTAAATTGCCACAACAACATCTTGCATACAAAAGGACACAGCATGTAACAAGTAGTGCATAAAACCCGCAGCATCCGATCATTGCAGCGGTTTGCGAGGGAACGGTGCATGTTCAGTTTGAATTCTTCTAAACATTCAGTGAACGAATCACTCAGTGAGCCCAATTTACAAAGCAGACATGATAAATAGCATACCATAGGACAGTACACTTGAAACATCATGACTTTTGCCAAAGCAAAACAGCCAAACACTCTTGTCTCCTGGTCCCAGAAACTATGAACTGAACTGAATTCTGAACCATCTGTATATTTACGCATTTCATATTTATTCCTCATTTCTATAGCCCACATTTTTCATATCTCACTTTTTTCTCATTGGATGTTTAGTATATTTAGTCTGTATTTATTGTATGTATTTAGTATTTTTTGTCTGCGCTGTACACACTTCTTATATTTAATTTTGTTTAGTCTTTTTTTTAACACTGTAACAAGAGAATTTCCCAGTTTGGGATCTATCTATAAAGTATATCTATCTATCTATCTGCTACAGCCTTTAAACGCAGACACATATACCTAGTTTGTATCACAGTTTGAATGCATTGGCTTAAAACAGCTTAGACAGAAATGTCAAAAATGTTACAACCATCCCCGGTCTCCCCTACATGTGCACTAATGTTATCTTAACTTCACTCATTCACTGTGAAAATAGGAAGATAATAGTATGTTTTGGAGGCAGGCCTGTTAGGATTCAGGTATTAAAGGTGGTGGTTCAGGAGAAAAGGGTCTCCTTTGTTTTGGACGCTAAACTGAAGGACTTCAAATTAAACATTATTATAAAAAAGTGTCAGTAAAGAGATAAATTCTGCTTCAATGTTATTTAAAACGTTTTAAGCTAGTAAGCTAACGTTCGCGTTGTTAGCTTACCGCTGTCATGTGAAGGAAAAACACGCAGCTAGCAGACAGATCCACGGGCTCACTAAGAGACCCGGTTCGGGCTCAGATTGGGAATAAATTTAGGTCTTTAACGGCAGAAAATTAAGAGTGAAAAGTGTCACCAAACTACAGCTAGCTAACCCAGTTACCCTCTTCTTCTTCTTACCTTTTGTGGGAGAGCAACGCAGCAAAGCAGCACCAAAAAGCCCAACAGCCGGGTCCGACAGCTCACTGCCCAGTCCATGATCCTGGTCCTAAACCCGGGGAGACGCTCGGTCCGGACGGCCGTTGACTACATAGAAAACGTGGTTCTGCTCGGACCAGGTTATGGCGAAATTTGATGAAATCAACGTTGAGTACACAGAGACAGAGGCGGCTGTGGTGGTGGATCCAGCAGCGTTAGATCCGCTTCTTCCTGAAATGAGCACCGTGGGGGGTTGGACTTTCGGGGAGAGATCCACGGGAGTGGAGGAGGGGGAGAGCAGGGGCGCGCTGCGTTCAAGGACCGCTCAAATGCTCGGAGAAAAGTTAGGAAGAAGGCAACGATTCTGTGTTTTCACGACCAGGGCTGAAGAAAAAGAAAAGGAAGATATTCTTTTGGACACTTAAGTGAAACTTTATTGATTTAAATTGTCCTGAATGAGCTGAATCTTAAGTTTTAGCTTTTGAATTCATGGCACACAACATTTGTGTGTCTTAAAACAAGGCCTTCATTACTGTTTCAAGTAACCTTATAAGAACATTCCGGCTTGAAATATCTCAAAATAAGCGTTGAATTTAGACCTTAAAGGGATATTCCGGCGTAAAATTAATTTTTTGGTCAAACATACCATAACACAGAGTTAGACACCCCCTCAAGAGATGAACGTTGCCAACCGCTTGCTTCTCTAGTTATATCAACTTTAGCAACAACCACAGATAGCAATGCAGAGAGCGACACGCTCAACCAAAACGCCACTCTATAGCCACAAATAATGCTCAGAACAGCACCTAACTTCATCAACAGGACATATAGGGTCCCAGCCATAGTACTAGACACCAAACATCTTTTTAGCTTTGCCTAAATTCTTTAGCAAAGAGACTAAACACAACTCACCTACTCCCTTCCAGCAGCCACTTGTTTGTAGCGAGATCTCAGACGAGTCCATCAACTGCAGTGGGGTGACGCAGCTCAAGAAAGAACATTTATGATCATTTCCTTGAAGTAATAATCACCATAATAATCATTTTGCACTGCAGACACTGTAGTTCTTCTGCCTTAGCGTCTCGGTCTGATTGCATTTCCATGAAGAAATGATCATAAATGTTCTTCCTTGAGCTGCGTCACCCCGCTGTAGTCCGTTATGGACTGGCCTGAGGTCTCCATACAAACAAGTGGCTGCTGGAAGAGAGTAGGTGAGTTGTGTTTAGTTTGTGTTTTTTTTTAATCGAGCAAACTTTTACTTTCTTCGATTTTCAAGGCCTTTTTCTACCAACTTCTTAAACCTACAACGAAATTTTAAAAAATTCCAACTTATTACGATGGCACCTGAACGCCGCGGCAGTGTGAGCCAATAAGAGGCGCCCTGAACACAGACGGATGTGGTATAAAGAAACAGTTCCGGGGGACATTTTCTGCGGTGGCTCTGTCCCGTGTAGGAGCATGCTTTCTCAGGCAGGAACCGCAATTTTACCAACAACATGCACAGATTATGTAATCTATCGAGCACATTTTTATATCTGTGTTTTAAAACACGACTTAAACCTGAAGAAGAACTGAAATAGTATTTTTAATGTAATTAGACGCATTTTGGCGCAGTGTGAGCAGGCCGCAGGAGCCCTCAGGACATGTGGAGGTAAGAGTGTTATCTTTGTGTTGCATCAGAAAACACATTTAATCTGCGTGTTTTATTTATGACTTTAACTAATTTATGATTTTCTATCAACAGGGTGAAAACAGAGGGTAAGATGTTATTATAGGGCCGTGAATGCCTCCTGCACGTGGAGGCTTCACGTGGACTCTGCACAGTGAAGGCCTCCTATAATTTCAACGTGAGTATACAAGCCAAATTTATATTCTTCTTTTAATGCTCTTAAATGATGAAAATCAGCCTGTTTTAATTCTTTTCAGCTGAAAATTTGTCACTAAGGTTTTCTGTATTTGCAGAAAATAAGTCTGACCATGGATTTTTGGAGAAGCAGCATTGTAAGTACTTTTTAAAGGACTTAAAAGTTTATTTTAAAGAGTTATGACTGATGATTATGATGCGTTAGACTTCTGATTTCATATTGAAGACAAAACTAATCTGACATAACTCATATTTTTCTGTTTTTAAGTTGGGATCTTTTTGTGCAAAAACCTGAACAAAGTTTTTCTTTTGCAGAAATGAGGCAGCTGTGCTGAAGAAATGGACGGTTTATCAGAAGGTATCCAAGCCACAATGATGCACATTTGATTTAACATTTTTCATCTATAAATAAAGAGTTTTTCATCAAACACACCTTTTCAGTTCTCATTCTTTTACTGTAATAGTACCCGCATACTATTTTGTGTTTTATAGAGTGTACATACTTGTGTATTCTTTATCTTTAGTTATTTTATCTATTATTTATCTCTTTTTTTTTTTCTTATATCTATTTATCTCTTTTTTTTTTTTTTTTTTTTTATTTTAGATATTTATCTCTTTTTTTTTTTTTTAATTTTATATATGATTTATCTCCTCTTTCTACTTTATTTGCACCGGAGTTACCATGACAAAAGCAATTCCCCCCTGGAGATTATTAAAGTATTTCTGATTCTGGTCCTGACTGATTGTTTGAGGCACTATTCTTCAGCCTGAACGGCCTTTTCCTTGGCCTTTCACACAGGTCAAGATAAGTGCGAGATCACATGAAGTCTTGTCATAACTGGAGTTTCTTGGCAATTTTCCCAAGTCTCTCTTTTAAAGCAAGACACAGAAATAATATTAAAATTAAGATTGGAAAAGGAGCTGTAAACAGTAAGAGTGTATTTCTTTTACCTTTAGTTTGATTATGATGATGACGCTACTTTATCATATACTATTTGGATCCTTTCCAGCATTTTTGGTTGTTTGGTTATTTGCACTCTTTTATTTAAATAAAATATACAATTATAATTTTAAGTAGAGAAACTGCATTAACGTGAGCGATTCAGTTATTTCCAAGCAAAAGGTTTTATTGATCCACAATGATCAGAACCATAAACATTCTGTGACATCACTGAACACAACAGCAATGTTTCATATTTTCATCACTGTGCAAACGAACAACACCGAAACCTGGAGAAAACAAAGGGCATGTCTTAACAGACACAGCAATGGCACAATTTCGGACCTCTCCTCTCCCCTCCTGAACTGATGCGATAAATGTGGCGGCTCACTATGGAGGAATGTTTGATTTATTTCAAAGGCACTTTCTGCCTCGTATACTTTGCCAACACACACATTTAAAACGTCAAATAATAGTCGCCTGTGAAGCAGCCAGTTTTTTTTTTTTGTCCTTTTTTTAAGTGTACAGTACAGAAAGAAGATGAAATCAATAAATAATCAACAGAAGCATTAGTTGACAACGTTAAATAATATGGCTAATATCCAGTGTTATTCGGATAAAACAAAGAGTGGGTGTGTCCCACTTTTCCTGACCGTGTCTCCAAAGCAACAATCCCTCCCTGCTGATTATAACGTCCAGCTACTATTGTCCAAACACAAGATAATCAACCAATCGCTTTTTTAAACTAGCCTTAAAACAGGACTTAAAGATTGCTTTGGCAATAAAAACGTAAAATTATTACTTTTGCCCGACTCTGAATTCAACACAAAAAGAAGTCTTGAAGCATGTTGCGCAGAAGCACGTTTTCAGTGAATGAGCTGTTCTTTGCACAGCTGAGGGAGCTGTGATCCTAGGTATACATTCATCAGACCTCGGCAAGGTTCAGCTGCTGTGTCTGCGGATATGTTTGTGAATCGCTTCACCAGAGTCAGCGTTAGCTCTAAACCCTAACACACGATCAGAAGCACACAGGTTGTATGATTCCACAGGGTCCATAAATGGGTTTAAACGGACCCAGGGTCTGCTGTGGACACATTGCCGTTGATCTGTTTGCATATAGGCGGCTGGCACAGGCAGCAGTGTGGATGGGGGAGGGCGGGCGAGTCTTGATTTCCCTTTGAGATGTCAGTGGGTTTCCAGCGAATTCATCTTCACCGCCATCCGAGGCCTCGCAGAGAGAAAGGTCGCACAAAAAGTTGACACCTCGATGTTTGGTGCAGCTGTACATCACAGGTATTCTGGTTCTTTTAGCTAAATCTGATGGCTATTAGTCAATCCACCAACGCGCACATGTGTTTAACGCTCAACATGCCCCGTGTGTTGGATCTCACTGGAAAACACAACAAAATATTTGACGCCACACGGAGAAACCTGTGTGATTGGATGACAATCAATGAGTCACACTTCTCTTCTGTTTTCCACAAATGAACGAAGTCGTCGACGTCTCCGGGTTTGTCTACGCACTTCACGATTCGCCAACAGGCTGGTGCATTCATATTGAAGAGTCGGTCCTATTGCCACGGTGGGAAAATATCCGTCATTACATGTCCGAGACCTCAGAGTCCTTGGGTTCTGGGTCCTTCAAGGCATCATTTGTCACAGTAACCAAATTGGCGTTTGAACGCGTGTCCATGGCAGAGTGCATTATGGGTAGCCAGACATCATCCATGTTTGGCATCACAAATATTTTCTGTGGGAGGAAAAGCACAGCAGGGACAGTCATCTTTCTCATAACGATAAAAGAGTGAGAAGAAAATGAAATTTAAAGGGATATTCTGGCGTAAAATTAATTTTAGGGTCAAACACATGGCTTCTCTAGTTATACCAACAAGCAGCTGCTGGAAGAGAGTAGGTGAGTTGTGTTTAGTCTCTTTGCTAAAGAAATTAGGCAAAGCTAAAAAGATGTTTGGTGGCTAGGACCCTATATGTCCTGTTGATGAAGTTAGGTGCTGTTCTGAGCATTATTTGTGGCTATAGAGTGGCGTTTTGGTCGACCGTGTGGCTCTCTGTATTGCTTGCTATGGTCGTTACTAAATTTGGTATAACTAGAGAAGCAAGCGGTTAGCAATATTCATCTCTCTAGGGGGTGTCTGACTCTCTGTTATGGTGTGTTTGACCCTAAAATAATTTTACGCTGGAATATCCCTTTAAGGGAATGAAACAGAAACTTCTGTTTATTACACTCATGTCACAAAAACAGATACCAAACAAGGTCAGAGGTACGAAATAAAACCTGTTTATGAGAAAGAAACCCCAAACACATCACCATGTGTGCCTGAAACCCTGCACTGTTAAGTCTGCAAACCACTGAGGCTCATTGTTGGAGGCCAGATGCATACACTATCTCACAAATGACAACATATTGCACTGCAGCACTGTACTTAACTAGGGGGTAGGACTGAGGTGGGACACACATAATAATAACCCCAGCAGAGGCCGGCAGGGATAAATGATGATGTGTGGTAGACCTGACAGGGACACTGTAGTTTTCAGGTGAGCCTCAGGGTGCTTATCTGGCAGCAGGAGTATCATTACTGTGGATGAATATATGAGGGGTGGGAAAGCCACAGGCACACCGCTTTGAAGTGTGTGGAGGTGGGCAGCCATAAATGAGTCCTCTTTTATGACTCGGATTCTTGTCCTCAAACATCAGGGTTGGAGGGGGGGGGGGGACTCTCTCTTTGTCCTTGAGTAAACTCATTTCAAACATGATGTAAAGAAAACATCTTTAGGACTGAACGTTTGCTCATACCTGAAACTCCTGGTCCAGCTTCTTCTCAATCCACTCGGTCACATGAACTAGAGTGACCTCTCTCTCTCCGAGTTTAGGCCGTGCTTTTAGCTCGAGGTGAGGCGGACTCCGGAAACCATACCTGGACACCAAGGGGACCAAACGTGAATTCTGTTCAGCTGTTCGATTTTTTTTGCATTTTTTATTTTATGTCATCTTTATCCTTTCCTTTAGTTTAATAAACCAAAAACATGACTAGGGACAGGAGTTAGAAACTACCAGAGTATTTAAAAACCAGTTATGTATTATGAGCTCGTCATTGTTCCATCTTTATGATGGAAAAACAGTGTAAATGATCATTTATTGTCATAATTTTTAAACCCTCTGATATTTTTTTCGCCCTTTTTTAGTCATTCAGTCTCACAGGTCAGAAAAGGTGAAGTTTATAAAGCTCACAGTTTGCACTTATAGATTTATTGTAGATATATTGCAACATCTTTCCGTCCAATTATTATTGAATATATTCAGTTTACTGGTGGTTACACATTTGGAGTTTCATTCTTTTGCATTGTCCAGATTTGCCCAGCAGAGGGCGCTGGGTTACATCTAACCCCGACCTCAATGCCACTTCATCCTCCAGCCCTACATGCACTCCTCCCTGGAAGTGAACTTACCATATCCTGTCCGTGGGGGGAGGTGGGATGTTGACAGCCAGCGTCCCGCGGCACTCTTGCACCTCCACTGTGAGCAGCAGGGGCGTGTTTGACACCTCCTCCATCTTCTTCTTGATGAACTCCGTCTCTGTGGCTTTCTGGAAGTACTTCGACTTGGCTATCTTGTCCACGAAGCGCATGATCTTGCTGGGTCTGTGGCCTCCCACATAGCTGCGTGAGCAGAGGATGGAAACGGAGGAAGAGGAGGGGAGGTGAGGCGAGGAGTGAGTCAGGTTCATCATTTATTCATAACGGCATCTCTTGCTACTCAGCACCCACAGCCGAGGGGAGTGACTGAATGCAACACTGGAGCAGCAGTGAGCTCTCAAACATGTGGGTGTGAGTGGGCGGGTGGGTCGACAGAAAGGGCAGAACGTTCTGCTCTGACACACAATCTGTGTCGTCCCTTTTTCAATTAAGAAACGTGATGATGTTGTTTTCATGGAGGCATTTGCTCACCCTTCACCTCCAGGAAGAACAGCTTTGTCACTCAGGAGTTCAGGAGGATCCTCCTCATCCGACGAGCCAGCACTCGACGATTCCTCATCGCTGTCTGCCAGGCAGTATGTCCGCGGCCTGGGCCTGTAACACGACCACATTAACACGAGTTATTGCAGATAAACGCGTGACCATATACAGGTCCAACTTACTCAAGCAATTCTAATCCAAATCATTTCCACTGATGTAATTTATATGAAGTTAATCTCCAATGATTCACTCAGGTATCTATCCCCAAACTTACCGGTCATTCAGCGAATCATCATCAGCGAGCATCCAGAGAGACGGGCGGTGTATGAAGAGAAGGGAGGAGGAGCCAACAGGAGACAAAAGGGAGGAGTGGTGAACAAACAGACAAAGAAAATGGTTCAAAATACAAAAAAAAACACAAATAAACTCAAAGCTCATTTGGCAGAAACACCTCCTTGACTCTTTCTCACTTAAGGTGTTCCACAAGGTTCAGTCCTAGGACCCATTCTCTTCACTACAGGACCTTTTAATGCTGCTGAAGGCAAAACAATCTTCTGGAAATATTAACCAGTAAACTGCAGAGATAACACAGGTCTCTCTGGATATGTGAGTCACTTTATGAGTGTTGAATAAGCTAACATTGACGGACTGGATCAGACTGGCTGAGCGGATGGATGATCAGTCTTAACTATTGGAGAAAACAGGTGTGTGTAGTGCAGATAAACTGAAGCTGTACAAGAATACCAAATTCCTCCTGCTGCCTCCCCAGACTCACCCAGTCTTAATGTTTTCGTTGATGGGTTGCAGTGGTGGCTAGTTTTGAGACATTACCCTTATTCTTCCTTTTCTTCCCGTGACTCCCGTGTCTCCTTCTTCCCTGTTTACGGGTCTAAATAAGTCAATGTGGGTCAACATTTACATGCAACTTCACATCTCTATGCAGATGATTCTATTGTTTATTGTTGTTTGGGCACTGTTGCCTCAGTTCTAAGCTGTTTGCAGCCAGTTTGATGCTATTCAGTTGCACATGTCCCACCCCAGACTAGTGCTAAATGCTAACATAATCAAAGCCATGTTGTTTTCCTCTTGATAGTAAGTACCAGCAGTTCTTTCTTGCAGAGTCTGTCTTTTGGACCCAAAACTCTGCAAAAACAGAGTTTCTTCCTCATAATTAAATCTGTTTCTTCTCTGACCTGCTGCTGACACCTTTTCGCTCGTTCTTGATTAGAAATTCGCTCACTCACTGCATTTGTCGGACGCTGTCGATCACAGAGCACTGAGTCTGACCACAAGCATCATTTCACTTTGTAGTATCTGGTCATAACTGTCCACTCACAGACTTTTGCGCTGATATAATTTGTTTGCAAAGACATGTTGGACTGTATTTATCCTCACCACTCTTTCCCGTGCTCCCCGAGCCCCTCGCCCTCCTTCCCCAGACGGGCCAGGTTCAGCTTGGTCTCCAGCGTCATGAGGAAGGAGCCCGTGTAGGAAACCTCCAGATCGAACCACAGACCTGGACAGAGAGCGAGGAAAAGAAGCAGAAACATTTTGTTCTAATCAGTCGAAACTTTTCTACTTTGTGTGAATAAACATAACCTCCTGCCTGGTGTCTAATTGCTGTGTGGTTCCCCTGCAGAGCTGCCAGGAAGGAGTCCCACCCTCAAGCAAACACCGAAAAGGTCAGAGCAGGGCCGACAGCGCCTCCTTATGGGCTTGACCTCAACAGGTTACCTCTGTTTACCAATAAAACATCTCACCGCATAGAGAGGATTTTGTGTCGCCTGCTGTTTTTGCTAATAAGCGATGCCTTCTCTTCAATTTTCTGTCTCTGTTAATGCTCATTGATTCGTCTGTGTGTGGCTGCAGAGACAAATAGAAGCTAAATGAGCCAAAACGAGTGAGACATCTCCTTATTGTCCCTGTCTAGAGGAAGACACAAAGGGTGGGAGGACAGTCTGGAGGGCCTGGCATGTCTGAAACACTCATACAGGGATGCATCAGGATGATTAAAAGACTCGTGTGTGGCTTCATTTTCATGTTGAGCAGTAAAAAACAAACGAACAAACCTCTACAGCTTTTTGCCAATCTAAGTAAAAAAGCACATCTTTACTGTATGTGTGTGTACATGATAAATAAAATCATAATTCTGAGCACAACCCTGCAAACTTCTGTGAATCTCCAAGTCCGTTTGCTTCATACAAATTGAAACCCAAGTCACGTTTCCCGAACATTAAACAGTCAGGACGCACCGTCACCACCTCGAAGACGTGAAATCAGGTATGTTACGAACGAAAACGATTGCATCCTATTGTGTTTGTGCAGGCTGACGACGCGGCGCCTCTCGACGCGCTGTTCCCTCAGGACTAATTACGTGCCGGGCTCCGCTGATTATGCTTTGTGAGTATATTTCTGTGGGCGTGTAGGTTCAGACAGAACACATTAATGAGCACTGCAGCCTCTCGTGGAAACGTGGCTGACAGGAGAATGACTCATGACTGGCTCTTTTAAACCCAGTAAGAATAGGTTTTACCTCGTCAAGGCTCCAATATCCTCACGCTGTCTTTGGACGAACCCTGAATATTTAGAAATAAGGACAGAAGCAGCTCATCCTCTGCTCTTCTTTCTGCTTCAAAGCTCCACCACTGTTTGAAAACTACCTCCTTCCCCTCTCAAGTTTTCCCTTTTTCTTATTTTTAGCCCCGTACGTCAGTATTGTTTCTACGCATCACCGGCGAGTCACAGGAATGGATGAGGAGAACCCTCAACGTGAAGTTTAATTAGAAGGAAAGAAGGAAGGAGGAAAGGTCTGAGGAAATGTCTTCATGCAGAGGTAAGATGGAAAAATTTAAAGGGAAAATAAAGCAGATTAAACCAGAGGAACTGATAAAAAAGTAATTTAATGAATAACCGAGGGGAAAGCAGACCAACAGAACTAAATTAATAAACCGCTATTGTTTCAGATTACGCGGAGCAGAGTGAGGAAAGCTTTGCGCCTCGAGGTAGGCTTATGTTCTTACCTTGGTGGTCCACGGAGGGTTTAGAGGCATGGAGGATCTTTGGAATAGAAAAGCCCATGTCGAGCTCGGTCAGAGTTAACTCGTTCATCACATATGGCAGCTGAAAGACAGAAGATAGTTCATGCTTCATGTGACACAGTGACCAGAGACACTGTTCTGGACCCCCGAGTCTTTGCTGCTGCTCTCCCTGCCCGGGTTTGGGCCATGAGCCACACCATCAAATCTGACTAATTACATGTAAAGTGAGAAAAGTGATGCCGACGACTCACTCTGATCTTGCTGAGCTTCATTTGGATCTTTTTGGAGACTACATTAGCCCAGTACTTCTCTCCCAGGAAGTCCCAGAATATTCTTCCCAGAAAAGCGTTGACCCAGGCCTCGGGCTCCACGGTCTCCTCTGAACTCCTGCGAATCTGCGGAGGACACGTACAGCAGGGGTGTGATTCCTCCAGACTTAACGGTGGTCTTTTCTTCTGCTCAGATCTTCCACCTACCTTTTTGGTCGTTTTGGGGCTGCTCTCGGGGCTGTTCCCAGGACTGTCAGTGGCACTTGGACTCCTTGGTGGTGCTTGGGGGTTGACATATTTGGCCATGTAGATGTTGTAGTCCAGCAGCATCTTCTGCTTCATCCCCCCGGTGGCGGTGCAGGACAGGCGCGGCTGGGACAGCTCCTCCATGCTTCCTCTGCTGCTGCTTCTACTGTCGGCCTCCAGACCGCCACCTGACTGGGTGCTGCTGCTGCGGCTGTGGGAGGGCAAGAAGGCTGAAAGCGGAGGGGGGGAGAGGTAGAAGAAGGGGGTCATGGGGTGGATGAATGCACCAAATGCAAAGTCAATGCATCCTACTCGTTTTTTCTGCTTTGCACACGATCCTCCCACCGACTCAAAATAGCGCTGGAATCGTCATTTTCTGCAGATCCACAAAAACATATTTAAATCATCTTTCCGGTAATCCTGTTCTCCTCACACTGTTGTTATAATTGAACCTTTACAGTGGTAGTGTGTGTGTGTCTCTGAATTGGGCCTCATCCTTGCAGGCTTATATCACACAGTGGAGACCGATGCTATAATATGCTGCTTCTTTGTGCATGTAATCCTGCTGACCTATTCACACTCATCTGTTAGCTCAGTTGAGGGGATTGGCAGTCTCTAAGCTGGAGCTTATACACGGATCTGATTGCTGTGCTGTAACATACTCCAGAGACCGGCTGCTGTGACTGCAGGGTGTGATGCGAGTAAATACAGTACGCGACGGCGTCTGTGACAGGAACAGATGAACCGTTTGACTGAGCGTGGCGGTTTGCACCTTGGTTTGTGACGGTTCAGACTCACCACTCTTGCAGATGCCAGGCAGACTGCCGCTCCTCCCTTCGGACTTCCCTCGGGATGCCACGAGAAATCTCCGAAACCACTCCTCCTTTTCCCGACCGGTCCTTCCAAACAGGTAGATTGTCAAATCTCCGCCACCCGAGGCCGGCCTCTTGGGCTCCTCCGAAGATCCCGGTACTTCCTTTTCAGCTTTCTCACATTTGTCTGTTCGTTCTGGCTTCTCACTAAGCCCAGGCAATTTGTCCTCCCCAGCTTCAGGCTTCTCTCCCTGGGCTTTGGACATGAAGTCCTCCTGCTTGGCTAGCTCGATGCAAATCGGGTACTTCTTGTTCCAGACTCTCTTTCTGGCCAAGCTTTGAGGCACCAGCTGGATCTGCGGGAACATGTAGACCGAGTTTAAAAGATGAAACACATTAAAACTAGGAAAGTTAGGAGTGCTCACTGGGGTGACAGAGTGCCCAAAGTAAAACAAGGACAAACACAAAAACATGAAAGTTTTGAGACCTGTACAGGACCGTCAAACAGTTAGTGTTATAGACGACGTGAGCACATATAACATCAAATTAACCTGCAGAAAAAACAAATCCAGCATATTTCATTTGTCCACTTGTTGACACTGTGGCAAACATTGAAACAAAAGGGGAGGTGTGCTCTTCCCGCTGCAGGTTTTTGCACTAAGGCGAAGGTCTTCTGGTCGTTCCAAAGTCGAGGCTCAAAATTAAAGGTGACAGAGCTTTCTCCATCAGAGCTCCTCGACTTGGCCAGGTAGGCCCTGGTAGGCCAGGGAGCTCTGAGAACACAGTTAAACCACCAAATATAAATACTGCATGTAAAGATTATGTGAAGTCTTTCTGATAGAAAAGTTAGTTTTCATCCCAGACTGGTCTGGTCTCAAGAGTCGGGAAATTGGAGAACCATCCTGTCCTGTTATCCAGGTAATGGCAGCAGAGTTGTTGAGTTAGTTTTCAGGGGTGCTGCTGGCCTCGTGGTCTACATGTGCGCCCCATAAATGGAGGTCTGTGGCTGCTTTCTCTCTAATTTAAGGCAAAAATCCCCAAAATTAATCTTTAAAAATAAAAATGATTAGGCTAAAGTTAATTTTGACCATGAATTGAACCTGATTAGTTGCCATGGAAACATCACAGGCAATAGAATCTGAGGGGCCGTCTCTTCTTGGTGTGAATTCATCATTTAAACCAGTCCAGTCATACCTGAGTCACTGTTTTGTGTCTGTTTGGTGAAACGTGACTTACACTTCTGTGGTGAACCAACATCATATAGCACATGTTACAAACAGGCTGTTTCTGATTGTTTCATGTGACATCAACACAGAGGCAGCTGTAGATAGCTCGTCCCATAAGCATCAGTTTTAATTTCAGCTTGTTTTTATTACCATCCTCACCAAAGCTTCAACATTATCTACATATTAGCATTTAAGTGTTTTTCATGGAGATCCATTTATAGATAAATATCAGCTTTGAGACTGCGGAGTATCAGTTTGTTTGAGGACATCATTACGCATGAACAGCTTCCATAAATTCAGACTCTGTACATTTAAAAACAGACATATAACACTGAGTATCTCTACCAGAGCGACCCTGCAGAGCTGTTTCGTTTCAGAGTTGCAGAGTTGCATGATGGCGATGACCGTGATGACCTTTTGGCTCCACGATAAACTGACACGACAAATGTCTCCTTACTGTCTGGCCTTCAAAAGCATCGAGTCAGCACACAAATAAGTCAAACCAGTGCAGGGTCAGTGACCTGAGATATTCCCTCAGTGTTTACACACAGTTTGTGACTCTAAGTGGCTCTGTCACTGAACATGACCTATTAGCAAACATGCACTCAGGCAAAAGGAAATATGAGGAGACGTGTGCTTGATGTCACTCTCTCTTAAGCTTAAATGGACTGGGGAGTCAGCTGAGACCAACACACTCCACATGTTACTGTAACCCGTCTGTTTTACAAAGAGAAGAAACATGGAAAATGTCGGCGCACCTTGCTGTCGGTGAGGTCGTAGATCTTCTGGCTGATGTAGGTGACGTCAGGTTTAGGCTCGTTGTGTGTGGCACGGCGGGAGATGTTCCTGTTAGGCTTGGACAGGCGCAGGACGGAGCCTTCCAGACGGACGTAAACAGAGTGGGTCAGGGTGGCGTGGTAGGTCTCTGGGTCGTAACTGTGGATCTCGTTCATCCAGCCCTGAGGGAGTGAAGGGGACGAGTTAATCACACAGCAGAGAAACACATCCGTTATATGAAAAGGATTTCTGCCTGGGGAGAAATGATTCTTGAATTTGACGGTAAGTGTAAACAGAATAAAACAGAACTAACCGTCAGGTGTTTCAGTGTTTTATGATAATCATAAAAAACTGATTTACAAAGCACCTTTTACATCGGCAGACATTAAAACACAAGCGATAAAAAAGATACAGCAGGTAGAAGACAGTTATACCGCGAGGTGAAACAACCATGATGAAGTAATACACAGATAAAAACATGAAATCACACCAGTCAAGAGGAAGCGTTTCAGTAAACGAGATTTAAACGATTTAGCTAATCTGACATCCTCAGGCAGGAAATCCCAATTTTTCTAAATCCCATTTGATCACAGAGATTTATGTAGAGAATAGAGAGTGTTACAGTGATGATATTGTGAGGTGATAATGTTTGGATAACTTTTTCCAAATCAAGAATTACTAAATGACTGCAGTGATGATGGATTTTCAAAAAAAGATTCTCTGACAACCTTCTTTGACAAAAAAATGCAGTTCCTCAAGTGTCCACTAGAGGCTGGTCCCAAACGCCAAGGAAAGCCCATTAACATCCATGTTTAACTGTCATTTTCACAGCTAAAACAGACATGTCTATTCAGACACATTATTAGTCTTTAATGCTCACCTCGTTTGTTTATTACCTGTTGCTACGTCGTATCTATGGCTCGTCCTATTTACTCGAGAACCGATCAACATTTTCATTGCATAACAACCTTATAGGGTTGTAATGATTATTCCAGTTATCAGTCAAGCTCAGAAATTTAACAATTTGACCTAAAAACACAAAGATATAAATTTATTGACGTGATCGTAGTATCAGCAGGTTAATGACCTTAAAGGTGTCGAATTATCAGGAATTAATGGACTCTGCAAAGGACACCATCCTCCAACACCCAGTAAGCGGACACCTCATTGCACATTATCCCTCATATTAAATCTGTAGGATACTATAATTTACTGCCCCCTGCTGATTAAGATTAGGATACATTTTGCCAGCATAAGCAAATCAATAATTGGTATATTTCATATAAAGTTTGGACTCTGACAGCATCTGAAACACTTGCTCTTCCTTAATCCTCTAAGCAACATTAAGATAAAAAGAAAAAGGGAAGTTTTACCCCATGAACGGCTGCTGCCCTGCACTTGTTCATATTGTTAATACGTGTGTAGCATGCTTTGCTCTTCTTCTGGAACGACTATGCCTTCCAGCCACGAGGCTCTCCTGTGCAACAGCTTGGGACCCACTGAAGCACACACACACACACATACGAGAACACAAGCTTACGTAACTCCCTCAAACTGCTCAACATCTCTTCTTTAGCAGAAGCGTCGACTGAGGTTAACTAAAAAACCGAGGGCAGACGTGGTGGCAAAGCTAAACTGTAACTCTGATACAACCTTAATATGTTTCCGCGGGTCCCCACGAGGCCGCAGAGCTTAATTCTCATCCAAACTCCCACTTTATTAGTCCCAAAGGAGGACCTAAGAGAAAAACCAATTCACTCTGAACAACAGGGGAAATTTCAGAGCTTGGCTGGAGTTAGAAGAAAATATAGACTGAAGATATGAAACCAACAATCTCAACCTGCCACAGTCGAGTTTACACCTCTGGAACAAACACAGAAATCTTTTATTCCGTGGCTCTCCTTCGAGGAATGGTGCAGACAGATACGAGTGGTCCTACATTAATGCTTCCAATGGTACGCATAAATATAAAACAGGTTTTAAATTAGACCTTTACTCCTGCAAAAACATGCAAACATCTAGAGTCTAACTACGATCCATCACTTCCTACCTTGAAGATTCCTGGTTCCTTAATGTCCAGTTGGGACACATTCCACTGCTCGATCCTCCGCCTCCATCTCCTCGAGGAGCGTCGAGACGAGGACAACCAAAGGATCAGCAAAACTATCATGAATCCCGCCAGTATCCCGTGCACCACCGCGCAAACATACGGAGGCACTGGGAGGATGAGATACCAGTACACCAACTGTGCCAAGAAGATGAGACTGGTCACAGGCACGGAGTTCAACTCGTCCTCAAATCTCTCCTCCTCCTCCGTGTCAAGTTCACTACAAAGCCCAGTGCTGCCGGTGTGGGGTTGCCGAGATCCAGGGTGATCCCCGTCGGGTGTTTCCGTGTCGGTACATATGTCAAAGTCTTCGCTGTACAGTTCACAAAAGTCCTCGTCTTCTTGTTTAGCTACCAGGGCGGACATGGAGCAGCGACCCAGAGTGAAAGACGGAGATTTGGGGAAAGCGGATGAGGAGGTCTGGGTGAGAGCTGGAGGAGGCGCCAGGGACGGGAAAGAGAAGAAAACAGAGTCGGGGCCCTTTCCTGTGGGGGTTTCCTCCTCGTCTTCTTCGCCTTCTGCACCTTCCTCCTCCTTGATGCTGTAGTTGTTGTTACCTTCAGCGTGTCCGTTTACCGCCGTCACTCCACTGAGCTCTGACGCACTGGAGGACAGCGATTTAGCACGATGAGTGGCGCTTCCGGCAGCTCCCACGCCAGACTCATCCCCCATGATCTTACTGAAAAGCTGCAGGGGGTCTGACATCACCTCTGACAGCCGCCGCCTTGTATCCTCGATCCTGGCCTCCACCTCTTGGACCTTGAAGAAAGACCTCCCGTCTGGGGACATGATCGGGGAAGAAGGGGCTGTTTTGGAGTCGCCACCGGCTTGAGTGACAACGACGGGGCAGGAGGACAGGCGAGGCTGTGAGAACTGTTTGAAGAGCTGCATGTTACGAGGTGGCGCCCGCTGGGATTGCTGGACTTGCTGTTGCTGATGAGGAGGTTGATGAAGATAGTGAAGCAGAGGTCCATCCTGATGCTCGGATTTCGAAGTGTCCGTGGAGAGGGACTTCACGAAAGATTTCATTAAGTGACGGTGCCTTGTGTGGGACGGTGCATGTGCAGAAGGTGCAGGAGTGGTTTCTCGAGTCTCCACGTCATTCGATAAAGACCTGACCAAGCTGAGGAACGGTTTGGAGGACGACAGTGCTGCCGACTTGCAAGGGGAGGAAGAGCTGGAGCTGGTGGAAGGAGGAGTGGCTGAGGGTTGATTGGAGGGCCAGGAGGAGCTGGCAGGAGGGTTGGAGTCCAGATGGGAGTGGGTAGAAGCGGGGATGATAGTCACGGCTGGAGAGGGCGCGTGTGATGGAGGGTCTGAGGACTGAGAAGACAGGGTGGTGGATGAAACAGGGAGCACAGCAGCCCCCGAGGAGGTCTCCACATCAACAGGCTCAAACAGCAGCTCCTCTTTTGCCTCCAACCCTGTGGAGACTAACTGATCCTCCACCCCTGAAGCATCCAAACCCTGAGTCCCCCCTGCACCCTCAGGCCCAGGTTTAGCTTCATCCGATCCAAGAGGAACTCCGTAGAGCTCCTCTTCCTCGTCATCTTCTTCTTTCCCCAGAGCAGAGAAGTGGATGGTGATGGTGTCTCGGGAGAGGGAGCGCTGCACCTGCAGCTTGGGTCCGGTGGCGTGACGAGGGGGAGCGGTGTCGGCATGCTGGCCACTTCCCCTGCTGCTGCTGCTGCTGCTGCCCTGAGTGCTCATCACCACCCTGCACCGGGCTCACAGCCTGGAGGAGACACAGAGACAGAAGAGACGAACCATTGAAACAGTTACCAAACAATCCAACATGATACACACATACACACCCTCTCCGTACACAAATCACACAGAGGAGAAGAGAGCTTCCCCACTGCTCTTCATTTCTCTTCAGGTATGTCTGTGCCCCCCAATCCATTAGCCTTCATTACACAAGGCCGTTCCTGACAGACTGAGTCGCTCTCCAGTCTGCCCTCTCCTCGGCTTACCAGCCTCCTACTCACTCACTCGCCCCCGCCGCCGCATCGCCGTGATTAATGAGTTATTTCAGAACAAATGAAAAATGAAGATAAGGGAGCTCAATGTTAGCTTTATCTAACCACACCCTCCGCTGGGACCTGCTACGGCTGCTTCAACGGCGTGAATCAGCGAGGGTGAGAAAGACGGGAACAGGAAGGATGGGAAAGTGAATCGAAATCTATCTATAATGGGTGGAGGTTGCGGTTGAAGGTCCTGTGAAGGTCACTCCACCACCATGCACTGATTATATTATTGCAAGAGAGCTTTGAGTTTGCGCTTCCACCCTGCAACTGTCTGCTAACCGGTCAGCACAGTGAAAGGCCGAGGTTTAAGGGTTATCCCCGGGTAGCATGTTAAGACACAAACAACTTAGAAGACCTGAAGGAAACAAAGAAAACAACCAAATTTAAACCCCTGAAAAGTGTCATTTCTGCGGCATTAACCAGGAATCACCGGACATCACTGCATTGGCCATGATTTAAAAAAAAAACTTAAAACGTACCTTTTTAGTTTTGCTTTTAACTAAATTTTATATCATTAACTTTGTTGACGTGTTTTAGCATTTATCTCTTCTAGTTTTAATGACAGGATCGTCTTTTATTGAGCTATTTTGGTGCTCTTGTTTTTGTCTCTTTTACTGTTGTTTTTATTTCATTTTATTTATTATTTCTTAAATTTTATTCTTTGTTTCTTTGTTTTTAGATTTTGACCAAAACCTCCAGTGTTTCCTTATCTTGAGTTTCAAAATGACGTTTCCTCAGTGCGCACATTCCTGTTTTCACAAAATTCAGCCCTCTTTTAAGTTCTTTCATTACCTCAGCCAAGGAGGTTATGTTTTTGGTAGCGTTTGTTTGTTTGTTTGTTTGTTTGTTTGTTTGTTTGTCTGTGAACAACTTTACGGAGAAAGTTACAGACGGATTGACCTAAAATTTTCACCAGAGGTGCGTCTCAGCCCCAGGAGGATCCCATTACATTTTGGTGGTGATCCGGATCGTCTTCTGGATCCAGGAATTTTTTGAAGGATTCTTTATCATTGTGAGATAGGGCACATTTTGGAATTTTTGCATTTAACTCTATAAAAATGGTCAGGGTCTTTTTCAATGCTGAAAGATAACCAATGGGCGGCACAATGTGTAGTGGTTAGCACTGTCACCTAACAGCAAGAAGGGTTAGACACATTATTAGTCTTATTAGGGTCCTGGGTTCCAATCCGGGTCAGGGCATTTCTTGTTTTAGGAACATTATGAACAGTGAACATACCAGTTTGAACCCAAATAAAAGTTAATAAAAGACACGTAACAGTAAAAGTTTTGGTGTGAATCACAATATAAGGGGGGACATGAGCTGCTTGGCGGAGGTCTGCGCTCTCTGAGTGCTTTTCTAGTTTTAATCCTGTTTCTGTTGTGTTTAGATTGTGGGGTGGGAATAAGGGTTTGGGCTGGGGTAGGTTGGTGTTTTCACTTTGTGCTGAATGGTCGTGTATGAAATGTGCTATATACAAATAGACTGATTGATTGATCGACTGATTGACTGTGGCGATGAAATGTACATAAACTTTTCATTGCAATTATTTGATTCCCAAATCTGGACACAGGAAAAAATATTTAACACTAAACTTCAAGTAATGATGGATTTTAGATATGCGATTACAAAATGCGATTGATCGCGATTAACTGGGAAATTCTGCGATTAATCACATTTTCCATTTTCTTTTTAATAAAAATACCACAATTCTCAGAGTCAGGTATTTCAGCATGGGGTTTCTTCTAAGAGGCTCAAACATGATTGTTATATGTTATTTCTGTATTATGGGACTCTAATAAGCTCGAGCACAAACATTAATATGATAAACCCTGACTCCCTCACCCAAGCGTAACAATATGCAGGACATAATCACCAACAAAGAAAGTGTTAGGCTCCAGTGATCACAAGGACGAGGAATCCAGTTTGTAGTCTCAACACAGCAGAACCAGAGTCATCCATCATGCAGTGATTTCACCGAATGAGGCCTCGAGTTGTTATTGAGTTATTGTGCCTGCTTGTTCTTCCACATCGCGTACAGGCCATCATCCCTGGTTAGCATTATCAAACAGGCAGGGCAAAACAAGCACAAACACACGAGTGCGGACCCGTGCACGGACAAACACAGAGTCAGTGTGGCTCTCTGCCCGCTGATAAAATCATAATGGAAGAAGACGGAACAGGGGGGAAACTCCAGAGCGGTTTGTTTGTGTGATTGCCTGAGTTTCTGAGAGAGCCCGTGGGGGGCTCTCCGGTTGGCACTTCATCTCCAGAGATTGTATTAGGCGGGATGAAATAACAGAGCATTTGACTTTTCCAGCCAGCCTTTCACTTGGCTGTGCTGCAGCGGGGTTTTGCGTGTCTTTTTGGGTACGTGTGTGTGTGTGTGTTGCTTCAGCTTGGCTCGGGGAAAAAGAGATCGAATGAAGACAAGGATAGAGAGAGAGAGATGAGAGAAGGGCTACAAAAAGGAAAAAGACAAAGACCCTCAGGGGGTCTGTGGAGGATGCAGACGACCTTTCAGAGACAAGCTTTTGAGGTGGAATTCAGCTAAAAAAATGCAAAAAGGCAAAGATAGGGGGAAGAAAAATGGGAAGGGGATCTTCATGTTTCTTTAGTGGTTCAAGGTCACCTGACTCTGATTTTCCTGAAGGTGGCAACAGAGGCAGAGCGGAGGAAAAGGTGGTGTAAGTAGACTAGTTTTGTGTATATTGCATTGATTTTAAAGCTCCTGTGAGAAACTTTTGGTATGTGTCAATTTTGGCGCCCCCTGTGGACAAAACAGTCACTGCTTCTCTTGGCGTCTACATATTTAAACCAAGTCTTCTGACAAACATCTCATCCTACTGCCTTTTGACAGTCAAATATTGTGAATATAAGGCCTGTCTCTTCAGCTTCATGGCTGACACCTACCCCCTCACATCGGTTTCAGGCATTAAATATTATGATATAACAAAAAATAATTTTGACACTGATGGTCCTGTTTGCTTTTGTGTATCATAAAACAGCATTTATATGAATTTCAGTCTATTCCAATGATGTCAAAAAACTCCTTACAGTATCTTTAATGTGTTATTTCATGTTTTTTTTTTCTTTGTCTTGAATGGATGTAATGAAATATTTTGGGTCATAATTTCCAGCTTTGGCACATTTAAATACTAATTATTCTCCTTAACTGGTTAATGAGACAAAAATCTAAAAGAAATTGGGTTTAACTGACACCTTATTATTCCTGAGGTGCATCTTTGTAATACAGACAGTAACAGAGCATAAAAATAATGTGTGTTTCTATAAATGTGGGTCATGAAAGCACAAAAGATCCTCGGCTGTATGAGAGCTAAATCAAAGACGGTACACTGGGAACATATCCGGCGCTCTGCTGGTTGAATGGAGTGACTGTTTGCCGACACACCCACAGGTTTAGTTATTTCCTCCTCTCAATGCACAGCTGCTATTAAACGCCCTGTGTTTGTTTTAGCCGCTTCTGGATGAGGAGGAAGAGGAGGAGGAAGAGGAGGAGGAGGAGAGGAGAGGAGTCAAGCCTGGCATAGACACAAGGCTCATCCAATTAATCAAAGCAAGCAGGGCCACTTTAATCAGCTAAAGCCAGCACACAGGGAGACAAGGAGAGAGGTTAAAAGCAGAGGGGGAAAAGACGAATGATACGAGGAGGGAACAGACGGAGGAAAAGGAAAGGAAACAAGGAGATGACGGAGGACGCAAGGATGGAAAAGGAACTCAATGAAATACTCTGAGTGCATGTTTCCTTGTATTACAGTGCCTCAAAGTCCTCTTGAGAGAGACGTACATTTAACATATCTACAGGGGAGGAGTCAGATGAGGATGTATTTATGATCAACGCTTTGTGCTTCTTTCAGCAGGTCTCATCCCTCCGCTCAGCTCAACGATTCGCTAAAAACCACTTTCATTTACTCCAAGTTAGGAGCCAAGAGGCACTCTTAATTTGTTGAACGACTCCAGCTGTGCCTCAAAAACAGCCCTCGCTACGCCGCTCCTCAAACTCCAGCTGATGTATCGCGCCCGACGGATGCGGCGGCTGATTCCATGTTTTCTGACAGACTCACCTGGCCTCCCTTTTCTCATCCTCCTCCTCTCTGTATTTGATGGATGGGAGGATACTTCTGAGCTGTCACACAGCCTGACAGATATAAGACCCCGAGGAGGCGTGTGGAGTGTGAGAAGGGGGAATGGACTGGAGAACTTTTGCACCTAAATCTTGATTTAAACGTCAGATTTCACTTGTATTTAAGTATTTTTACACCGTTCACATTCATTCTTTTCAAACTTTCATATAGTGTCATTTATTTGGCTTGTTGGATTCTTTTATTTGTTTTTAAATCTTTAAATGGTCAGGCTCCATCTTACCTCTCTGAGCTTCTCCACCCCTACACCCCTGCTCGGTGCCTCAGGTCAGCTGATCAGCTGCTCCTGCAGGTACCGAGGTCCAAACGGAAGCTCAGAGGGGATAGATCTTTTTCTGTTGCTGCCCCAATTTTATGAAACGAGCTACCCCTCCGAATTAGAGAAGCCCCCACACTGTCCATTTTTAAAAGTCGTCTTAAAACCCATTTTTATTCATTGGCTTTTAACCCTCCATGAGACTCGGCTCCTGTTTTAGTGTTTTATGGTTTGTTTTTAGTTATTTGTTTCTATGTTTTTAAATTAGTTTTTAAAAGCATTGAAACTATACTTTTAATTCTGCTTTTATTTTATCCATTGTTTTAATTGTTTTTTGATTGTTTTCTATCTTGTTGTTTTGTCTAGTTATGTACAGCACTTTGTACAGCTGTGGTTGTTTTAAAGTGCTTAACAAATAAAGTTGAGTTGAGTTGAGTTGAGTATTTATCATTATGAAACAGTGTCTCAATCTTGTTACCCAAAAAGTCATCAGACCTCCTCCTGCTCCTCTCTCCGCCTCAGGCTGCCTCAGAGTTCGTACAGATGTTACACAATCCTGCGGTCCACTGTTGGTCTGAGCGGAGCCGCAGTTTTGTTTCGCATTGATCTGAGCAGTTTATGATCAGGTCAAAGGTCAGAGTGAGAGCTGATCGAGGAAGAAGGCCGCTTCATCCAACAGAAAGGATGTAACGTAGACGGGATGTAACATAGACGGCACAATAATTGTTCAGTCTCGATTATCATCTGCGCCAAAATCGTAGACAAAATAAAAATCTGATAGACTGCCGAGCTGTACTTCAAATAAGTAAATAAATAGAAATACACTGATTAATCGGGCCGAATAATCGCATTTGAACGTAATTGGGGTCATTCCAGTATCGGCCCTCACAATGCCGAAATTGCGATTATTGTTCAAAATGAAAACGCATTTGACAGTGGACGGTACAATGACTTTGTCTATGCCAAAATCATAGACAAAATTAAAATCTGATTACCTGCAAATTTCTACTTCAAATAAATAAATAAATAGAAAATCACTGATTAATTGGTCAGCTGATTAATCGGGACGATAAATCGCATTTTGACGTAATTGGCGTCATTTCAGTATCGGCACCCCGCGAGGCTAATAACGCCATTATCGTTTGAAATGAAAACACATTTGACAGTAGACAGCACAATGATTTGGTCTACGCCAAAATCGTTGAAGATATTACAATCTGATTAACTGCCGAACTCTACTTCAAATAAATAAATTAATAGAAAATCACAGATTAATTGGGCAGATTAATCGTATTTTGGCGTAATTAGGGTCATTTCAGTATCGGCCCTCACAATGCCGATATCGCCATTATCGTTTCAAATGAAAACGCATTTGACAGCAAAATTTACGGCTATCTAGTGTTTTATACAAATTCTAATAACAATGATGTATAGAATGATGCAGTTTAATAATCATGATGAAATAATATTTACCTTGTTTATTCTTTTAATTTTTTACTACTTCAAGACAGCTGAACAGAAATCCGAGTCCCTTGTGCCAATATTTTATTAATCAATATTTTATTTTTCATCAAATTCAGCGTTACTGTTTCTCATTTGTATTGATTGACAACCTAACATCTGCATTATGTATCAACTATCTATAGATTCTGGTTGATGCTTGCTCTGCTGGTGTTAGCCAAACCAATCTGACATCTGCACACGCAGTGATCGCTCAGATTTGACCGTTTTTTGGTGCATTTTCGTACCCGCTGGTTGGTGAGTGAGACACTGAATTCCCATCGGATCAGTAACTTTAGAAAATCTCTATTCAAACCATGCAGAAACATCGCAGGACGGTTTTGAAATCTAGCTTACTCTTGCTGTTTTTCCCAGCCGCACCAGAATTCAAAGATCAAACAGAAAAGTTAAATAAGGCGAAAAATTGAGGCCGGTATCTTGAGCATACTGAGTGGATTAATCTGACGCAGTGGGAGAAAATGTGGGACTAGACCGGTGCAAATACAGTTTGTACCAGAGGGATGCAGAGAGACAGGAGGTGAACAAAGGATGTACAGAGAGAGAGAAAGAGGGAGCAGCTGATTGAACCTGACAGTCGTGACAAATAGAGACACGCAGGAAAACATGTACATTCAGCTCGGTGGTCACATGATGTTAGCAGTTTCCTGGATGGGGACGAATGCGAGCGAATGTGACACAGAGGGAGGGTGGATGGGTAATGAGCACCTGAGGAAGGTTCAAGAGAGAAAGAGGAGACTACAGATTCATGTAAACACATCACAGGTCTTTTATTCGTCATGGTTAAAGCGCTGCACTCTGACGAGCCCAGATACTGGAGTTTATCATCTCTACAGTGAGCTGTGTGGGCGTTGTTGTGTCCTTGTTACCTTGATACAAAAGGGAACTCTGACCTGACTCAGACGGTGAGAAAACAACTCAGGACGCAGGTCTATAAATAGGTCCAGAGAGCGGCGGCTGAGACGGTGTCTGTCCCTGAACACCGGGGTGGACTCTTAGTAAACTTTCTCAGAGACAGAAAGATTGGAGACGGTGTCAGCCGTTGATACAGCAGATATGGAAGCTTGAACAGGATTGGATTTGAGTATAGTGACTCTTTATTAAAACTACACTGGAATATTTAATGATACCCAGCTCTAAGACTCCAGATTCAAAAACTCCCTTGCTCACCCCTCTAGTCAGTTAAATTCCGGAAGCACCGATGACCTTTAAGGACAAGAAGCTGGTGTGATGGACAGGTATGATCCTCCACTCATTTTCATCTTGAGCATTTCCAACAGCTACCCACAGAGTACAAAAAGAGCTCTTCCAGATGTCCATTTTCTGCTTCTGTAAAAACATGGTGGTGCAGAACGGCAGTCTCTGCTGAATTCTGCTAAATACTTCACACTGGGCCTTATAGGGGTCTTGTCCTCGACTGCAGCAATGTTCAAACCAATCTGAGTGTAGTGTTAGTCCAGGCAGGCCAGGAAAGCCAAGTCGGGATGCACCGATCCGATATTTGATATTTGTATTGGTCCTGATACTGAAGAAAATTCTAGATCGGGGATCGTGACAATGGGCCCGATGCATAGGGGCTGATCTATTCGGTCTAACGGGATAGAGCTTTCTCCATCAGAGCTCCTCGACTTTGGAGCGACCTGCCAGAGGAGATAAGGCGTGCAGAGACAGTCGCTTCTTTTAAGTCAATTTTAAAAACTCACTTTTACAGACTTGCCTTTATGTGATGCCATCTTTCATCTTTTATTGTCTTTTACCGTTTTTATTTTTCTCCTTTTTCTTTTACCTCTTTCACCTCTTTCTTATTTAGACTTACTGCCTTTTTAGCCTTTGTTTTACTTATAATCTTTTTATTGATTTTAATGTTTTCATTTTCCTTTATTTTATATATATATATTTAATTCCACTTTATCATTTATATTACCATCATTTTATTTTATTATGATTTTATTATTATTATTAATATCCTCTTTTATACTTACTAGCCTGTTTTCTTCCCTCCTTTTCTATTTCTTTTTTTTTTTTGCTTTTATTTTGGTCCTCATGGTCCCACTTATTTTGTAGGGTTCTTGTATTGCCTGGGTTTCTTACGAAAAGTGAAACAGGCCTACAATTCAGAGGCCTGTTTTTAACTGAGCTTTTGTTTTTATGTGTTTTTATTTTCAATGTGCTGATGCTCTGTGCTTACAAATGTTGTCTAAGCACTTTGTAAACTTCTGTTTTTAAAGGTGCTATATAAATAAAATTATTATTATTATTATTATTATTATTATTATTATTATTAACTCTATGCTATGCACCTTGAGTGGCATCCACAAGTAAACACACTGAGTGGACGCCCAAATTGTTTTCAAAGTGGAGCAAGCAAAGGGGTCTGCTATCTTGAGCATTATCATAATACCTACAAGCTACAAAAGTTACAAACAGTTACAACAACGTGGCTTTTCTGCATCAGAACTGGATCGGTATTGGCCGATACTAAACTGTAGGTATCTGTATCGGTATCAGAGGTGAAAAAAGTGGATCGGTGCATCCCTAAAGTCAAGCACAGCCACTGATCGGCTAAAAGCATCAAAATAGGAGGAGTGTCTTCCTGCCTCCTCTGCAACCCACCTCCACCCCAGCTCCTCCTCATTTGCTGTGTCTGATCTGAGAGTTTTCGCTGCTGCTCTGCCCGCCTCGCCTTTTCATGCCCCGTATTCACATGTCAAGGAAGGGAAGGTGAGCTCTTCTTGTGCTGCTGCAAACGCCACATGATTTCTCTTGATTGTTTTAGAGTTTTCTCTTTGCAACGCCATCAGAAGAAAGGAAACATGAAGCACACTGAGTATTTCGAAACAGAGTTCACTATTTAGGGAGGCGGGTGTGCTTTGGTAACCTAGCAACAAGAAGCTCCAGTGAGAAGCGCTCTGAAATCGAGGTCACTGTCAGCGTGAAAACAGTAAGTGGACATACCCCCTAATTTTCATGAACTGACCCACACGCTGTTATCCTGCTGTCGACATCAATCCTGTCATCGCATATGTGGTTTTATTCTCATTGAAATGAAAAAATATTTCCCAGCAGGCTTTGCAGAGTGTTTTCATGTAGCTGCTCCAGTGGAGACCTCCATCATATTGACAGTGAACAACCCTGACTGCCTGACGCTCAGTATCGATGTGTGATGTGTCAATATGCCTCTTGGACTAACACATCTGTGGAACGTCCAAATGCAGAAAAAGCTGCACACATTGACCTGCAGAGTTATGAGGTTTGATGTTTGGCATCGTCTCTTAATAAAAGGAGAAAAACAACAACAACAACAACAACAACAACAACAACAACAACAACAAACCACAGCAGGGAGGTAAAGAGCACTCACGCAGCAACGCTGGATCCAACCGGTTTTCTTCACCTCTCTCTCTCTCTCTCTCTCTCTGACACAGAATCCACCGTCAACACGTCAAACATCAAACCTCACCATGCAGATCAGCCGGTGGTTGCCATGCCAACAGCGAAGCTTTCATCTTGTTCTTGGTTCTTTTGTTTGGCAGGGCAGCTCCCCCTCCTCTCACCGAGTAACCTCTCCTAGGAGTGTTTGTTAGCACAAGATCTTCAGTGGAGGGTGCTCACTGTATGTGTGTGTGTGTGTGTGTGCGTAGGTGCAAATCCAGAGCAAGAAAAAAAAAAGAGTGAATAGAAAAGGGTTGGGTGTACTTCTGTGTTTGTACATCATCATCATCGTCTCAGAGATCCAAACGCTCTCCACCGACAAATAACCTCTAAGGTTATCCATTATCCATCCATTCAATTATTCTATTCAATCTAGTAAACAAAAAACAACAAAACTAGTCAAGATTTTGATCATTTGTTTTCTAAATGACCATAAAATAACAGATTAGTGTTTGTTTTTCTAGTTTCAGTTCAAAACAGAATATATACCGTGTTTTTTGCACTATAAGGCGCACCTGATTATAAGGCGCATTAAGCCAAACAAAACGGTCAGATAAGTCAAACTTTGTTGAACTCATTCAATAACTCAGCGAGGCTACGGTAGCTGCAGTGCTCTGACAAGCCAAAAGGATTTTAAATGCGCCTTATAGTGTGAAAAATACGGTAATAGAGATGGAAATGAAAACAAAACAATAAATCTACTTTTCGTTTTCTGGTTATTGATGTCCCCATTTCCCATGGTGCCTTTCTACTGTTCATAAATGCACATTGCACAACAAAGTAGCCGACAACGTGGACAAAAAACTCCAGACCAGAGCGGTAGAGAACGGCTAACCTGTTGTCATGGAGACAGACGCATCCTACGTATCATTAAAACCCGCCAGGAGGGTCACGCTGAAGAAATTATGACCAGAGCTCTGATACAACGTAAGATTTTGGCGCTCGAACCGCTCTGTCGCATCTTTCGCCATGGTAACTGTCGCTGAGGATCATGGGAAGGCCAATGTAGCCTCCACGCACGTATGCTCAAAACAGGCAAACTCAAAATCAATAACTGTAAATAAGATTTATTATTTCGTTTTTGTTTCCTTCTCTATTATATCTACATCTATTACATAAACTTTTTATTTTTTGGTTAAAAAAAAATAAAAAAATAAAAAAATAAATTAAATATTGACTCATTTTTTCATTTTTGTTCACTAGATTGAATGGAATAATTGAACGGACAGATAATACACAGATCCTCTAATTATGCTTGTCATCATCAATACACTCTCTCATGACGACTTCAGCAGTTGCCTCGACTCCGAGATGCAAACGTCTTCGCTCTTCATCATTACGAGCTTCTCATTCGCTCAAGCGGCGACACACGAGGTTTGACACTCCTCTTTGATAAGAAACGGATTTGCATCGAAACATCGACGTCTGGATTTGACAGTTTAGGGATCAAAAAAAGAAAAAGTGGATGAATCCTGACTGAAGGCTCACAAACAAACAGGAATCTAAAAACATTAAGCACTTCATAATCTCTGTAAAAGCTGCTCGACAGCCTGCAAACAGCCTGAGGATTTGCAGTTAGTCATAATCCGCCCAATTACATGATGAATGGAGCAAAGGAGGGAGGAATACGGGGGTTAGAAAAGACACAGATTAAAATTAGAAAAGCTGTTTTGTTTTTATACAGTATGACCAACATGGTAGTTTTAGTAGGGCACACACGCTGCCTGAAATAAAACTGACCTGGTATTCACACTCTGTCTCTATATTTACCCCAAATGAAGCTCGAAACGCAGCGACTGATCAGGTATCAGTCGAAACTTTCTTTGGTTTTCTCCTTTTCTGACAGTAGAAGCATCACCAAGGAGACCGAGAAGGAGCTGCATTTTTAAACAATCGTGGGAACCGAAAGCCTGTGAGAATACAGCTGCAGGTTTTACAATATGAGCATTTGATATAAACACTTTTAACTGCTAGAGTACTATAGCCGTGCTTTCACACCATTTTCAAACCCATAAATGACACTTTCTCCAGCTATTAGCTTAACAAGGATGACGCCGTCTGTCATCTGTGCTCATTTACATCCAGGTAACACCTTCTGCAGCAATCCGGTCTTAATATGTGCTCTCATACAAGCGCTAACGGTGAGTTTTTGACTGTTTATCATCCATGTGTTGAAAGATTTCTTTGCTTTTACTTCTTTTGTTTCCAAGACACAGACAGAAACGTTAAAGGCACTCGCTGAGACTTCTAGGCGGATTTTTCCATTTGCAGCTCACACAGCTGTGCCATCGTCACGACTTTATACCTCCATATTAATCCTGAGAGATGAACACACAGCAGGAGCTTCACACAAACACACACTCAGACACGCAGGTGTAAAAAGGTGTTCCAGCAACAGTAAAACTCTTCATTAGCTTTTGTTTGCCACTGTGTGCACACGTTTTTACAGACATGATAGAAGTTAGTGTCTGCAAACTGACTCCAACACCGTCATGCACCTGAAAAAGGAAGTCTTGAGCTGATTATGTGTCGTGAATCGCCAAATTTTGAGTTGCAACATCAGAAACCGCAAGATATCATCTGTGTCAGACGTTAGATATGACACTGAGATCTGGCGCAGGCATATTTGAAGGATACAGCTGGTGTCATCATGTGTTTGTCGCTACCATCATGTTTTGGTAATATTCAGATCATCATTAGGAAGTAGATCTTTAAGGGGAGGGGGCTCACAGCCATCAGGAACAGGAATCAAACAGGAGAAAACTGCATTTATCAGGGTCTATTTCCAGACGTGGATTGATACATAAATGAGTCACGAAATGAATATAAGATGAACTAGAGCGCCCATGAACATACAGGATGAAAACTGTCTCTGTGGGCTGAAGGTCAGGTGTGTGTATCTGTTTACCTTCACTGAACCCGCCCGACATTCACGCCACAAACTGAGGGCTGTATGTGCGGCGCTCGGGTCAAATCTCTGTATGCGATCTAGTAAACAAATTCTTCCCCCTTTGTCTCAACGCTGACTTCCTGTTTGGCGAGATAACGGCCATAAGAGGAAGGCCCCTCCCATTTACTCTGCCTCTGCTTCTCTTTAGCAGAAGATTTACCGCTTTTTTCTCCCCCCAGCTGCTTTACTTGGAGAAAAACCCTGCTTGAATGAAAATGTCGTACAGTAGCTGCTCAGTCAGTGCGCACACACTCACACACACACACGCTCACACACGGCGGCGTCAGAAGCGATTAGCTGTGTGACACTTGTGGCTGCTCGTCACAGTGACAGCAGCTGAAGGCTTCCCCGCTGGCTTTTCAGTTTAAACTGTAAGTGTTGTGTAGGATGATGTGTGAATGCATTCATGCGTATGTGTGTGTGTGTGTGTGTGTGTATTTATATACGTCCGTGCTCACACAAACCTATCCGTATGCAAAGCCACACTTCCTGCAGAACATCCATCTTCAGCGAGGCTGCTGTAGTCGGTGCAGATACTGAGGCCTCGACCTCAATCACGCTTTGGTTCTCGCACGGGGGCAACGGTCAGACGATTTGCATGCACAGTTAGGTCAAGCTGGAGTTAAAGCACCGTTAGGCGACTTTACTGGACTGCTGTCTGTGAGGAACAGTAGAGGGGATTCCCACAACCGTTCCCACAAAGACGTAAGCATCTTGAACAGGCATGAAGCAGGATGACATTTCATTATTCATAAGCAGAAGTTGAGGTCCAAAGAGGACCGACCGAAACACACTTCCCAAAACTGTAACAGCCACAAACACACAAACACACAAACACACATCCACGCTCCGGTTTCATTTTCTGTCCTCCGACTCGTACCCTCCAGGATAGTCGCTCTTTAATTGCTCAGATTGAGATCAGATGTCTTCATATGTGAGTGGGAGGAATTCCCCCGATTATCACTTTGACAGAAATCGAATACGCCGCGAGCTGCAGGTCTCTTTTGTGCTTATCACTTAAAACGCTGGATCTGTCGTCAATTTAAAGCTCCTGTATGAAATAAAGGCTTGAATACTTACTACTATTCTTATAGGGAAGATTAATTTGGATTCTTGGCCTGACAACAACAACAAAAAAATGAGCGGATTGAGCAAATAAGAGCATCATGCACAGAGGCTATAGTCCTGGTTGGATCCCCTTTTGCTTCAACTCTCTACACCCCATATTTCCTAATCCTAAAAAACAACAACAGTCAGTTAAAAAAGCATCAGTATCCCAATCAAATATCCAATTATTTGCCATTTTTGACACTAAAATCGATCCAGAATCTCTAAACCAGTGTGACCCTACTGACAATTACCGACACTGACTCTCCACAACTCAAACTTCTCCCTGGATGGTTAAAAGCAGAGACACAGACACAGACACAAACAAACACGAGGACCAGTGTGAGCTTTAAGTTTACTCTGACACACTGTCTCTAATCATGGAGGGTGGATGTCAGGATCCAAAACAGAGGGCCCCCGAGCTGCTTTATCTGAACCTGTCAAAATATGAACCGCAGCTGAACTTTAGTTTACAGCCTGCAGCGCGCGCAGACAAACACATGATAAACATAGACGCCAAACAAGTACTCACACATCGATGTGTTTTTGGCGCTTCTGTGTATCTCCCTCCCACCAAAAAGTTCAGGTTCAGCCGCCGCTGTTCGCTCTCACCCTCGCGGTAATTCGTCTAATTGAGCTTTAAAAAAGAAAGAGTCTTCCCTTCAGACTCGCTGACACGTCCCTGCGCTGACTAACGCAGATGAAGATGTGACTGAGGTTCGGGGCTGAGCGAGGAGACGTCAAGATGAAGGAGACACGAAGAAGTGAGGCAGGGAGCAGCTGTTCAAGGCCATGGATCAATTCCAGCACCTCCCACGTGCACGCTCACACAAGAGGAGCAGGAGAGGGGAAAGTCTTACCTTGAGACGTTAGAGGCATTCAATCTCCTCTTGCAAGACAACCTGCAGTGACACACCGAACACCACGGCCATGGATCATGGTGCCAACATGCCTGGAAAAACACAGACAGTGGGGTAATACACGTCATTATAGGACTCTGCAGTGGAGTTCACCGCATGGATTCAGAATCACCGCTTTAAGAGAACTGTTTGTTAAAACTGTGCCATGAGTCTAACAGTCTACATGCACGCCTGGTTTGTGTAGGTTAGGCCTCAAGTTTTCGACCCGGATGTCAATGTCTGATCCGTCCTGGAAGCGAAATTTTTTTTTGTAGGGGAAGGTCCCGCCCTCCTTTGCCTCTGTTGGCTAGAGGTGCTGGGCTCTGATTGGTTATTCCTAATGGCTGTGAAATGTCGTCGTCTAGCCATTCAGAGGCAAAGGAGGTCAATCAATCAATCAAATTTTATTTATATAATGCCAATTCACAACAGTCGTCATCTCAAGACGCTTTTCAAGGAACAAGAGCAGGTCTGGACCACGCTCATTGTTTGATGATCAAGAACCAACCTAAGATGGGTTTTGGCCCATCTCAACTAACATGAGTTACAGTGGCAAGGAAAAACTTCCTTTTAACAGGCAGAAACCTTGGGCAGGACCAGACTCATGCTAGACAGCCACCATGCCGCTGCTGGGTTGGGGAGGAATGTAGAGAGAAGAGGGGAGAGGGGGAGAGGACAGGGGGAGGGAGAGAGACAACAGGATAGGGGAAAGGCGAGAGAGAATGAGTATGGAGAGGGAGGGGGAGGGAGAGAGAGTAGGGAACGAGGGTGAGAGAGAGACAGGAGGCAGCAGGAACAACAGCAACAACAACAACAGCTCATGTAATGGTGAAACAAAAAGACGTTCAGTTTACAGGTTTAGGATATGAGTGATAATGGACAATGTTGAATTAATTGAGTGCGATTACAGTTAGCAGGCTTAATCGTAGTCAGTTCTATTTTGTATTATTAATGTCAATAATGACAGTGAGGCTGATGTCCATGTCTGCAGGAGGTGGGACTTTACCCAACCATCCTACAAAAAAAAATACTGCGTCCTGGAAACCTGATTTGTACTGCACATGTACCAAACAAACGTCACGTCCTCTACTAGCCGTCTTTGTAGCAGCTCTGCAATTCTTTGCCCCTCGCGGTTTGCGACAACTTCAACACTTGTTCGACGGCTTTAGCATCAGTGAGCTCGCTTCAGTCAGAATGGATGCTTCAGTTTATAACAGCCACACACTTTTCTCCTGAACGTAGCGCTTCCCCTGACTGAAGCAGAGCGCCGGAAAGTCAAGAGAATGGCGCCCAGTTTCACGATTATAAGTTCCTACTACAGCTGGATTGTAAAATTGCAACGGAAACCCAATTATGAAAACCATAAGTTTGACTAGGTAGCTGTGCTCACTGTGGCCCAAAATGTCTCACCATGCTGGGCAGGAGCTCTGGAGCCTGCAGCTAGCTAGCCTGTCACATCGCCGTCTTCTAAACTCGACCGGTAGTTTAAATAAAGTTTTCATTTGCACTTGCGCAGTACGAATCAGGTAGGTAGCAATAGTAACGACTGACTGCTGTAAAATGCATTGAAATATGAAAAGAGGAAGTTATGTTTGTTTCGCATATGAGCCTCTGATTGGCTAGAAGTTCTGGGCTCCGAATGGTTCTTCCTAATGGCTGTGAAACGTCATCGTCTGACGGGTTAGGGTTAGGGGATTCAGAATTGCCATAATGTTTTGTAATGTTCTGATGTACAGAGCTGACAGTGCACGTTTGGCTTGCATGTGTGATGACATTTCCAGCTTTTCTAGCCAATCAGAGGCAAAGGAGGCGGGACTTTCCCTTTACCGTGCTTCCTGGACGGATAGCGGTACCGAGTTCACTTCCAACCTGGATCCTCTCACCCTGTTCCCTATTCTAACCCCGGTCCTATCCTCCTCTTTGAATACGCAAAAAAGCCTGAAAGTAAATCTTCAACCTTCCCGGACCTACTTTTTTAAGACAGACTGAGATCACGTGTTCTGGCGAATCTAAGTTTGACGTTTCTTTTGGAGATCGTGGACGCCGCATCCTTCTGCTCTAAGAAAGAGAGGGAACCCTAACCCGGTTTGTAGCTGGCACACTAACGCTAGATTCTGCTATAACTCTGCAAGAAGATGCCACACTTCACTCTGCGTGTGCATGGCTCTGTAGTAGAGGGGTCCTGTTTCCACATTTTACTGTTTTCAATCAAATAAAAGCTAAAAATAATTTGCAAGGGTCCACAAGTTCAAACTTGAGCGAAGGATAACAGTGAGCTTACACAACCTGGACAAACACACTTATCTAACTACTTTTTTGGCTCACGATCAGTATTAGGAGTCACTTTAGAGCTCATTTAAGAAGCGGTTCACACGAGGACACACGGCAGAAACTCTTGAAATGATCTGAGAGGAGATGCCACGCAGGCCTCTGATGAACTCACCCTGAAATAAAGAGAGTAAAGAGGGGATTTGGTGTAATTAGGTGACACGGAGATGAAAGTCTGGGAGATCGATGTCGACTTGTACGGCTGTGATGCTGTGGCCTGCTATTAGAAGGAGAGAGGAGACGAGGGGAATGAGTATTTTATGGTCAGCTCACAAAAAGCTACAGAGCGAGAGAGAGTAAGAAAAGGATGTACCAGGAGCTAAGGCAGCACTGAGAGGCCAAATGAAGCAGCTCTCTGCTCTACTGTAGCATCCTGACTCCTGTATCTCATGATGAAGATGAGAATATTCCTCCTCATGCTGTAACATCCAGTACCAGGAGACAGGAGGCTGTTATGGCTGTTGTTTGAGCTCCATCCGCCCCTTTGTCCTCCCCTCATCTGCGTTGGTTTCCGTCTGAGTGAGCTTAGCTGTGCTCCAACAACAACAACAACAAACCCAAACAGCTGATCCTCAAAAACAACAAGAAAGCATCTCTGATCTTACCGGAGTTATCGCATCTTCGTGTGCGGGGCCACTGGTCCTCTCCGCATCCAGGCTCGGAATCTGCGTAATGAAGAGGATCCTCTTGCGTGGAGAACCTGCGGAAGGATGCCGAGGGGCTGGCTGACTGGATGGCTGGATGGCTGGATGGCTGGCCTGTGCGCCCAGCGACAGTCCGGAGCAGACAGTGATCCAACCTGATCCCCAGCTCTGCCTCCTCCTCCTCCTCCTCCTCTTCTTTATTTTTTATTTTTACGCCTCGGATGCGTGTCTCCTCTCTGGGCGTGTGTTGTTTTGGTGAATGGGAGATGGTCAGCGCCACACCCCCTCCTCTTCCTCACCATGTAAACGCTGTTTACACCCACAAAAGGAAGAGGAAGACGAAAGTAGAAGATGAAGGTGAAGAAGAAGCATCTCGGCGCTTTGCTGGTGATTCATATTTGATTGTGTTGCAGCAGCGGGGGCAGAGATGCGTCACGGCGTTGCGGTGTGCCCATCAGACGCGGATTTCCCTCCACAAACAAAAACCAGCAGCCTCCAAAAAAACCTGCAGGGAGACAGGAAGGACCCGGAAGATGAATTCTGAACTTATCTTTCCTTTCAAACCGCCTTTTTGTCTTAAAAATGAAAAACTCTAGCTCAATCTACCTCTACAGCAGATCCACCGGGTGTTCACTAGTTCTGGAAAAGCCGGAAGGTCCATCCAAATCTCGGCTCGGTAAATCCGGTGACATTCGTTTGGACAGGCTGCCACCTGCTGGGCTGATTACGTGCTTACGTCAGGTGGAAAACAAGCAACGTGAGTCTCCACGGTGGAGTCTGCGCAGTAGTTCCCTGTCTCACCTGCAAAATATCACCGCCCCAGGGTTAGTAAACCGGCTTCTCTAAGTTTTGTAGGGACTTACTCTGCCTTCCTCTTCTGCAGACCTGCATGAGTGTTAATTTGGGTTTTCTGGAGCCAACTTCAAGTGGATAGGGGAGACTGGGGTAAGTTGAGCCACCCCCTGTTGTTTGGAAATGGTAAAAGAAATTGATCATGTGACCAAATCTTTAGGAGATGGGCATCAATTCATGAAGTCTGTGAAGGTTAGAAGCACATGGGTCAGAGACGGTCCAAGCCTCAATGGGGCCCGAAGCAAAATTTGATTTTGGGGCCCTCTATTTCTGCCAATAATATTGATTATTGATCAATCACACACCTTTACAAATCTCTTTGATTAACATTCCCTGACATGCAAACATACCTTTATCTTGGCGTTTTCTCTCTTCTTCCTCTTTCTTCTCTCTGCTCCTGAAGGATACATCCTTTTTTTGTGACATTGTTTTGCTCCACAACCACCTGCTCTTTGTGTATTAGGGATACGGCTCAACTTACCCCGCTCCTATGGTCAACTTACCCCATACACGGGGTAAGTTACATGCTATATTATCAAGACAGTTATGTTTACACTCATTCTGTTGGTTTGCAGGGATGAACAACATCCTGAAATATATGCAGATACACTAGTTAGAGACAAAACTATGATTGACTTGATGTAGTGATCCCAAATATGAAAAATGGCTCATCTTACCCCACTCTCCCCTACTTGCTTTCTTATCTTATTATTTTTTTAAAGCAAAAACTTAAAATTAATCTTTAAAAAATTCACAGGACCAAAGATGTGTTACACTGAAACTTAAGATGAATTTCTAAGAGCTGCAACTCTTACAAATGAAACCACACGCTATTAAAATCTGACAGGATTGCAGTTTAAAGATCTTGTACATGAAAATAAACACACTGACTTTTATCGTTTGTGTCTAAATGTTTGATTTTTGTCTCTTTAATTCTCTGAAAATTAGCTTTCGGTCGGTAAATATGTACTAACTATGCCAACATCAACATAATTAGAGCCCACTGCAAAGTAATCAACATTATTCTGTTGATTTAGTCTGGAGTTTGTCCAGGAGGAAAGACTTTGTCCGTGGATTAGCAGCACCATCTTCAGGCCATATTGAGTACTTCAATACTAGCTGATTTTGTTGTTAGTTAGAGACATGATGCATTCACTAAATTCAGAGGTACTTTGTAGATTTAACCTCTATTTTGAGCAGATAAAGTGCATGAAATATTGCACAGCAAGTTACAAGAAATACTGCAAAAAGTCGAATCTTTGTGATGTTGTGATTTAAAAAAAAACAGATGTAAATTATGCATATTGCAGAATTTTTTTAAGCATTCAAGGACAGATTTTTTTTTTTATCTTATGAAATAAAAACCTACCCCTGTAATGTGGCTTATATCAAGTCCAATGAGTTATTTTTGGTTAGAAAAAGACAAACATGTATAAAAACATAAAACATATATCAGGTGAGTTTTTGCAGTGAATAATTTTTGGATTGTGATTTGTGTGCAGCGTCTGTGTGTTTATGAGGGGGAGAAACCATTAATTCTGATTTAAATAAACTTAAAGTGTTTTTGTGTGATTTTTTAATAAAAATGATATAATACAGTGGTTCTCAACTGGTGGGTCCTGACCCAAAAGTGGGTCGCGGACATGTACTGGATGGGCCGCAAACAGCTGGTCAAAAAAGAAAATATTTTATGCAAATCTGATGTTTAACATGTCTTTTATTTTGAAAAATTGTTTATTTTGTGCAATTTGGTATTTATTTGACATTTGATATTTTCTGTATGCAACTTCAGTAGTTGTCGTCTTCAGTTCATGTGCTCTGAAATGCACTTTACTCAATAAAACGTGTGTAATTGTGTTAAGATTTGAGTCTTTTAAGTTTTTTTCAAATAAAAAACTAAATTTACTTGGTTTGACTTCTATAAAAGTGGGTTGTGACTTAAGGACCATGGGAAAATGTGGGTCCCAGAGTGAGACCAGTCACTAAACGCCGTATTCTTCGGATAAATGTCTTATTTAAAGATATGGCAAGCCAATAAAGTAACGTGAATTGCTTGTAAGAGTGAGAAAATATATAAACTCATGAAAATAATATAAAAAATGTACTCGTCAAGTTTATTTTTCGTGTATAAGCGTTCCCACATCAACACGCTTTACCTTTAAATGCCAAAATCATCTCTTTGACGCTCAGATATTGTGTGTAATAGGTTTATCTATATTGATCAGAGATCTGTTGGCACTGATGTGTAAAGAAAAAGAAGAAATACAGCGAAAGGAAAAGAGGAGAGCTGGGTCAATTATCACTTATATAACAGGGCCTTGGCCTTTTGTAAGGCTTCAGTAGCTCCCTCTACCTCTCAGAAGTTATTTAACAGAATGATTCACATCAAAGCGCCGAGGACCCCCGCTGCTAAACTCAAAGGCCAGACAGCCCATCTCCACTCTGACACTCTAATAACCGAGCCTTTATGAAGTTCATAAAACCCACTCCTCACTGGATCACTGCAGATGGCGGGCCGGGCTAATAGCTGGAAAAGTAGCACAGACTGCCACCTCGCTTGGACTCCTTTGAACTGAACCGTACGCAGATTGAACAGGGGGGGCCACCATATGCATGTTTCTGTGTGTGTCTGAAAGGACCCGGTCTCTCCCGTGTCTATGAACGTGTGTGTGAGTGTGTGTGTGTGTGTGTGTGTGTGTCGTCGTCCTTATCCTGTCACAGCAGGGGGGGGTGTGACATGAAAGCCTTTCCACAGTGTTTGGTAATTGCAAAGACCTCCGTTCTGCCTAAATAGCAGAAGAGACGTTATCAGGACACGGTCAAATCCAACACGCACACACACGTTTGAGTCAGAGGTGCACACACACACACACGCGCACACACCTTTGGGGCAGCTGACCAATCAATAGTCTTGACTGTGTAAAAGTACACAGAAGTGTGTGCTGGCTGCTTTCTTCTTTCCTTCACAGGCCTTTCTTTGTTGTGTGTAACCTTTTGATCTAAATGAAAAAAAGGAGGGGGGGGGGGGGTTAGGTAGGGCGATGCGTTCAAGAGGGGAAGTTATGTTAAAAGGGGCGGGGGGGGGGGTGGGTCGCCACCTTTTCATCTCACCTCTCCTCGGTGCAGCTTTATAACGAATGTCAACGCTGATAACAAAGCCTCATTTGCATATCATAATCCCCATCTCTCGACCTTGTGATCAGGTGTGCTCAGACGCACGCCTGTGTTCTTTCAAAAAGGAGAAAAAGACAGAGAGCAAGTAGAGAGAGAGAGAGAGAGAAAAGTCTGCTCACTTTGAAAGCTGTTTGAAGTTCTCTGCCCGAGTTCAAATAACACTAAAACATGTGCATGGCATTGAGTGGCTGATTTGTATTAAAAAGAAGAAAGGCAGAGGGATGGAGGGATGAAAGGAGGTCAGGGAGGGGAGGCTGAGGGGAACTTTCTGGAGCGAGTGAGGCCGAAATCCTTTGGATCTCATGTCAGCACACATGAGGAGGAGCAGGGCTTGTGTTTTTGATCTCTGAACGTAAAAGTGACGTGATCGTGGCACTTTGACCCCGACAGTTTTCCTCAAGACAGCTGAAACCCTAAAGGTCCGTTCACAACAGGAGCATTTCTTCGTGCGATTTTATTTCGGACGTCAATATTTTTTTTTTCGAACCTGTATCCTGTCAATACAGGCGTTCACATCAACAACATTTTCCCGTTCTGTGATATTGCGGTATTTATATTTTTGTTTCACGGTAGAATTTTCTAAAGTTTTGCATATTGTGTGTCCACTTCTGACCAATCAGATTTCGTGTTGATGCGAAGTCAGATTCACCGGTATATCCAACATGGCCGACCGGCTGATTGTTTAGGTGTCGGAGAACAGAGAGATTTTTGATAAAAAACACAAATATTACAAAGATAACGACCTGAAGGACAACTTGTGGAGAGTCATAGTGTCGGATTTCTCATATGACGATGGTTTGTGAGCTTTAACAGTTTGATAAACGTCTTTGTTTTAACTTTCATCTGTGCTAAGTAACTTTAGCTCGTAAGCTAACCTGTTCAGATACAACATACCATATGTATTTTCACTGTCTCAGCACCATCAGGTCTCTGTTGTTACCTTACGTTCATGGATTATAGTTTAATGTGTTTATCTGGTACTGACCCTGACTCAGTACCTGCTATCATGACAGACAGACATCTCAACACTAGAGTCAGTCTTCTCGCTTCCACGTGGGATGCGTCTTTTTCCCCAATGCTTGATGTGTATAGTCAGGCGCATCAAAATTCGCCTCTGAATATTTCATAATTTCGCGTCATATATTTGCGCTGTTCCCCGTGTGTAAGGACTTTAAATCATGCAAACAGCATCCTTATTTTTTTAATGATACACTGATTCTTCTCCAACAAGCCTAAAAGGAGCGAGTGTGTTTACCACAGGGGTAAGTAAGGTGTTTATGTGTGTATGTGTGTATGTGTGTGTTATTAGCATCTCTGCATGTCTAAGCAGATCCAAAGGTCAGGGACCACCCCACAGTGTGTCCACACACTCTATCATCCACCTCACACTGATCAATAGTAGCTGGACTGTTCATACAGGGAGAAGGTTTGGACGTCGACCAGCATCCGATGTCTCTGCCTCCTCTCTGTCACTATCTCCCTCTTGGCTTGGACACACTGTTCTCAGCGGCCTATGGTTTCTGAATTCTGCTTGTGAGGACCAGACGTCCTTTCCCATGAGTGCACAGGGCCTCCAGCAGGGCCGCCTCAGCTCCTCCACATTCTCATAGTCCTCTGTTTGGCCGGGGTTGTAAAGCCGGGCCCTGGGAGTCGCCCGCCTCCACTCTGATCCACTCGGCCGGGCTCTGCAGCAGAGCCAGTCCTGCCAGCTCCTTTATCCCAGCTACCGCACACCCAGGGCGGGCAAAGCCAGACTGACAGTCCCCCGCTGCCTCCAGAGCCTTCGTCTCATTTCCCCGATGTAGCCGCCCACCGCCCCGCTCGGCTTTTCAATCTTCGAAGCAATTAGAAGGAGATCCCTTTCTTTTGTCGTCTATCCGGGGAAAGAAGAAAAGCAGGAGAATGAGAAAGAAAGAAGAAGGAGGGCCAAGTTGTTGGTGGTGGTGGAGCTCAGGCCTAGCCAGGAGCCACTTGTGAAGCCTGGGGTATTAGGACTCACATGGTTTGTTTGGAAAGGCTTCTCCAGGGGCCAAAGTGGGATTACGTTGCAGATTGCAAGTTCCCATGGAAGGGGCCTATACCAGTGAGGGCTTTGGTGGGTGGGTTTCAGGTTGGGGGCCATAGAAGAGGTCTTTATGAGTTTGGGGTCTGTCTGAATGGAAAGGGCCAACTCCCAGCATGCAAGCCCTCCATATTAGATGGACACAGAGAGGCTATTGAAGTTACTCAGACATCCCCCTTTATTTCTGTCCTTTTCTCTCCCTCGCTCTCGCCTCTTGAAGGCTTAGCTGTTTGCCAGTGGAGGAAAGAGAAAAAGACTGTTCTGGGGGCTGAAATGATTCCTGTGTGTGTTTGTATGATGAAAATACCATCTGTGACTCTGAGCAAACGTAACATGATATGACAGTCGGGCGCCGATACTGACGCTACGGCGAATCGTTTCTGATAAGTTTAAATCATCAGTTTCAGTGCAGGCAGAGGATTTTTAACCGCTTGAATGGATGAAAGGAAGGTCAAAGACAAAGTTAAAAATGAAATCAGGCGTCAAACTTGAACTCCAGCTCTTCAAAATCAACATAAAACACACCCTGATATCTGCAAAGTCCCACCTGAGGGGTAATATGAAGAATCTACTGACTTTACCTGTATGTGTTTAAATGGACCCACTCTAGAAGCTCCTGAGTTTACTAGATCCTCCATGGAGGCACACATCTGCGCCCTCTAGTGTTCAGCTTCTGGTATTACATATTTCTACACCCTTACGTCTGACTTTCTTTCTTTTCTACCTAAATCTTTTTTGCTGTTGTAGCTCAAGTTTCACACAACTCGTGATCTTATTGTACAGAATTATGAAAAACAAGTTAAACAGAGTCAGAACAGATGAAGTTTAAAGAGTATGAGGCTGAGTTTGCTCATCATACGTCTCCGTCTGTGATCTGAGGATGCCTCTGCTGCACCATCGCTCCCCAGATGTCTCCGTCCTGACCTTCAAGTTCTCCTGTCACCTATACACCATCCTGCATCCACCCTCCGAACCCCCCAGCACCCCATCAGTCTCCTCTGCAGCCCAAACAGCCTCCGCTCTCCCCCAACCCCCTCCAGCCTTTTCCCTTTGAGCCGTGCCGCTGCAGCGCATAAATACATAAATCTGCTGTCAGTGTATGCGTGTGTGTGTGTGTGTGTGCCGACATATAGACGACGACGGCCGGCAACCCCACAGGCAGACCCCCTTTCATGTGTCACCAGATCAAGGACGCTCAGTGTTTACACACCAGACCCATCAAGACACACAACCAGACCCCCCGCCCCCAGCAGCGTCCCCCAGAACCTGTCACCCTGGCCGGGGAAGCTGGGGGACAAAGGCTAGGAGTCAACCTGGAGGTGGTGGTGCCAGTCTGGCTCTCTGATCCGCCGAAGACCTGATGGGAGATGCAGCCGGGGGTCAGAGGTCAAAAAGGCCATAAAAAAAGTCAGCTGACCTTGTCCTGTTTGGCTCCGTCTCAGCTGCTCGCCCTCAAACACACACTTTATTTAGTTATGTTGGACAATCACAGAGATTTGAAAGCAAAATTTCAAATCTTGATGATTATTGAGCTCTGATTGAAGCTGTAGCCCCTTTCACAGATGTGATTCGAACTGACAAGGTTTCACTGTTTTACCCCCTCACTGCTTTCCTTAGTTTTTGACATCATTTTTAGGCTCACAGTGTCCTGGAGTTGTCAAGAAAACATCAAGTCGAGTTGATGAGTAAATATCAGTTCGATTGGGACCACTTTCTTGGAAACGATCACTTGGATTCAATTGTTAAATTTGGTGGTACGGCCCTTTTCTAAAGCCCCATCCACACGAGACAAATTCAGCAGTAAATGCAAAAGTTTTGTAAGCAATACTTTTTGTCTGTCAATGTCTATCCAGATCTTTTTTGAAGTGATTACATTACCTAGGCTGACCATATTCTGACTTCCCAAAAAGAGGACACGACTACGCAGGGGCGGAGTCAAAGAGTCCAAAAAGTTAATTTTGAGAGTCTTTGGGGTCGGATCAAGTGTCTTTTACGCGCCTCTAACTCAGTAAATCCACGTGACACAAAATCAAAACTTACATATAAAACCGCGGACATTTGAAGAATCCTATAAACTTCCCCGTACAAACCCGGACAGCCCCCAAAAACATCGTTTTCAGTCATTTTCAATTTATATATCATTTTTGTCTCTGAGTGAACAAGGCCTTAAAGGCCCCCCCCTCGAGAGATGAATGTTGCCGACTGCTTGCTTCTCTAGTTATACCAACTTTAGTTATGATCTCCACGCGCAAACCTCAACCAAAACGCCACTCTATAGCCACAAATAATGCTCAGAACAGCACCTAACTTCATCAACAGGACATATAGGGTCACAGACATAGTACTAGACACCAAACATCTTTTTAACTTTGACTCATTTCTTTACCAAAGAGACCAAACATGACTCACCTACTCTCTTCCAGCAGCCGCTTGTTTGTGGGGGAAGCCCTTACCAGTCCATCACCAACTGCAGCAGAGTTTCGCAGCTCAAGGAAGAACATTTATGATTATTACTTCATGGAAATGCAATCAGAGTTCTTGTGTATCTTGTTTTTGTGCTGCAGGCGTGGTCGTTCTTCAGTGTCTTGATCTGATTGGCGGGGAGAGCAACAGCAAAAAGCCTTAAACAGCAAAAAAGCAAAGAGAACGCCCTTTTTTTTTTAGCTGATATGGGCCGGCGTGAGGATCAGCTGACGTGTATAAGTTACATAATATGGGTACTGGTGATGTGTACATGTGAGCACAGTAATGCAGTCTACTTTGCGTCTTTCTATCGGTGCGTTTACGAGCTTTGACTGCAAGAGAAGATCAAATCAAAATGACGGTGTGAAGTTGATTCATATCTGCTTTCTATAAAACAGCCGAATTTAAGTCGAAGTCCCGCTGTAACAACCACGAGGCCTCTTCTTCTGTCGGGAAACATAAAAAAGGTAGAAGAGAAAATGAGACGAAAGGAAAAGAGCAGAAAACAACAAAGCTGAGGGAAGCATTTTATCCCGCTGTGTTAAATTGGGTGTGACTAGGAACGACTCGGAAGGCCCTGAGAAAATACACCCACACATGCGCGCGCAAACACACACACACACATACACACAACGCAAACAAATTAACATCTAAAATACTCCGGCTCGTTTCAACCGTTCACTTCAAACCGTCATCAGGCCTCTAATGGGGGCCAAGTTCAAAGCTCCACTACACTCCCGCTGCTTTGCTGAGATGGAGGAACAACACCATCATCTCCCTCTCTGTGTTTGTTTATCCTCCGCTTTGCTCTCTTCCCCTGCTTCCTCCTCTCCTTCATTCCTTCCCTTTCACTATATCTAACATTTTCTTCAACGTCTCCTTTTTCCTCTTTTTACTTTCAATATTTGATTCTTCTGCAGCGCCCTCGTTTCCCTCGCTGTCCCTCCTATCCGGCTTTCATCTGGCACGCCAGTCTCTCAAATCTGACGGACATTGATCAGCGCGCGGCAGCACGGATGAAGTCCTGGTGCAGGTTTTGTTCACAGAGCTCCTGGATTTCCAAACACAGCCTTGAACAGCGAGATCTCAGAAGACAATCGCTGGTCCGAGATAGACAGTTGCTCGAAACTGCCCTGCAGATATCTGCCAGGATAAAATAAAATAAAAAAAACCTCCCTCTTCTCCCCCTTTTCCTCCCCCTCATCTCTTCTCCTCTTCCTCTTCTTTTTTCTCTTTCGAAGATGGCACTTCCACAAATATTTAACTCCAGCTATCTGCTCATTAAGAGGTCTTCAAAGCCTTCCATTGATGTAAAAGCATCCATTTGAATTTGTAATCACCCTTTGCTGTACGGCTGCTGTGCTCAGCGTAATTTTCCCCCGGATTTTCTGATAGCCGGCTCAAAGAGCTAACAACCCGTTTTTCCTCCCCTCTGAGCGGCGGGAAGGAAGGAGGAAAAAAAAAAAAAAAGGACTTTATCAAACTTTCAGAAGCAGGGAGGTGCGTATTTGTGAAGGCCTTGGGTTTGTTTATATGTGCTGACAAAGAAAGTAAGAATATATAGAAATTCACTCTGCCGACAACGCTCACAAGAAGATAAGAGCGGTGAGAAAAAACCCACAAGAGCCGGATAAGGTTTGTTTGAAGATTAAAGTTCTCTCGTCATCATAGAGCGGGCTATTTTCTTAAAAGGCACTTAAACGGCCTAGAAATTGGTTTGTCTATAGGGAGCGCCTTTAACTGATATCGCCTTTTAAAGGTAGGTATTTTTTAATATTCCGCCGCGCAAACTTTAAGGTGTCTGGAGCGGCGAGAAAACACACTTTGCCCACATGATACGATTTGAAAGAATGCCAGGAGACACATTCAGCTGCGACCTGCATGCATATTTAGCTCAAACATCCTCGGCGTCGAGATGACGGAGAGCCAAACTCTGTCAATCCACAGCGACACCATGAAGAAGAAGAAGAAGGAGAAGGAACTCGTCAGATCCTGGAGGCAGAAGAACACACCTTTACATCTGGATTTCCTCACAGGAGCGAAGTGTTTGAAATCTAATACATAAACATTATTCCCCCGGCTCGCCAGTTTTCCCTTCACCTGCGGAGAAACCGGCTCGTCTTCTAAACCACGTTGGGGAACTTTTCCACAATGCAGTCCTACTTCAGGAGGTTCAATGAGAGGGCTGACTGGGATTTGGCTCCTGCCATGTTTCATCAAACACACTTGTCTTCAGCCATCGCAGGCCTGTCTGTCAGTCAAACAGCCCCTCATAAATAGCTCTTTCCTCAGGTTTGCACCGCTGTCTTCTGAAACGCGAGTATTAAAGAGCTCTGTGCAAGTTTAAAGAATTTACTGTTGAAGTCTCGGGACTCGGAGTTCGATACAACCGGGAAATGTGGCTTACAGCATGCTAATGCTATCCCAGAATCCTCAGGAAATGCTAACTGAGAGGTAAAACCGTGGTTTATTACAACATCGCTTTATTTCTGCGGCGCGGTCCGGACTTTGAATGCATCAGAGTTCCTGCTGAGGTTTTGAGAGCAACAAACACGAGCGGTCAGAACATAATTCGGATTTTAAACAAAACTCAGAGCTCCGCGGCGTTTGTTTGAAAGAGAAAACAAAGGTAAGAGGTCAGATTACAGCTGAAGCCGTCCGCAGTGGTCTGTGGACGGTTATAATTGTGAACATTCATCACAGTTTATGGGAGACTCTTGACAGGTCAGTACGTCCTGTGTGCCAACTTTACGGTCCAGTGACTGAGGGCAGCATTATGGCTACCAAGCTAATGTGCTCGAACCCGCTGACTCAGTTTGAAAATTTCATAAATCCATGACCTGAAAAGATGATGTTATGGTTCTGTTATAATGAGTTTATTTGAATGGCACTGTTATATAAGATTCAGCCTTTGTTGGAGGGTCTTCTGAGGGCAAACAGACAATTCAGCAATGTGCAGTTTTCATGCAGATGTGAAGCTCTATCTTGTACCATCTGTTCAGTCCAGCTCAGTGTGATGGACCCGCTACCTGTGACCAACCATAGACTGTTAAATAGGGCTGGCAGGATATGCTTTTCTCCTGATTTGATTCTTTTACGATTTATTGGATGCCGATTTGATTTAAATTGCGATTCTACGATATTGTCAATTTTCTTCATTTTTAGTCTGCGTTTTTATCACCAGTGAAACAGTTGAATGTTTATGATTGTCTACTGGATATTCCAGGAACCATATTTCCCCAAATAATACACATCACATGTAAGTCAGTTTTTAAGATTTTCTTAAATTTGGGAAAAAAAATTGAAAAACAAAAAAATCGCGATACTTATGTGAATCGATTTTTTCACCCACCCCTACTGTATGTAGAATGGACACTGTCTGCCTCTTCGCTGGGTGAAGCCACCCTGAGAACAGCACCCTCTGGTGACGGGCTGCAGTATAGGTCATAAATCCCGCCTCCTCCAGTAATCCCTATGAACCTGTGGACAAACTTTAGAAATTTATTACACAGAACATAAATCTTTCTCCCCCCTTTTATGAGATGTTGAGATGTAGTTACTCTAAGACTGGTTTGTGCTCAAGTCCTCTTTTTTTAGGGGGTTCATGTTTTCCGTGATTGACACTTGATACAGACTTGATACAATAGAGTTAATCAAGCTGATCTCCATTTAATAACAAGGTTCAGGTTTACTCTTACAAACCCGCATATTTACGTGTTTATTTTACTGAATTTAAAGCAATATGCACGACACGTTTTTGTGGTATCGTTCTGCAGGATAGAAAAAAGCCTGTGCATAATTCACCTCTTTGTCCTAATATCACATCTTTACTGCGTTTATACTGAAGGTGAGGTGATACAGGGAGTTAAAGCTGCACCTTGAGCTGGTAAAATAAGAGAGCTTACAGGAGACGATGATCGCAGATGTGGTTCAAAAATTGATGAATGAATAAATTTAATGACAATACCTGAGAGAATAATGATGCTGTATTTGTTCAAGTCTCAGAGGATGGAGAAAAGCAGAATGTGTATAGTTGTGTGTGTGTGAGGAGGACTGGTGGCAGACATGTCACCAGGACCATTGACTCCAGTCTAATCCCTTCCTGATGGCCTTTTCTTCAGGCGCAGATGGAGACTAGGGGCTCTTGACCTCTGACCCGCAGCACTAAATCACATCAGTTGATGACTTTGAGGGCCACGGGGCCTCAGGACTCCGCCAGGCAGCTGGGCAGCTGCCCACACACACACACGTACACACAAAGACACACACACACAAATCCACACATTTGTGCACAACTCTGAAAGTGAGAAATAGACGGAGAAGTGCAGAAAAAGAAACGCTTTCATGCACGCATACGGCCGTGTTTTCACAAGATGACACACAAACAGGTCAATACTCTTTTCTCACACTCTTGCTTTCATGCATTTGAAGGGACACGGAGATCAATGTGCACACACACACACACACAGATACACACACATCACTAAATAATGTTCTTTTTTCTTCTTTATTTCAAGTATTCTCTGTCATCTGTGTCCTTTTACTCAGCCACATCACACACTCTCTCAAGTTCTCTCCTACACTTTGTTTTAAACTCTTCTCCTCTTTTCTTTTCTCTTCCTCCTTTTCAAACTCCGCCGCTCTCTCTGTGATGTGGCTTCTCTGTTTTCTGCTGAATAAAACACAAACGGCGAGAGAGAGAGAGAAGCGGAGGGATGAAGGGGAGATGTTAGACGGCTGAGAGACGAGGTGGAGAGTTGAAGAAGAGAGAGCAAGAAAAAAAAAAAAGTTGAGATTTCTTCAGTGTCTGTTTTTTTTTTTTAACAGGGTGAAATATGTTTCTCTTTGCCACCCAGGACAACAGCCCACCCTGATCGTCTTTGTGAAGTGAAGGGCCTAAATCATGTCATTACAATCTGGTTGTTTTCTGCAGCATATGCTTTCTTTTAGGCTTGGTTTAGAGGAACTTTAGTCCAGTTTGTTAATTTGCACACGTCATGTCATAAAGCCGCAAACACACCTTTGAAACGACGCACAACTGCTTTGCATGAGAAGCAGCCGAGCTGCGTCGAAATGTGGGCAGGGCTCCCTCACACCGACGTGCCGCTCCTACGGAGGTCCTCCTCACTTTGTTGTCCTCACAGCAGGCACCTGCATTCCTGGCATAGCTGTCTCCAAAGTTTCAAGAACAGCTCGCTATCTTTCTGTCTGCCGCTCGCTCTCTGCTGAGACGTCCATTGCCTTGTTGCTTGGAGACGAAAAGGAGCGAGAATGGGGACAACGTAGAGCGAGGGAGGGAGAGGGGGGGCCTATGAGCAGAGGAGGATGAAAGAGGAGAGAGATCAGAGGGGAGGACAGGCCAGCAGGGGAGTGATGAAGTTTGTTAGGGATGCTTTGGATTTTTACATCCATTGTGTTGGCCAATATCTTCTCTTTACCTCGTGGCTCCCCATGTGAGGAAACGACAGGTGCTGGTTTACAGTTTCCTGAATACACAGACAAAGAAAAGAGACCAAATCTAGACTGATCCACAGGCTTCAATTTTTAATTTTTCAGATTCATCAAAACATTAAAAACTTTAAGTCACGCTCACTGCATGACCTAAACTTGCAGTGTTTAATCTGCAGCAACACAAGAGCATAGACTGTGTACTCTAACTTGGTTCCGCCTTCTGCCTGTACACAGATTTGAAGCCAAAAAGCTCTCGGTATTTCCGGGTGTTTTCTTCACTTCTTGAAACCAACAGTACGCAGTAGCATTGTGTGCATTCGGCGGGTGAGTCGCTGTGATGACAATCGGCTCAAACAGCGTATCCCCTGGATAGTGTCAATCATAGAAAACATGAACCCCCTAATAACTTAAAAATGGAGCTTCACAGAAAAAAGAGGACTTGAGCACAAACCAGTCTGACAGTAACTACATGTCAACATTGCAAAAAAGGGGGGAGAAAAAATTTATGTTCTGTGTAATAAATCTATAAAGTTTGTCCACAGGTTCATAGGAATCACTGGAGGAGGCGGGATTTATGACCTATACTGCAGCCCATCAGCAGAGGGAGCTGTTCTCGGGGTGGCTCATTCCCCATTAGACCCCATGTTAAAATTAAAGGAGGAACCTAAAGGCAAAATTATACAATTATCTATACTTTTTGGTTTTCTTATGCATTTCTTGATTCATAGGGACTCTGTGGGACTCTTTCAGGATTTTTTTGTGTTGTTTACACCTTCTGTTTTTACATTGGTACATTGTAAAGAAATTGGCATTTTTAGCAACATCTAGTTGTCAGATTCTAACAGAAATACTCCCTTGCTCACCCCCTCTATTGTTAATCTCCATGAGCAATGGTGGCTTTTGAGGACAAAAAGCTCCTGTGATCCATTTCAAGTCAGATTACCCATTTTTCTCATTTTTACCTACTTTTTTTTCTGACTACTGCACTGCCACGCTTTTCCCTGAATAATAAAAAATTGCATAAAGCTGCTGCAAGTGTGTCCCTTTGGTGCTACAGTAGAAAGTGTAAAAAAAGACGTATCTTAAGTTGGCAAAAATATTAAGATGACTGTGCTCTTGTTTCAGTCAGGACCACTTTCATCATCCAGGTAGGTACTAGAGTGACTCCCAATTTTCAACGCATCCAGAACGACTCCGATCCGAAACAGTGACGATTTTCACCATCTACCAATTCCTACCAGATCCATTTGTGAGGCGAATTTCGTTGCGGATTACGAAAAGCAGGAATCGCGAAGACTCCCAAGAACCCACGGATTGACGTGCAATCGGGTCAGAGTCCTGGATCCAATACTGCAGCCCATATCCACAGGTAATGATAACAAGGTATTTAAGGATCAACTGGACATAAGAGGATGAAACAAAGGTTGAGAAAAATAACTGAGTTGTAGGGAATGAACTTCAGAGTCTGAGTTTGTTTCTCTGTAAGAAGTAATCAATCATTCCTGTGTCAGATACTTTTGGTCAGAGATACAGAACGGACAGATCTTTTGCTCTGAGCACAGCCGACAGACTCATGATGTAAAACATACGCTCTCTGCTGCGCTGGCACGCAGC